AGGGAAACAGTACAGGGCGCCAAAGTCAAGGAGGCGAACACATGGCGTATGCGCAATCTTCGTGTATCGTCCTGCGAACTTATCCTTTGTGTGCGAATGTGGAGCGCGTGCTGACACTTAATCTTCCAGCTGACGCAGATGCAGTCCAGGATATGGCAGTCATATATCTGGGCGGCTTGGAACTTCCTAGGCGGCGGATGTCGCATGTTATCCGCCTTCTCGGAGGCAAAAGGAAAGCAGAAGATTGTGCATCGCGTAGGGGTTTCCTTTCTATGATAAAAAGGAAAAGAAACTGAATGCAAAATGTGTGAATTCAACTGGAAGCTCAAGTCGGGATAAAAAAGGCACTTCCCTATTATTTTTCAGATAGGAAACACTTCTTTTCCCATTCAAGAATTGGTTGTACCAATTCAACCCCCATTTGACCAACACTGCGTATGAGTTATGAAAATCATTTCCGAAAATCATCAGCAGCAACTGCGAGCGAGAAATGCTCACGAATACTTCAAAGTCAGAAATTGATTTAAGTCAATTAATTATAACGAGTCGTAACTACAATAACAAGATGCCAACCAACTGGCCACGCCCCCAAACCAACATAGCTGGCATTCCAGCCCACTTTTTGCCGCAACGTCACGTTTGTGCACATGGAAAAAATAGAGCACCCAAATGTATATAAATATTTGTCATAAAATAAATGGTTAAGTGCTTATCCATCTACCAACTTCTTAAATAAATTTTGCAATATTAATTCAGTAAAAAATATTAATTTAAAAATTCTTAAGCTAGTTTCCTTAACCGATTTCTTTCCGTGTGGCAACATCAATTGGCCAGCTGCTTTCGGTTAGTCTATGCTTCTGGGGACTGGGATTTTTAGGTGGGCAGATGGGTTGCCAGTTGCAAAAGGCCATGTAATCGTATTAGCCAAACGGAACTGGTAGCTGGCCGAGCACGTGTTTGCCGAATGGAATGGGGGATGAAGGGGGAAAGGTGGAGGGGGGAAAGGCGGAGGGGGCGTACTTAAAGGTAATTGTATTTGTGCACTGCAAACATGGCGTGTTTTATTAACAGAGAGAGCGAGAGTGGAGTGTGTTTACCCATATGTCTTGCCAAAGACAAGTTAATTATTTTAACATGTGTGTAACTCTGCGTCCGTGTGCGTTCATTGTTCTGTTTATTTTTGGCCATCGATTTTCACACGCTCCACATTACAGAACGAACACCCGAACACCCGAAAACACCCGTCCAAACTCAAACGGCCAAAATGTACAAGAAGATCCCGGCTCAATGGCTTGGCATATTGCCTGCCTTATTATAAAGTGCCTCCCCTTTTCCCCTCCCATGACTGCAGAGTTTTTCCAAATATTTGCACAATATTTGTCAGAATTAATTAACATTATGAGCGAGGGGGAAGGCTTGTGTTGTCTCAGCATATTTCAGCTTTTTCCACCAGCACTTGTTTACTCGAAAGCGCTTTGCATAAATTGCACATCTCAAGCTGGAAAAAATGTGCACAATTTAATTAATTTATGCGAGCAAATTTCGATGGTCTGCAAAGCAGCAAATAAACAAAGCAGGACTCTAAGAAATTTTGAGCAATGGGAGCAGATAAATAAAAGGGACGATGAAAAAAGTCAGCCATGAAACTTGTTAACAATCTTTAGAAAAACAAGTTATTTAAAACCTTTCAAAGAGGATAGTAGAGATTTATATCATTTTAAATCGTAAAAGTTCTTCAGACTTTATTCATAGTTAATTCTACCTTCTCTTAAATATTGGTGTAACCCTTTAAGTAACTGAAACACCTCTTCTCCAATAATTCGCACCACAATCCATCACTATCAGCACTTGGCCATTTATCTTACGAACTTTCAGAGGCCTAATTTCCCCCCAAAAATTACCTGTCACTCTGCTCCTCGCCGCCTTCTAACGAAGCAGTGGAAAACCTGCTTATAATTAGCCCACCAGATTACACACAGCCTAACAAGGCCCATTCATTAATGTCATCAAATTCTTGAAGGACAGGCGACAACGTCTTTCATCTCGTCCTGCAAATCTGCAACATTATGTCAACACACACACACACAAACACACACACAGAAACAAACACAGTTGGCAAATGGCTCTCGTTAATGGGAAATCCCCGAGCCCCGAACTTTTCTGGGCTCCTGGGATTTCCACAAAGTTGCAGTTGCTGCAAATGCCATAAAAAGCCAACAGAAACGGCAGCAACAGCAGTGGCAACAATAAAAGCTGGAGCATCTAGGCTGTGGATCCGAGTTTTGGCCTGGCTTTTATTCAGGTGGACGACGTGAATTTTGCGAATGGAAACGTTTCGGTTTTATGGCCCTCCCTTAGCTAGTTAACATTTTTGCAAGCGAAAATGGTGCTCAAGTACGCAGGTGCCGCCAATTTAATGACATTTTCGACTTAACGATTGCGCACAAAACGTATATTTCACTAATGAAAATGTAAGAAAAATAATCTCAAGTTTGGTATTCAATAAATTAGGTTTTTAAAAATATTTTCGTTTGGAAACTATTGAATTTTATTAAGATGTTGAGCTACTTTGTCAACTTGAAACGAGCCACGTTTTCTTCATCCTTGTCGAATGAAGTGGAAACGCTGCGTAGGGTAAAATGGAGCTCTCGGCAAGGTCTCTGTGCAATGGCAACTTGAACAACTTCAGGCTTCTTCCCCGGCAATTCGAGATTGCCCCTCCAGGACCTCCGCCCATTTGGCTCCCGGCCAGTTTGAGCCATTCGTGCGCTTTTCATGCTGCCTGTGTTTACAAGCTAAATTCATTCCACGCCGCTCGTCGCCTGTCGTCATCAGCTATGTGATGATATCCGTGTACCTCCCAGGTTGAACCACCACCACCAGCATCCCTCACAGCTCCCCACAGGTTTCCTCCAGCCAGGTTGTTCAGCTTTTTCCATCTCGCTCTCATTGTTGTTGGCCACCTGACAATGCAGCCCGGTGATGGGAAAATGGCTGCAACAATGGCAACAGGAGCCTCATCAGCGTCATCAGGATCTATTGCCGCCGTCAGGCTGACAACGAGAAATGCACTCGAACAAAAGTTTTACTCCAACTCTGAGATACTTTAGAACTTCTCAAAATTATAGAAAAGTTTTCCAAGTTTGTATCATACTATTGTCACTAACAGTTCTTGTTTAAATCGGAACCTTAATTTATTTCATATTGTAAATAATATTCAGTTTTTCTAAGTGCACATTGCCTGTTACCCATTTACCATAACGATACGTGGTAAATTTATGCGAGTCGGTCGTCGTTAACGCTTGCATCTTTCAATTTGTGCAACGGCTCTAATTTCCAGCCGAAGATGGCCGTCGCCACAAACTTCTGCTCCTCCCCAGCAGCCTGCATTAGATGGAAATAATCCCTACATTACGACCGACGTTGGCCATATAGTCGTCCGCCTGGGCAATATGGTCGGAAGAGTCAGCTCAGCAACCCAGAGGCAATGTTGCAGGACAGTAGTTGTAGTCGCTTGGTCGTTGGCCAAGTTAAGTCGGATTTATGTTGATGATGCAGTCGAGTTATGAGGCGACTGGCTGCCAGTTCTGCTCCTGATTCGCATCCTGGTCACTCCTCCGTTGCCATGGCACATGGCTGCAATTGACGTTGCTGGTCTCAATTTTGAACTTGTCTCTCTTTTAGTTTACCAACTTTTGCGAGTATTCTGCGGCTGCCATGAAAAATATTCACTCGCCTGCAGAATGCGGGCAAAAACAAAATGGTTGCTAACTTTCCAGCAGCTTACTGCTCATGTCGCTTGAAATATTTCTCGGCTTTTACAGAAAAATGTACAGCAACATTTATTGCCATCAAGATATTCGAATAAACTACAACCACTTTCAAGAGATACCCCAATCTTATACGATTCATTTTACCTTCTATTTTTCCCTTTTCATACCCTTGCAGAAGGTAACATAATTTCATTTAGAAGTTTGCAGCGAAGTAAAGGAAATATAAATTCTTAGACATACGCCTGTTAGTCTGGTTTACGCAAAGGTGACCCCAAACTGCTCTTTGGGTGACTATAACTTAACCAATTTTAGTCCGATTCCAAAGTGGCATACCTTAAAATGTTTTTAATCGAACCCCGAATTTTCTATTTCAAATGGTTAGATTTTTTGTGAATTTATTTGTGGTTCAATTCATCTCAAAGCTGAATTTATATCATAGGCATTTGTGATGAGTGCAAGGTTATATCACCCTCGGCTCTCCGAAGCAACTATTTTTCCTTGTTTTAACTGTATTTTCTCTGTAACATCAGTCGCTTTTTTTAACTCTATATCAGCAGAACATCCGAGCATCTTAAGCACCGAAACCAACCCAAATCCCGACAGCATATGTGTGAAATGCGAACAAGTTCTCGGGCTTATTTCGACACATGGGTAATGGGAAGTGCTGTGTACACTTGACCATCGCACGAGGCGAAATGAAATGGAAAGCCACATGGCGGCATTATAGATTAGATGTGCAAAACGTTTGATGACTGACACACAAAGAGATGAGCTGTTTGCGGATTTAGTTTGGGCTTTGCCGGAATTTATTTAATTCCAAATGGGAAAACTGGATCAAAGTAAAAATCATTTCAGTGTTTAGGCTTCAGTTGCGTTCAATTTATTTTCTAATTTCCTGGCCTGCCACCAAATACTAAATTGAAATCCCCTTAATTAATCCCCTAATCCAGGAAATTAAATCATGGCATTACTGCATTCAGCGCTTAAAAGTGGCTTTAATTCGGGGAAACAGAATTCCATTAAAATTAAGTAGCTTACACAATATTATTGTGGGAAACAATAATAGCGACTGTTTGCCGATTGCGGATGCAAAAGCCCCTAACAATTTAATTGCCACTTTGCAGCGATAAAAACTAAGGCTTTGTACCCTTCTTAAACAATTGCCGTTGCCAGCATAATCCCGCAATACTTATGGTTTATTTTTTATGCGCTCTGCACTTTTCACAGATGGCAAATTGAAATGGCAGCAACAATGTGAACGAGCAGAAAAGCAACAGTACCGGCAAAGAGCTCTTAAAATAAGCTGCAAATAAAAATAGGAAGCATCGGATAGGAGCGGACAAATCATAAACAAGAATACCGGGCAATTGCGGAGTCCTGTGAGCCGCAAGGATGCTGAAGCTGATGCAGATGCGATGCGAAGGCGACGCAGATTGCATTCAAGGACCGCTGGGCCAGCAAACAATCAGTGGGGCAGACAATGCGAACTAATAAAGCACTTAAGCGGATAGAGACGACCGGCAACAAGGACACCCAACTGCAGGAGAAGCTGCATCAGCAGCAGGAGAAGCAACAGCAGAAGCAGAAGCATCAATCAAAGTAAGATTCCCCGTGCCACGGGGCGTATGATCAACGTGCATCATCAGCTCGATACAGCGACAATGGCGGAATCGCCTCAAATTAGACGCGACACGGCTCGCCCATGTGCCACGTTGCCTTCGAAGGACTGCGAGGACGGCAGGACGACCACTCCGCTGACGGCCAACGGAGCCACCACCACCGGGCTGACTGCCACCCCGAAGGACGTGCAACGAAACCACCTGCTAGAGATGCCAACAGCAACACCAGCAACGGAGAAGCCAACGATAACAGCCACCACCAACTCCAACTCCAACTCCACCACCACCGCCACCGCCAGCAGGACTCGGAGCCCCTTGCCCGCACTAGGGACACTCTGCCGACTCCTCCTGCTGCCCGCCCTCATCCTGGGCGTCCTCGTGGGCGGCGGCCAGGCAGGATTCGCCTGCCTCAGCAATCCCTGTGTGTTCGGCGTGTGCATCGACGGCCTGAACAGGTGAGTCCGGGTGCAAAGCACTCTGCTAAATGGCCAGGGATGGGCTTTCCATTTAATAAATACCAGAGAGCTAGAACCCATTAGAAAATCTGCGATTTCATAAGCACACCTTCACTATTTTCTAGTTCACTTAGGAGTTAATTAATGGCATTCCAAAGTATATTTCTATAATGATCATTAAATTTTAATTTACAAAATCACATATTTATATCAGAGTTAATAAAAGCCTTTCCAAGAACCTTTCATTAATGCCTTGAACTTTCGATAGGTAATCCATACCATTAAACATTTCCCTCATCCCAAACAGTTGGCTAAAAACGCTTTCAGTCCGCTTTCCTTTTTGCCTTATTATCGGTTCGGCAGAGAACCGGCCAATAAACCCGTCCAACACATTTCGAGTGGCAATAAACTTGCCCCACTTGAGCGCCAGGAGAGCGACCAGCTTCAGTTTCAGTTGCCACACCGGACATGCCACACCAGGCGATCCCATACGATATAGGGAAGCCTCGATGTTGATGCCGCCACTTAGCAGGGAAATGAATTTCCCGCAGCCGTTCCCCCTTCAACTTCCCCTCTCCCTCCCCCTCCCCCATCCTTTTAATTCTCCGCTCCCTTCTCCAGTTTCAGGAGGGGGGAATCCCCGCCAGCCTCGCATCCTTTGCACTTTTTAATGCATGCCCGTTTAAATGGGGTTAAGTTGCGGCCACTGCAAATGTGGCGACGAGGGGCTGGAAAAACCCGGGGAAAGCGGCGGACTGAGTGGGTTTCAATTGCAAGCAGCTGGAAAATTATTAACTTGAACGAGCGATGCAGAAAATTTACAGCCAAGATATGCAAAGTATTTCAAGTGTTATTGCAGATTCAGCTTTATAGCCGAAGGAATTTACTTATCATTCCATTATAAAAGTAATTTGATAGTTAATAGATTTTCTTGAGTTAAACTATATTTACTCCTCATCTTGTCACCGAATCTATCTTTGGCACATTCTTAGTCACGGAAATCCATGCAAAACCGTTGCAAATATCTGCAGAATCCTCTAGATATCTCAAATTCAAATCTAGCTCTCCAAACTGCTCCATTTCCCGCCCTTTAGTTGGGAAAACTTTGAGGCTTAACTGTCAGAGATTCCGCTGTGCGATTTCTCCTCAAACACTTCTCAAAACCAATTGCACAAACAAGCTTGAGGACGAGCGAATTTTTCTCCTTGGCGCCATTTATACGACTAAGTAACTGCCATTTTATTTTCCACGCTCACTCCGCGATATATGCAACCGCTAATCCCGCAAAAAACCATCCAGGACCATCCGACCGCCGACGGGAAAAGCGGTTAAGATATTTTTTTACGATAGCTCTATGCGAAGACTGCAAGTCAAATGCGAAATGCGAAAAGCAGAAGCTTGAAATCCCTTCCCCGCCGACAGTTTCCCGCCATTTGCCCCGGAAAACTCAGGCTGGCCAAGTCGGATGGATGGGAAAGTTTATGTGCTGGCGAGCGAAATTTATAGCTGCAATTAAATTTAACACGATGCCATGAGATTTAAACGGATTAACTGAATAGTTTTCGACCATCTTAAACTTTGGCGCCGAGCGGAGGTGGGGAAACTATCGCGAGGGAGTTCTCTGGCTTCGAAGAACATTGATATTTCATTGGTTTACCCCAGCTTAGGCGCCCGATAAGCGCGCTTTTAACTGTTTTATGAGTTTGCTCTAAAAACTTCAATAAAAGTGGATCATAAAAGAAAGGAGAAGAATATGATTTGTTTGGCAAATTGCTAAGCCCGTTAAGTAGTTCACAGAATAGAGATTTAAAAATAATAACTTAAAGTTGGGATGCTGTAGAGCGTGATGTTTATTTATATACCAGAAACTTAAATATTAAATCCATATTTCTAGCATCTCAAATAAACATTTCATAACAATCGCATAAGAATTGATTTTTCCCAGTACTTATAAATAGAAAACCACTTTCGTAAATAACTCCCAGGGAAACAAACAAATTCACCTACTTTCCAAGAGGCAGCAGCAATATCTTGATGGCGTACTACTTTGATATTCCGGCCGCAAAGAACCAGTCCAATGCCATTATGTAGTCATTTCCCAATTGCTCCTGGCTGAAGGCAACAAATCAAACGGTCTCCCGGGTGAAAATGTCCAACCGAAGGCCATAATCAGCCAGAATCTCGGGGGCTTCAGGCTTCTCTTTAGTTAGGTTGGGAAAACTGAGAACAAGAGCCGAGAACAACAGAGGATGGAATGTGGAATGGTTATCCCCGTACTTAGACCATAACAGACATGTGCACCTCCTGCATCCTAATGTAATCCATTATAAAGGACAACAGTAAGCCAACGTCACTTAGCCCCATCCATTTACACGGGCTGGGAAACTTCTTTAATTAAGCCGGTTACCAGTTACCAGGCAGCCGTTTCAGCCATGTTTGCCCAGCCTTATCCACCTCCTCAGGTAGCATTCGGCCCAGTTTCTAGGATCCCCTGACACTTTCTTCTTCGCCCCTGCATTTCCGTTTCAATTTCGATTCGGCTTGCCCAAATAGAAGCAGAAATGGAAAATGGAAAAACCAATCCCCGAAGTCTACCAAATATTTATTTCCACAACTCCTCAAGTGTTATGTTGCGCCGGCCAAAAGTTTACAGCACTCAACTGCCCTGCGGTTTGGCTGTAGGGTATGTGTGTTATGGCAGAATGCAGGAGATCTCAGTCCGGAAAAGTCAGGGTAATTTATTCAGCAGAATGCCGGTATATAAAAGGACAAGCAGGAGTGAACTGAGCTGTATTTAAATAAGAGTTTTTTTAAAACAATATTAAAATATAAACTGATAAGAGCATAAGGATTCCCTACATTTTTGGTAGATTTAAAAATACTTTAAAACAAACACTTTCTGATATTTCAATAGGTGTTAGTTTAAATTTTCCCTTGTTTTCATTTCGAAATATACACCTTTTTTCGTGGGTGCCTCACTTCAATTACTGCAAACCGCCATTATAGTCTGGCTTTACCTACCCCGCCCACTCCGCCCATATTGCGCCATTTGCCGAAACTATTTTTATCCAAAGCATTTGGTTCACTTTTCTCTAACGCTGGTTTTTCTCTGTTTTCTTTACTGCATCCTGCCTCCTGCCTCCTGCCTCCTGCATCCCGGTACCTTCCGCCCGCGTTTGATGCACCATTGACACACCGTTCCGCCCACTGGAACCGGGAACCGCGGTGGCACAACTAAAACACAGCTCGTACTCGTGTTACTGCATTGATGGCTACACAGGGATCCAGTGCCAAACGAATTGGGACGAATGCTGGTCGAGTCCTTGTCAGAACGGCGGGACATGTGTGGACGGCGTGGCCTACTACAATTGCACGTGTCCGGAAGGATTTTCTGGTAAGTGTGCCCCCCACCCCCCATCCATCCATCTATCTATAAGCGGTGTTTGCGGCTGCTCTCCTCTGATGGAGGAGCGTGTTGCCCGAATGCGGTCTATTTTCGGTGCGGCAGCAGCCAGCTGAAATGCACGTAACTAAAACGCCGGAGGTGCACTGAAAATAATATTGTTGTTTAACTAGAATGTACACAAATAAGAATATTTGCCATTGGAATTTTCTAAGAATTATTTTAATACCCATTTCATTTATTTTATGAATAGGTTACCTAGCAGAAAGCAAGGAAATTATATCTTGTTTACTCCATTAGTTGTTTTCCTAATAAATCTCTCCTTAATCTTATAATTATAATTATTATTATTTAGAAATTAAGTTTTATAGGTCCTCCCCTATTTGTTCAGTGCATTTTAGCAAATTGTGGAGCGGGTACAAAAAGGTTATGCAGGAAAGTGGAGTGGCAAGCCAGTCGAGTGGGCGAAGTTCCTCTTCCGTTCCACGTGCGAAATGTATTTTTATTAAGCCAACATAAAAAAGCGAGTCTCGCTTGGTTTGCACTTGCAACGGGAGCCCGAGACAGATCCCGCGGCCCAAAGAGCTGCAGCTCCGGCAAATAGAGAGGAATTCCTGCCACGCGATTCCCGCCGCCCCCAAACGTATTTGTAAAATTTCCGCGGTGGAAGAAGGGACGAAATAAAAATATAACGTACAATGCTCGTTTTTACTTATTTCCCCGGCATTCGCTCACATGTGTCTATTCTTCTTTTTAACGCGTCCTGGGAGAGCCAGAGCGAAGAGGAAAGTCAAGAAAAATTCCAAATATAATATAAAGAAAAGCAAGCGAAGGAAAAATGGAGAGTCACTGAAGTGGAGCAGCCTTTTATACCCTTCAAACGGTGTTTATTTGGCTGAGAGAGGCGATTTTGTGGAGTGGTTTTTATTGGTCTTAAATACCCATAAATATTGAGAGAACTTAATAATAAATATACAAATCACTTTGAAAATAATAAGCACATTTTTAAATCTTAAATACCCAGAATTGTAAGGGCATCACATAAAATAAGATGATCAAAGCCGGGTGAGAAAAACGCTTTGAGAGATCTCCAAAGGCGTTAAAACGAAGGCAATGCGAAGGGTAAAAGTGGAAAGTGGAAATGGGAAAGCCGGAGCTGGCAAACCAGCTTTAATGTGCTCTATTGTGGCAGTCAATGCTGGGTGCTTAACTTGCCACTTGCCACTGCCACTACGCGCGTATGTGTGTGTCTCTGTGTGTATCTGTGTTGGCCAAGAACGGAAGTCTTACCACGAATGTATCTAATGTTCATCCTTTGGCTCCGTGTACTCATACACACACACCACATAAACACATTTAGCCGTGCTACGTGTGAGAAGCACTTAGTGTCCGTCCATATATTTTCTTTCCTTTTTTGCCACCCTTTGCTGCACAAAGTTGACTTTATAAAATTTAGTGAAATTTATAGCCAGCACATATAGGTGTACTATATTCGTATTTGTATTCGTATCAACGCTAGTCCCAAACCGAAATACAAATTGCTGCAAATTTGTTGGGGAACTTTCTCGATGAGTTCAACGAGCGAAACACCAGCTGAACAATCAGGCCAAAGGAGGTGGCCAAATAATGAAGATGGGCGGGGGGACTTTCAAAACAGACCAAACTCATTGACTGACTCTCTTGGACCAGTGAGTCTTGGGAATAAATTACTGGCTTAGCCAGGAACATGGGATACATGTGTTTTCCGGCTGGCCAAATGCATCCGAACTGAAATAATGGAAATGCGAACTGAAACTATTGTTTTTATTTCGAATTTCGTGGCAATTGAAAGAGGGTTGGATGCCGAATCCAGTAATACTAATAATAATAATTATGTTAATGTGCAATCCACTTAAAATCTAAATAACTGCGGTCCCTCCATTTACATCACTTATCCGACCCGTTTAACAAGTTTTATCCCCTCCGTGGAATAAGTTTTATAGTCCGCTCCGCGAGCAAGCGAAACAATTGCATTAATTTAACATAAATAGAGCGGAGCAACGAACGCGGGCAAACAAAACAAAAGCCCACAAAGCATAAGCACTGCAAATGAAATCTACACAAAAACAAATAAAATTATGCACTGCAGCCCCCACTTCCCCACTCCCCCACCTTTTTCGCCGATTTTCCGGAGGAAACTAAGCGATTTCATTGCAAATTGCTCTCAGGCTCGGAACAAAAAAGACAAGCCCAAATGTAAATAAAGCAAAAAAAATTGCATAACAAATTCATCGCACAAAAAAGGAAAGCGAAATATGCTCTTTGCTAAGGCAGCCGCCAAAAAAAGTATATTCTATATGCAAACTCATATATAATAAATAGATTTTTTGCCAAAAGTGGGCGAAATGTCGGGGAAACGACCCAAAAAAGTATGTTAAAATGCAGGAAAATCCAGGAAAATTTCGAAACGAAATGCAGTCCATGAATGGGAGTCTAAGGCGAAACAAAGCGAAAGTAACGGATGCAAAGAGAGCGCTGAATGAGTTGATGGAAATGCGGGAAAATGGGCAGACGCCTCGGGGCATTATTTAACCGCTCATTGAGTTTTGGAAAGCTTTCACCTTGGTCACCTCCTCACCCCCCACACCCCACCCCCCGCCACTCCTTCAAAAGAATCTGCAAATGCAAATGAAAGGCTCCCCGAGATAATGTCGGACGGGACAGCAGCGTTCTAATTAATTTTATGAGCTTCCTTTGCATTGCGCATATTTCCGCGGCCTTTTTCCCATTTTTGTTTTTGGCTGTTTGGCCTCAGCGTTTATGTTTATGCCCCTTTGAAGTGGTTGCGGGATATACTGCTATATATAGCGGATGTGGTGCAATGTAGATTGTTATTTCGGCTGTTCCACTTACCAACTCTTTGTGCTTACTGCTCTGATTTAATGGATAAAGCGGTTCGTATGACTAAAATGGTTTCTTTGATAGAGTTTTCACTTCTGGTTGTCCTTTATCTGTTGGCTCTTTGTGTTGGACTGACCTCGTTAAGTCAGGATAAATGCCGCAAGAGCTAAAATTAAGGAAAGAAAATATATATTGATCAAATGAACTAAGTAAAAGTTATGATAATAGCTTATGTTGGCTAAATTCTTTACTCAATTGGACATTCAAGATCATCCTTGGCATAACGACATTAACAATTACACAGACATCTCCAAAAGAGCCTGCAATCCTCTCTGTAAACTGCAATCGCCAACAGCTTAACCTTGCTCTCCTGACACACACACACACACACAAATACGCTGGCACGCACAACCACACCCACACAATTGCAATCGAAAAACAAAGCGTGGGCATGCCTTTGTCCTTTTGCTCCTTGGCTCCTTGCCTTTATGCAATCATTGCAGCTTGCGGGTGAAAAGTGTAGGGAAATGGGAATGGGGAAAAGCGCTGGGCTCCATTGCAACGCGAAAACAATGAAGAGGAGAAGGGCGAAGGGGGAGGGAGAGTGGGAGGGCGGAGTCCGCAGGATGGAGGAAGGTCTTCCTGAGCCTATTCACCATTGAAATTTCGCATTTCACATTCATGCAAATGCAGCAAATCAACAATGAAAAATAATAAAGGATGGCATTCAAATGTGCTCAAAACGAAGGCGAGAATGCTCTAAAAATAGTTACTTGGGTGTTGAAATATAATTATTAATAATAACAGTAAGCCATAAATAAAGATTTCATTAAAAAAATATGTATTAATTTTTGAACTCAACAGATTTAACATATCTGCTAATAAAATTTATACGATATTCAAGCAGATTTAAAACTCTTTAAAAATATTCTTTGGCTATAAAATTCAAATGCTAAACAGTAAAGCCAGTCGGCTCGTTTAACAACATAAGTGCGTTTTTAATTACATACTACTATATAACGAATATCCAAGGTTAATGTGCAAAGGGTTATAAACTTCACCATGGTTACCCAACTCATTAGAGTATGCATATGAAAACGCATTCAAATTGCAGCAATGCAGCTTGCGAGGAGACCGAGACTTTCCCCTCCGCTCGCTGAACAGTTTTCGCTCTGTTTTTTCCACTCGCTCACTTGATATTTTATCGTAATTTTCCTGGGCACCAGGCTCTTTTTTAGGACGGCTTCATCAGCGGGTTTTGAGCGGCTGCTGCGTGTGTGTGCATAAATTTGCACCTGTTACCTGCTACCTGGCCGCTCTACTTTCGCGCTCGCTGGCAATCTGCATGAATTTCCACGTAGTCGGGGAGATACATTCAATCAAGCATCTGGTTGCTCAGTCGCCGGCTCATTCATCGATTCATGGCTTAATTTGGCCCGATTCCTTGCCGCGATATTCCGATTCTGATTCCGATTCCGATTCTGGCACACCCTTTAATCAGAGTCACAGGCTTTAATTTCTGGCAGACCGATTTATTCCGTTGATTCGCTTTATTCAACCGATTTTCAATCACATGACTCAGCGATTCACATGCATATTTCATTTCAATTACCCGGCGGAAAACACGCAGCAATATATTTTCGTGTTTATAAATAGAGTCCAAACCAAATTGTTTCTCATTTCGCCGAGGCGACTAATCAATGGTCCTTTGGGACTGCAATTCGCTTTTCATTTCTGTTGTTATTTTGCGACAGCAGCCTAAAATATTCATGGCCTTATTGATTTTATAATGTCGGGTCGAGAGTTTGATGAACTTTTCACATGTGCGGTGGGCGGGGAATTTTTGTTTGCTTTGTCACGGGTCCTGGGATTATTCGTGTAATCGAATACGATTAAGATTTTTATTTACCCACACAGCAGATGCGATTAAATAGTTTTGTGGCAAAAAGGCTTAATTGGTTTGAATATCAATCGAGGAAATGCATCAATTAGGCGCTTTCAAAGCATTTATGCTCCAAATCCTATTATTTGAAATAATTGAAACATTTGGGGAAACAAAATCTTTTCTTGGCGTTGAAGCCAAGCTTATTATTTTGCAGATTATTATTTTTTTAATTGATCGACTTTTAATGACCAAAGTCTCAGAAGTTCATTAGTTAATTGATGAAGAGGCAGCCACATATCAAACACGTTCTTTTCCCATTCCGCCGCCCTTTTCCTGGAATAAGAAAATGTGATTTTCTCGTTCATAAATTCTGCCCATTGAACTTTCAAACACAATACTTTCTAATTTTACGCAACGTGGCCAAGGCGATCGATAGAAAAAGAAATTGTTGCCTCCCAACGTTTCCTAGCAATGAACAAATTCTCGGGAAAATCGCTTAGAAAGGAAAACGGAAAATCAGAGCCGGTAAAAGCTGTACAAAATGCAATTAATTAAACGCGCTAATACACGTACATCGTTCTGTGGGTGTAAGAACAACTTTTCCCGTGAAAATGAGCTACACTCTCCCACTTTCTGGCTTCCCATTGTCAAGGATTCCCGTCTGCGAGGAAAAAAATCAAATGGAAACTGAGCAATTGGATGAGCAACAATGCGCACCACAAGACAGTCAAGTGCAGGCCAACCACTTCACTTTAAGAGTACACTACAAGAAATAATATTGAAATAAGAACACTAACAGTAAATAGTTAATTTTTCCTAAACCAAAAACCAACCCTTAACTTAACAAATCTTTCTAAAAAGCTTAAAACACACTTTACGAACTTGAAAAAAAATTTGTTTGTAAGTTTGAAAACGAATTTTCAGCGTGTAGATATGCGAATTGGAATTGCTAGATTGCGAGTGACATGAATTGCTCGGGTTTTCGACAGGGGCTGGTTGAGTGAATGGATCCCGTGATTAGTTTCCCCGTCGCATTCCGAATCGGGAGGCGTGCCCCAGAATGCCAGCAATCGCAGTGGAAATCGGTGGCAGGAGACGAACCAAAGTGCATTTCATTGCTCACTGTCGCAGGTCGCAAACTGCGATTTACGGCAATGGATTCGAAGGAAGCTGGCCGAAACCCTTAAACCCCCTAAAATCCAAACCCCCATCCAACCCCCCAATTCAATCCCCCATCCAACCCCCAATCCAATGATAATAGATTGCTCTGACTGGGATTAGTTTGGCATACAAATTGCGGGAGGGACGTGGCTCAAATCCTAACAAGCTAAATACTATTCTTAGCCAAGGGTAATTGAAGAATTTCAAATGAATAAACCAATATATTAGAAGGCTTTTAGTTTTGGGAAATTAACTCACTTGCAACGACAGGGAAAGGAATTAGTTAGTAATCATCTCTAATTAATTTTCGCAAGTGAGTTCTTGGATTTAAATACCAGTCGAATGCTCTAGAGGAAACACATTTTTTGACTTCTAATGCTTGGAAAGAACCCCCAAATCCTGCTTTTCATTCTTTGTTACCATTTCTTAATTATGTCTTAATTATGACTTAAACCGAATCCTGATCTCTTTCACGACTGGCAACTGCACTTGCAGTTGTGCACTCAGCCGTTCATTTATGCATTCGTTCAGAGATTTCAGAGGAAGCTGGAGCAAAGTATCTGAATATGGGAGCATAAAATGCAAACGAAATGTGCAATATTTTCAACTCGTGCACCTTTGGAAGCGCTGCCAGATTTGGAGTGCACACACGCCCTTGCCCCTTCCTTTTGTCAATTTCCTTGGAAAAGGTAACAAGCAAATAAGAAGCACAAAATGTGTGCAGATAAAATTCAAATTTCAATTTGTGCATCGACTGGTGCGGGCATGAAAAGGACGATCTGCCCCAAGGACTCCACAGAGGGGAGCGGAAAATGGCCATGTTTATTGTGACTCGAAGCCAAAACAAATGTTCGTACCTTGTTGCACAAATGTTTACAGTTCGCTGCCAGCAGCAAATAATAACAAAAAAAAAGAAAATATGTAAAGGGAAAACGATGAAGAGGCAGCATGACAAGCAAAAAGTTTCAATAAAGCAAAATGGGAAGCGTTAGAAGTCGAAATGAAAGAAAGAAGAGAACAATTGAGAGTTCCCAGAAAACAGAATAATCATTTTAACGAAGCAAATCTTTAAAATTAAGAACATTCCGAGAACGAATAATCAATTAAAACGATTGCCACGTTTAAGCAAAAACATAAAACTATGAAAAAATCGAATACAAATTAAAAAAAAACTCTTTAATTCACAAACACATTTGCAACATTTATCAATCTCAAATGTTTTGCCGACCGAAACTTTATCAATATTTTACCAGCACTTAAATTTTGATTAATGGTTTATTTTCCTATCTTTTTCGTTTCGAATATTCGAACGATCGACATGAAGAATGTCAGAACCGTACGCCTCTTTTTTCATTTTCAAATTCCCCAATGAAAAGCGAGGAAACCCGGACAACCAAAGCCCGTCCATTAAACAGGGCAGGAAAAAAGAGAGAGGGGAAAATTGTGCGTCCGATTCGAAAAAATTCATTCATAAAACATGGCTCGTAGATTGCGGCAGTGAGTGAAGCATTTTTCGTGCCCACAAAAATGACCGATGCCGCCACCCCTTTTCCCCCACCCGCCACGCCCTCTTTCCCCTTGACCACGCACATGGTGAAATAAAATGAAAATCGATTTTCACTTTAACGACTTCACACATAGCCCGGTGGCCCCAAGAAAAAGTATTGCCGAGGCCCAACGAAACCACAAACGGAGCCAAAACAATGGACAAGAAAAGTCAGAAATCATAGTGAATGGATTGAGGAAAGGTAAACCCAGACGATGTGGGAAAATGGGCGTCTATAGTTGGTGCCTTTGGTCTTCAGTTCTGAATTCGGGCTAAGAGCTCTGCATGAGGGGAATGGGGTTTCCTGCTTCGTATTCTCTGTGCTCCCTGTGTGCTTGACCACTTCCTGTATTTGTGCATGAATTGGAGCGTAATGTGACATTTTATGTGGAGCACACAAATCGGAAAAAAAGCGGAGAGTTGGAGAGGAATAGTTGACCATTTCGGTGATACTTAAAGTACACTTGTATTCCAAGGGATTTGGGCAAAAGCATATCAAATTTATAGCACTTAAAACAATTGAAAGCCATAAACTCAATCAAAGGTTAAAGACCTTAAGCCGAATTTGCATTCCTTGAGCAAGTGATTTAATTTTACACCGCACATAAAGAAAATTGAAATATCTGTAGCATTTAAGGCATCCGTGCCTCTGCACCATCAAAATCATAAAGCAAATGCGATAGCCTCGCTGCGATGGCCATAAACAAATTGAAATGTGCAGCGACTTGATGGCACTTTATGGTCAGAATGGGGAAATGGAGCTGTTGCTCCGCCATGGAAGTGAAATACGAGAAAGTGCCGCCCGGCTGGAAAATCCATTACTCAATCGAAGAATGGGCGGGCGATAAATTAAAATACTTTTTTATGTGGCCCAGAGAGCACGCAAATAATTCACCCAAGAAGCGATACTGAGAAGCGATAAGAGTTTGATAATTGCAAGTGCACGTTATTAAACAATTTATTAAGGAAATATTAAAGTTCTTATACAGGTAGAAATTCACAACTTTTGCTTGTTTGTTATGCATTAGCAAGACCTGCATAATGAGCTTTCTGAAATGTACAGCCATCCCTCCTCAACTCTCAATTCCATTCCCAGAAGTGTGCGGCATTAATAAATTAATTGAAATTAAGTCGAAAGTGAGCATCTCATGCAAATGCAATCGCATGGCAAGAAGCCTGGAAGTATGCATCACAAAGTTGAGCTCAGGAGCCAAGCACAAACAACGAACGAATAGTTTGATCGAAGTATGCATACGAACGAGTATATTTGCAGGTAGAGATTGCAGGAGCTCAGCTCAAATCCATTCCGAAGCACACAAAAGATACAGATACACGACTATGAGCTTCCCAAACACATATGAGTATGAGTACATATGTATTCACCCGTCATAAGGCAAACAAATGACATCGACTGACATCCTGTGCTGCTGCTCGCCAGGATTTTGAGTTGCCTTCTTCGCTTTCGGCTCCCCTTTTCGTGTTGATTTAGTGCTTATGCAAATTTAATATATGTTCCCAGATCCCCACTGCCCAGTGTTGCCCCATCATTTGCATAGACTTACATTATTGTTGCATTATAAACCAGACAGAAGGACCAGACACGCACATTTATCTTTTATGACCGCTCTGGAGCTCCCTTTCTATCTTAACCCCTTTTCTTTTTTTGCTGTTTTTGTGCCCATCGGTGAATGTATTTTGTATAATTTATGAGTTCAAGTGATAAATTGTTGCGAGCGCCGAGAAAACGCCCCCTCGATTGCAGTCCACTTGAATGCAATTTTGTGCCTTAAATTAAGAAGATTTCTTGCACGGATCCTTTGTTTTATAGCGCATTAATTTCGCAAAAGTGCTGGGGATTTTCTGCGCCGACTTTTTTGACACTTTTGTTTCGACACTTTGAAGTGCTTTTTTCTAAGAAAGAAGGAAAGGAACTTTTCCTCAGACCAGACAAGATAGGCAAGGAAACTTTTGTGGAGCGGAGGCGGAAAAAACTTTAAGCATATTTCTCGCCAACTTGTTGCCAAAAAGAGTTTGGCAAGAAGGTGGCAGCGAAACGAAAACAAAGGCAGGCCCAAACTCCAAAGGCGTTTCTATGCCGGGCAAATAAATTCTCAAACTTCAGCCATACAAAATATTCCGCTGGCAATAAATTGTGCAAAGCGAGCGCTCGCACACACCCGAAAATATCACTCATACGCAGCGTTGCACTGGCAAAGGCTGAGCCGGAAAGGAATAGGGGAATGGGATTCCCCCTCTCCCCCCTTCCCGATGCTTTTCCCTCATTTTCCCCCGGGGCGAGGATTGTCTGTCTGCCTGACAGTCACTGCCTTTTGGCAAAACACTGAGACCAAGTCAACGTCGCTGCAAGTTGTTGAGCAGAAAATTGAAAAGTATTTCCAAGCATTTGTTGCCATTGTTCGCTGTCAAACTGGATACCCCCAGCAGTGCAGCTTGCTCTATCCGGAAAACTGAGTATTTTGCTGGGTTCTCTGGGAATAAGCGTTCGCCATCGCAATAGTGATTTATTCAAAAATATTTTTAAGTTCTACTCACTTAATTAATCTCACCATATTTGCCTAAAATTCCACATGACTTTCGAGTAGAGATTTGGAGCACATTAAAATTTGTTTAAACAAAGCTTAGTTTCAGCAACTCATTAACCTGCCAGCTTATAAAACTAGAATTTTAACTAAATATTTATTATTTGAACTAACTTGTTGTTTAAATTAGGTATTATAACTTCATGGAATATAAATAAGTTTCAAAGTGAAATAATTCTGTAGAGTATTCGTTAGTAGTTTTTCCATTTTCCACTAGTTTTCACCCATTTCTATTTCCACTTCATACGAGAGTTTGAAGGACAGCTACAAATTTTGGCATGTGTGCTTTATATTCCGGGCAAAGGAAAGGAATACAGCGTACGTGTGCGTGTAAATATCCCTTTGAATTGTTTATATTGCTTGCAACCAAATCAGCACTTGTAGGGTTTGTTTTGATTGCCATTGATGCGCTTGTATCCGAAACTTTCCACTTTCTTACTTTTTCGGCAATAAAAAGTAGAGAAATACTTTGAAAGGACTAGGATCGATGCGGAAAAGGAGAGGTTTGCACTAGCAAATATAATGAAAGGTCATTCGATTGCACTTCAACTGTGCGCACTTGTTTCAAACGCAAAGCAAAGCAAAGCGAAACTGAATCCAATGAATGAAAAGGTTATTTAAGGGCTGTAAAGGAATTTACTGAAGGGCAAATGAAATTGAATTTCGATTCTCCTTCAGTTATTAATTAAAATGGCCTGCCGACTTTTCTAACAGTTTCTCCCCTTCAAAGAGTCCACAGAAAAAATTGTACTAAAGGTTCATAAGCTGAAACCACAAAGCTATAACAATTATTCTTTGGGAAAATAATTAAAAAGCTAATTGCGGTTGGCAAAAATAATTAAACCTCAAAACAATATCAATATCCAGCATAGATAAATTTAATCTATCCGCACAAAATAGTTCGCCAACAACTTTGACCTGTACAAACTCGTATAAATATTTGTATGGACAAAATAAAACTAACAATGGATGGCTCTTTGGGGTCACCAAACGAGTGGATTGCTTGTGTTTATATGTTTCCATTCATCTGCGTTTCAGGTTCCAACTGCGAGGAGAATGTGGACGAGTGCATGTCGAATCCTTGCCAGAACGGCGGACTCTGTCGGGACAGGACCAATGGCTACATCTGCACCTGCCAGCCCGGCTACCTCGGATCCCACTGCGAACTGGATGTGGCTGTCTGCGAGACAGGTGAGTCCGACTGGGATGATGAATGGCCAAAAGCCATAAGGAGAATGGTCGGAAGTAGGAATTCGTTTGGCAAATTAAATATAAATTAAATGGAATGTTAGAAACATGATACGATAGTTGAAACTATTAAAGAAATACTATTTATCATACATTTTCATTTAAATACATTTCAAATTAAAGCCTTTAATTCTAATGATATGTTCATGATGATAAAGGAAGAATTGCTTTTAAGAACTATTTTGAAAAATAACAACTTTGTTTATTGCTGCTACTGCTTAAGAATTTGAAATAGCATCCTAACTTGAAAACAGGGGAAGAATAGCTCGATAAACTTTGTTTACTGTTTGGGCAAATGGCCAAGTTTATAATTTCCCCCAACTTTCAAACAGGAACTGGCGCCCGTTGCCAGCACGGCGGGGAGTGCATCGAGGGTCCGGGCCTGGAGTTCACCTGCGACTGTCCGGCGGGCTGGCACGGCCGGATCTGCCAGGAGGAGATCAACGAGTGCGACTCGTCCCCCTGCCAGAACGGAGGCGTCTGCGTGGACAAGCTGGCGTCATACGCCTGCGCCTGCCCCATGGGCTACACGGGCATCAACTGCGAGGAGGAGATCCTGATCTGCGCGGACAACCCCTGCCAGAACAATGCCCTCTGCCTGATGGAGGAGGGGGTGCCCACGTGCTACTGCGTGCCCGATTACCACGGCGAGAAGTGCGAGTTCCAGTACGACGAGTGCCAGCTGGGTCCGCGCTGCATGAACGGAGGCGTCTGCATCGACGGGGTGGACACCTTCTCCTGCTCCTGCCCCCCGCTGCTCACCGGCATGCTCTGCGAGTGCCTGATGGTGGGCGAGGAGTCGCTGGACTGCAACTACACGGCTCCTGCCACGCAGGCTCCTCCGCGGAGGACCACCACCACGTCCACGGTGGCGCCGCCCACAGTGAGGCCTGTCACTCCGCCGGAGACGACGGTGCCGCCGAAGTCCTCCGAGGAAGTGGAGGTTGTGGTGGTGGTCACAGCCGCTCCAGCGGAGGTGGCCACCTCCTCCGTTTCCTCGTCATCCTCCTCCTCCGAGGAGGCAGTTTCCGTGGAGGTAAAGGCGCCGACCCTGGCACCGCCGGAGAGCGAGAGCCACAGCATTTCGGAGGAGCAGACCACAGTGGTGCCAGCACAACCACCGCCGGAAGTGGAACCAGAACCGAAGCAGCCACCTCCACCCGACTCGGAATCGCATTCCGAAACTGAGGAGGAAGTAGTTCCAGGCACAACTGCTCGACCGCCAGTCAGCCGATCCTCCAGTTCCTCGGAGGAATCGCCCAGCATCTACACCACTCTGCCACCTCTTCCTCTTCCGGGGAAATCCCAAACCTCATCCTCGGCGGAGAGTTCGGGGGAGGTGGTCATCTCCGAGGAGTACACCACTGTGCCGCACTTCGAGGTGAGTGGCAGCCGGAGTGAAAGCGAAAGCGAGGAGCTCACCACAGTGCGACCCACTGCCACACCCATCATCACCATCTCGGTGGACTTCACCTCCTCCAGCAGCAGCAGTTCGGAGTCGGTGGAGCCGGTGGTGACCACTCCAGCTCCCGTTTTCGTGCAGCGGGCAACCACCATCGAAGCGAGCATCACCGTTGACTACGTGCCACCCACTCCTCCGCCGGAAACCACCATGCGACCGGTGCCACGACCCACTTTCGTCACGGAGCCACCGCTGGATGTGATGGAAACCACTGGCACCACGCACCACCTCTGGACGGAGGTTCCCACCACGGCGGCTCCCTTCTTCACCGAGTATCCTGCGGAGGTCCTGATCACCACGCATCGAACGAGTGCCGGACGGTTCACCACGGTGCAACCACCAGTGCAGGCCACCACCACCTTGCCCACTGAGGATTCTTCGGCCGAGGAGCTGCCCACAGCACACACGCCCCACATTGTGGTCACCATTCTGGATCCGAATGCCTCGATTCCTCCGCTGATCACAACCACTGGAGTGCCGACTACGCACCACCACCACCACCACCATCATCACCACGAGCCGGAGGGCACTACTCTGCAGCCGATCGAAGAGGAAGATGAACACCACCATCACCACCACCACCACCACGGGGTCACCACTCCTCAGCCGGTGGATGTGACCACGGGACAACCCCTGCAAACGGAGGACTTGATTGGAGAACCCGTTTTGACCATCACCGTGGAGCCGTACGCTCCACCGGAGACTACGGTGGTTCCAGTGGTTACCATTGCACCACCTGCGCTACCGGTTACGGCAGCTCCAGTTCCTCCGGCAACCACTGTTCCTCCTGCGCCTCCAGCTACTGAAGCACCCACTCCGCCACCCACTCTACCACCCACATTACCACCCACTCTACCTCCCACTCTACCACCCGCTTTGCCTCCCGTTACCCTCCCTCCCGCTACCCTGCCACCACCCACAATACCACCCACTCCGCCCTCCACGCAATCCGCACAAACTCTGCCGCCGCCGACGTCGCCCATCAATGTGTTCACCACCCCCGAAGCTCCGCCCACCGCCTCCCAGACGAAGCCAACGGTCGCGGAGAGCAGCGAGGAGGTGGAGGGCAGCAACACGGTCTCCTCCGGCGGAAGGGGATCCCCCGGAGTTCCCGAGGAGAAGGCGGCCGACGTTGATTGCATCAAGCTGGGCTGCTACAACGGCGGCACCTGCGTAACCACATCCGAAGGATCGCGGGTAAGCAATCAATTGAATGAAAACACCAAGAAATATTATAAGAACCCTATAAACAAAGTGTTTAGTTATTGCTGGGAAGTTCCAATTAAGAAAAAGATTTAACATAAACAACATTATTGAATCATTTCTAGAGTTTTAAAACCAAATACTTCAAACTTCTTGAATCAATAAGCACAAATATTTTTTGACTTATGAAAACGAAGCAATTTCCCCAAGTGCAGGCCAACTGAGTAGGTCAATCGATAGGCCCCCAGCACTTTGGCACCTCAACGAAATCGAGTTGTTTGTTCGATGCCAAAACAACCAAAAACTAGGTAGCAGGCATCCCATCCCACGGAGCAGAATGTGTGTGAGCAGTCAACTTCACAATTTTCAACCCAATTGAGCTGCTAATTGGCCGTGTTTGAGTTGTGCGCCTCCGGGTTCCGTTTCAATTTCCAACGCCCGATCATTAATAAGTCATTAAATATGCCAGCCGGAGCTGCAATTGCCAAGGCAATAGGTAAATAGGCGAAGTAAATGAGTTTGAAACGGAAATGGACTAGTCCTTACCCTTCATCAATAAAAATATTTGAAATTTATATTGAAATTTCCATTCAAGGTTGACACGAAGTTTATTAATACCACATTACTAGGCAACCACAGGCTATTCTTGACTTGTTAATTCAGAACAGGGACAGCTATTTCGTTGCTAGGGTCGAACTAAGCCCCGCTGTATATACAATTTAGTCCTTGCAATCGAAGAGGCTTTAGTCAAACCCTTTAATAGGATACATTAGCAGTAACTACTCAACGGCCACGCCCATGAGCGATGCAGTGGTGCCAACTGAATTTGCAAATTGACAACCTGAAAGGACCTCACAGCTGCCTACATTCGGATAGGGATGCAGTTACAGGATCACAGATGTGCCCTCCCCATACATAAATAATCACGTGTTTGATGGGCTCTGGGGAAGGAGGAAAGGACGAGGGGGAAGGCAGGTCCTGTAAGCAGATTTGCTTAGCAGATTGTTGCTAGGCCAACGGACAGTGGAATAATCGAAATACTTGCTTGGCCTGGGGCAAATTTATTCCGAGGCATTGAAGCAAATTGCCTACCGAGAATTTATTACTGAAAATTCAGGAGTTCTATTTCGTAAGATATTAATTTTGTTCAACTTTGACTTGTTAAGATTATCGTATTAATTGGCATAGAAGTATGCTTATAATCAAAAAACCTCAATTGATAGTTACATATAGAAAACTATTCTTTTCTTTTAAGTTGATCAAAATCATTTCGAAATATTTTCTCTGGCTCATTTCCGGTGAAAAGTTTCGCAAACGAGCCACCTTCCATCTGTCTGCTCTCATTTCGAGTAACAATTTTGCAGTCTGCTGATTGCAAGTTCTCAGAAATGCCAATTGCTCGTGTAAATGAATAGTTAAGAACTTTAGACATAACAGAGGCATTATAAAAAGTGTAGAAATTTCAGGTAGAAAATCAGACAGCAAATAGCAAAGTGCTGGCAAAATGTTCGCAAACAAAGCCACAAAGCCTTCCCAGTTGCTCTAGTTACACTAACAACCAACCAACAATGGCAGGCCTGCCGAAGTATGCCTATTCAACTATTTATGAAAATACTTGTGGTAATTTCGCCCCCAAAAAGGAGGGTAGCAAAATGCCTAAAATATGAACGAGCCAGCCAGGGAATATCGAATTTCGGGCCTCGATGGCAAACTGAAAGCCATTAAATCCAACAAGCGAATGTGAACATTTTCCAGAGGGGCACGAAACTAATTTCCAATGTCTACTAATAACCGGAAAATTGTGCACAAATGATTGCCTGATAGTTCAGCTCTTCTTTTTTTTTTTTAAATTGGTGCAGGAAATTGAAAACGGTGGAGGAGCTTTTATGATTACGGACATAGAAAGCTTATTATTAATGATACAAAATGTGTAAACGAGTGCCAAAGGATTTAATTCGCTTCATTGAAGGATTTTTTGCCCAACCTATTATTAAATAATGCCATTTTTTTCCATATTAGCTGGAGGCAATCTAATTTATTAGCTCATAAAAATGTATCCACATGGTTAACAAATTCTCACCAATGACCATGTAATTGTCACCCTCAGGCTTTATCTCATTTAATATTCATTCCGCTCTGAAGGTCAGAGTGTGCAGCAATATCTCGATGACTAAATCCACATACAAGCCACTATATATATGACCATTCATGTGTCAACATGGGCTCCACCGTTAACCAAATTAGTAGCACCACATGCAATTCCAGTTTTTTACGACCGAAACGTGAGGCCAATAGCGTTTGACAACGTTTGGCTAATTTATAAGTTTCAACCAAAGTTGGGAAGGATGGTTTAGGTACCAGCCACTTTATGAAAAATGTGATTAATATTTTTTGATTACAGGGGAAACAACAGATATTTTTAGTAAGCCAATGTTTATTTTTGCAGCAGTGAATAGACTTGTCTTATAATTTACTTGACTCTCCAACTATTGTTTCCCATTTTACTTCTCCTGCGACAGGACAGTGCGATAACTTTTGAGCAACACTCCAGACACTCTTAGTTTAGCAGCACTAATGAAACTAATTTATGCTGCAGACCCAGTTAATGAGTTAACAAAGCTAGCCGGCAACTTATTTACCAACTTTCGCTGCAGCACACGTACATCTCCAAAGTGTACCTATGAATCACAAACCTCCTCCACAGAAACGGGGAAAAGTCAGAGAAGGCGGAAGAAAACAGACAGTTTTTCAGAGAGGGATGAAAAGCCACCGCGTGTGGCCAACAAGGAAACAGAAAAAAATTAAATTTTCATAATAAATTTAGAGCTTGAGTGAGTGACACAACACCACAGGATGAATTTGCTATTATGTGGCGCACTCACACTAATGCAGCAGAGGAAAACTAAGAGAAATGGGGAAAAGGTGTGGGCGGAAATTATTTCACTGAGCAGATGCCACTTTATTGTTGCCAAGTAATTTAACTAACTGCACAAACACTCACGGCAGTTCACACACACTCGAGGCTTTTGTTAATTTTCAGATTCGCCATTTAAGTGTACTGAGAAAAAGGATATTAATGTTTGCTTTTCCTCGTTAGTAAAACCAAATTTCAATTTATTTGGCAAATATAGGAAAACTTACAAAATATATTTCATAAGCTAAGCTTAATAAGGTAAATAGGATTTACCAATAATTTTTCTCAGTGCAGGTTGACTTTCCATCTCTTTCCATTTCGCCTTTTGCATTTGTATAAAGAGACAAAAACAGACTTTCAGAGCGACAGACATACACTTACATATGTCAGCTGTCATATGGGTTAGGCTAGTGTGGGAAATTCCAGGAGGAGGCAGGACGGAAAAGTGGGCGGGGAAAACGTGGGGGCGTGGAGGGGAGAAGTGCAGGCAAAGTGGCACTCGCACTCGGCGAAAGTCACTCGTAAAGTGGCATTAAGCACATTTCAAGTGCTACCCCGCCGAGTTTTTGGTTTTGGAAAATGTTTGCCTGGCTTCTGGCAGCGACCCTGCCCCCCCTTTTCCCCCGCCTTTTCCAGCCCCACCCCCTCCTCATCCACTTTCCCGAAGCTCAGTGTGTCTACTGTCTGCATTGCGTTGCTTTTGCCACCGCCAATGCCACTAATGAAAACTTTGTTGAGCCCTTTTAGGCTCCTCCATCACCGCCACATGTCTCCCTGACTTAATGCGTCCTCGCCGCCTCTTTTTCCTATTTCCCTGGGCTTTTCCCCCTCCCCTTCCTCTTGCCCTTCCCCATCCCCGTACCTTTCGTCATCCTCTTTGAGGAGTGCACTTCAGTCATTCAGGCCATTCCAGGCATTTGCCTGTTGACATTTCCAAAGGCGGGTTACAATTAATTTCCATCTGGCCAACGCAATGAAATGAAAATGGGGCAAAGGGATGGAAATATTTGCCTAGCCAAGGAGCGTAGAAATCCTGTGGAATAATCCTGCCGAAACTGAGTGCTTTAAAGTATATACTTTGGGTGTTAATAACCGATCCCTTGAGGAAATATTTATGTTGCTTGGCTTACAATTAATTACTCCGTTTATCTTGTACTTTTATATCCCGTATCAAAGCAATTTAAATTGCTTTAATATACTTAAATTCAACATATTTGCACTTGTGCAAACAGACTCATTTCCGTTTTCACTCGCCCAACCGCACATATTAAAATCTTAAATCCGCCACATGTTTTCCCTTGGCTCATTTTTGTTACATGTTATTTAATTTTTTTTTCTTCCCCCTTTTTTTGTTTTTGGCCCACATTCATTATGCGCCAGCCAAATGCCGCAAGGTCAAAAGCTTTAATTAAAATGTTTCCTGTTAGCAGGGAATATGCGAGTGGGGCCAAGCAAAAACAGCGGAGAGAGTCGGCCAAAATTGTGCGAAAAACTAAACTAAACCGAATACCACCCACATGCTCCCCATTTTCTCGTTTTTTTTTTGTTTTGTTTTATTCCCAAACAAAAACGCAGCTTCATTTGTCTAACAAGAGCGGCACTACAGCGAAGTTGAGCAAACAAAAACAAAGTTCGCGAATAAACTTCCAGCAAACACTTCAAATAATTGTTATGAAGGCGCAGCAGCTAGAAAAGTTTTCAATATATTTTTTGTTTTCAAGGTTCCGCGCACGCTTGCGAAAGTAGGCAAAAATTGAGTTGGCTGAAAAGTATGCTATGAAAAATGATACGAGTCGAGATCCATGACCTGCAAACGCAAACGGAATTGCACCCAGGACATGCGATGGGAATCCCCAGCAGGAGTCGATTTTAATGTTTTTCGCTGGCAAACAAAGCGTGGGAATAAAAACAAGAACAGCGGAAATTTGTTGCCGAGCGGAGCAGAATGGGTGGCCAAATACGGTCTGAGCCATTATGCGCCCAAGCCTTTAACACTGGTTCGGCATTTCCGCCGAACAGCGGGGGTTGCCCTCCGAAAAGGGTTTTCATTCGCGTGTCGGGTTATAAAAGCTTGAAATGTCTTTACAGATTACAAGATTTATGCTACAATTAAGTCTGCGCTTTGTAGAATGTTCGAAGCTGAGCGGATAAATATGTTGCCAAACAAATACTAAAAGTACACCAAAGAAGACAATTTGAAAATGCTTAAGTACTTGAATTTTTAATAAAAGTATATAAACGTGGGGAATTATACATATAACTCGGTTTTAATAACGTGTCTCTCCTTTGAAAAAGAAAAACAAAGTTGTTAGCACAACTTCTCAGGTTGTTCCCACATATATTTTTTAGGATACACCCACCAACTTCTCGGGGCAACTTGCAACATATGGAGTACTTCCCATTAAGAGGTTGTCATTTCACCACCCACACCGAAGGCATTCGCCCACGTGACTGTTGCACGGCTCCACCTGGTTACCCTGATTTTCTTGCACTTAATTTGCTCAATTTGAGGGGTGGTGCGGAAAAATCGGAAAAGTTTCGCTGTCTCTTCCGCTTTCCCCTTTTCCCATCTCCTGTTTTCCTTGGCTCGCCTGTTGCAGTTTCTTCTTGCACTTTAAGTGTCCCTTGGTGCGGCATAAATTATTAAAACCAGGACAATGGACAAGGCGAAAAGGAAGTCGGCGATGCAGGCGACGCCGCGGAGGGCCAAAAAGTTAATTCATATTACTTTTCAATTTATTGGCATTTTTTGAACGTGCTTTTCTTATTGAAAGGCGACCAGAAGTCGCTCTGTTCTGTTGCAGCGGAGGGGCTCAAATTAAATTAAAATTGTTCAAGTTTTGTTCCGCGTTTTTGTGCGACTTTCCTATAACTTACGGTGCAAAGTTCGGGCTGTAAATAATTTGTAACTACTCGAAAATATGTGAATTGAAAGTGAGAAAGAAATAGTCGGATGCCCAAGGTATAGGTTCTTTTTCTTGGGATTATAATAAATAATTTTTTCAGGTTAATAAGATAAATAAAAAAAAACATTTTCGAACTTAGTCCCATAGTAATATTTAAAGATTAACGGTTCCTATCTTGTGAACAAATGATTTGTTTTCCAATTTAATATATTTCTTAAATGTTTTTCTCTCAGTGCGTTTGCCGCTTCGACCGGCAAGGACCCCTCTGCGAGCTGCCCATCATCATTCGGAACGCAGCATTCTCGGGCGACTCGTACGTGTCGCACCGCATCTACAAGGACATCGGGAGCCACGAGTCCCTGGACGCAGTGCTGCCCATGCACATCCAGCTGAAGGTGCGGACGCGGGCCACCAACGGACTGATCATGCTGGCGGCGGCCCAGGGCACCAAGGGGGGTCACTATATGGCGCTCTTCCTCCAGAAGGGGCTCATGCAGTTCCAGTTCTCCTGCGGACTGCAGACGATGCTGCTGAGCGAACTGGAAACGCCGGTGAACACCGGCCACGAAATCACCATTCGAGCTGAGTAAGTGAAAAGTGTTGGCCGCGGAATGCAATTACGCGTGTAGGAACACTGAGAGAAAATGGGGAACCTCTGTATGCAAAAAAAATTACGAATTTCTATCAAAGAAACCTATTGAAAGGAAAGATAAATCTCGAATATCTAGAATATAATTTTTATTTAATCTGAATTTTTATTCAACACTTATTTCTCCAAGTGCAGGTATGTGGCTGTGTGGGAGTGGGTCGCGCCCCCAACTTTCGGATGATTGAGCGGGGCGGCGACGACTGCCAGCATGTTAATTAACTTTTCGAGCTGCGCAGGCGGCAAAGTGGAGGTCAGCATATGGGTCAGTGTCAGGGAGCAGGAGGTCCGACCAGGACATTGCCCATTAAACGTGGTCCGCGTCCAATTGCGTTCCGTCCCGCGACCGTCTTTCGCCGAGGTCACAAATTATAATGCTTCAAGTGTAGAATAAATTGCAGTTTTTTAGCTTCTTTCTGCTTCGACCATCCACCATCCACTTGCCATTTCCGCTCGGCCATTTCCTCGGACATTAAATCCTGCGGGGCTTCCACTTCTGCCATCCATGCGTAATTAGTTGGAGATTTTTTCTGGCTGGCCCTCGCTCAACTTTCCTTGGTTGAAAATTTAATTTACCGCGTTTGCCCTGCTCACAACGGGAATTTTCGCCAACGGGCGGGACTCGTGCGTAATTAATCGTTTAACTAACATTTCCTGGCCAAAGCCAACACTTGGCCAATTTAAGCAAAAAAAAATGAAAAAAAAAACCGCAAACCGACTTAAAACTTATTCAAATATTTTCACTATCGCAGCGCATTACATTCGAAATGGGAAAGTAAAGTTTAAATGGGTTTTGGCTTCCATCGGATGCATAAAAAGAGGAGCAGTTAACAGGCGAACAAATTCGGGGAATTAAAAATAAGGGAACATTTAATGTAAAAGTAACTAAACGAGTACAAATTTTTATTCGCAAAAAGTTTTCTAATAGGATAAAAAAATATTTCAGAAACTGTATGTTATAGTTAAGAGTTCTGTAAACATTTACTTCACTTATAGACTAATTTCAAACATTGTACTTGAAGGCAATTTAAAACAATTTACAAACTACTCATTTATCCATTTTGCCCATTTTCAACCTGTTGACTTAATGGCCTGCAAATAGTCCTGCAATATTCAAATGACCAGCACTTAAAGCCATCATCGAATTGTCCGCAAATCAAAAGCCACAATCACTCAATTGTCTATCAGGAAAATGGCTTGTTTACAATTCAGCTGTCGGCAATTACTTAAAAATTGCCATCAAATTGATGGGTTAAAGGCATATGGAAAATGACCAAATAATCGTTTTAGGCACGTAAAACTGGACGAAGGCCAAAGTCAAATCTGGGAAAATGGAATTCCCTCGGCGAATCAAGGATAGACGAAACGTTGGCATAAACAGGACATTAGGAAATAAATATATATCAAAAAGTGGGACAAGGAGTGAGCGAGACCGCAGCCCATATAAATAATTTACCAGAGGGAGAACAAAAAGCGAAAGTGGGGAAAGGCGGGTGAAAGCGGGCGAAAGCGGGGGGAGGCGTTCACATTTTACGACTATCGAATCGACCACAAATTTACTTTTTAGCACTTGGTCCCAGCTCGGGGCGATCCAATGTCCGATGTTAAGGACTCTTGTCCTATATATACGTGCACAGAAAGAAAAATGTACATACTAAAAGGCTAGACATTTGATTAATATTGATATAAAAAATATTTACTTTATATTTATTATTAAATCTTGTGGACAATAATTTTTCTAGCGGATCTTCAGCCCTCTAAATATTTCCTTAAAATACCAATAGTTAAATATTTCTCCCAGTGCACTTATATTATATTACTTTCCTTCCTTCGCTTTGTGGATTTTGTTTTTGTGTTTTGGCCTGGCAAGTGGATTTACGAGCAACAAATTTATGTTCGTTGCCTATTTTTATTTGCCTTGCGTGCTTAATCGCCCGAGCAGAGGGAAAAAGGACTTTTTCGCCCGGGGGCCACTCGATGGCGATGATGACGATGTCGAGCCCTCGATGAACTATAGTTGCCAGCCAGCCCCTTTAGGGAAACCCACCCGTACAAGTAGGCCTCGTCGAACAGCAGACTGTAATGAGCCTAATGCCCGGCACAATTGACATTTTACTTAAGGACCTTCATCGAACTGGTGTTGCGCACAATTAGTGTAATTAGAAAGCAATAACAATTACCGTTAGTCGAGCCTAATTGCGGCCACATTTCTTTCCGCTTTCGACGGGAATTTCGTTTTAATTATTGCGAATTTCCCTAATACAATCCGAGAATTAAGTTCATTAATTAGGCTGACTTGCCTTCCTCGGCAGCTTCCGCCGCTAAGAACTTTTCAATAGCATTCAATTGGCCGTGTCAATAAATTATATTCAAGGATTTTCCACCGGCCAAGAAAAATCAGCTCCCTTGAATGTACACAATGCTAATTTAATTTGTCGTTCAGTCAAGTGCGGCTAATTGAACTTTAAGTACCATTTAAGGGAAGCTCACATTTTTGGTTTTGGTTCGATAAAGAAACTTCAAATTGGGTCTTTAAAAGAGGAGCTTTAAATTCTTTTAGAACTCTAAGAAAAATATTGAAAACTATTATCAAGTATACTGTCAGTTATTTTATACAATATGGAAATGTACGTCAAACGCAGTTCGCATATGTTGTAAAAACTAAATGCAATCAGAGAAAACTTTTTCCATCTAGACAGCATATGGGCAACTTTTTTACAGCTTTATCCTGCCTTCATAAAATAACAATAAAATATTTGTACATCTGCAGGCATTTATTGCACTGGCTCTGGCATTAAAATATCCACATTCAAATGCAATAAACGCGAAGATATGAATCCCAGTTCGTCCGTAGGCAAACCATCTTCCAGCCCCAAAACCAAAAAAGGGAAAAATTCTTTCGACAACAAATAAAATCAGGAATACTGCGGATGAAGCCTTACAACAAAGGCCATTCAAATAAAAGCAGGTGACATTCGACCGAGCGGGGCAATACAAATTGGTGGCCCCTTCGGAAAAGGGGGAAATTCCTGTAGTAACTTCAACCGAAGCCTTTTCCTCCGTCACATCAAAGGACCGGTAAAAAATTCCATGCCATCGCGCAGCAGGCGAAACAAAAATTTGACAGCCGATTGACATTACAGCCAATTGTTGGACGGAGTGGAAAAGGATATGGCCAGGATACAGTGGTTCCGCCTCTGAGTTAAACAATTATTAGGAGTGTCATAATAATGTTATTTCGTTTGAAAATGAAAGTAGAAAAGATCTAAGCATTCAAAAGAAGAACAACAACTCAACATAACTTGGTGATTTGTTGAAAATTATTATAAATTTACAAATTTTAATAAATAATGTTGATTCCATTAAAATATTTGTCATATCCAGCATTTACCTTGAATCACTTTTACACAAGCATTAATCCACTGTAAATAAGTACGGGTGTCCTGCAAAAGATGCCTACGTTGAAAGGTCAACAGGCAAAGGGAAGGATAACAGATTGCTGGCAGGACCCTTTTTTCGCTGGATGCGGGGGCTCGCAATGTAGGGGACTGGATTGTGGTGTCATAAATATTTTTACACATTGGCATGTTCGGAATTTTTTCTTAAAAGTCGTCCCTAAAAGCCGGGAATGCAGGGAGTGTCAACCCGCGCCAAAGAGAAAGTGCGGCGTATTAAATATTTGATGCACTATAGTACCAAAAAAAAAAGGGGAGAATTCAAAAGGTAAAAGAACTAAAGGAATGCCTCGAATGTCCCTTTGCAGATTGGACTTCAGCCGGAATTACACACACTGCAATGCCTCGCTGCTGGTGAACGACACTCTGGCCATGTCCGGGGATCAGCCCACCTGGCTGAAGCTCCTGCCCCCGCGCCTCCACACCCCCGACGCCATCCTGAACACCTGGCTGCACCTGGGCGGGGCGCCCCAGGCCCCGATTGGCCTGATTATCGAGCTGCCGCCGGCCCAGAGCGGCACGGGCTTCACCGGCTGCCTCCACACGCTGCGGATCAATGGACAGGCTCGCGAGATATTCGGGTGAGTTGGATAGAAACCACTAAAATGCCTAGTCTTAAGCCATAAAATAGGGTATTAGATTTACTAATAATAATTATAAATGACCCATAGGTTATTACTTGGCCAAAATTAGTCTGATCTGTTGTAGGATCCCTAAACGAACTGCATTCAAACTTTTTTATTTGAAGATAGCCGATAAAGTAACTATATTTCCCACTACCCCAAAAGTTCCTTCCCCACTCAACTTCCTTTCGCCCTTTGGCACTTTGAACGCTGGACCACAGCTAATGAACAGCTCCCAAAAAGTTACGACTTCTTTTGGGCCGATGGCGAGGCAGTGGGCAAATATCCTCCGCCGGGGGCGCCTCTTAAATGTTAATGCCGCTTACTCATTTTCCGGAACCCCAAAGTCGGGGAATAAAATAAAAAGAAACCATCAAAACGCCGCCGCACAAAGTTGCAGGTGGCGAAAGCCTTGGAGGAGTTGCAGTAAAGACCAGATTATACGGCCACCAAGAGTAAATAACTTTTCGCAGGTACACGAAAAAATTAACTCTTCTTACGTGCGGAGATAAAATGGAAATGGCGGGGTTTTGTCGACATATACGACATATAGCTAATACCCAGAAATCGTGTGTGCTAAATGGGCTCGCATGAATCCACTGGGATTGGCATAAATAAAAGCAAAGTGCTGTGATTTCAACCGTTAACACTAATTAATATCATTATAGAAATACGTTTATTGCCTATCGTTTGCCTTTTAAAAAGTTGTTTTTGTAAGGAGTTCACAACGAATACCCTGCGCCTGCAGGCTTAAAGTTTTCATGTCAAAGAAACTTCTTGACCATAAAAGAAATGACCATGCTAAAAGCTTATACATTATGGCCTCTTACGAAGTTCGCCAGTGGAAATGCAGCCAGCCCGATGAAAAGGCCATCTCAAAGGAGGGGAACGAAGCTGATGGCATGGGGACAGCCAGTCAGCGAATGCGGAAGCCATACGTCAGTGTGCAACGTTCATAAAAGCGCGAACACAAACAGATGGTCCGAATGGAGGGGGCGGGGCAAAGGGGGCTGAGAAGTGGGGGAAAAGGGGGAAAGGGGGCGAGATGGCGACAAAGGGGCGGACACATCCGCGTCGAAAGCGCTGACAGCTGTGGGCTGTTTGTCAAATGGCGCACAAGGATAGCGAAAAGGACACTTCGTCCATGGTATTGGCATGTTGAATTAGCCCAGCTCATGAAATTAGCTGGGACACCTAACTCATCGCTTTATCTTAATTCTGCACAAAAAAAAAAAAATGTTTTTAAATCTCGAATAAAAATTTTTGTGATAAAAAATAAATTTCCCTCAAACCTCTAAATTTTATAAGTTTTAAATATAAGGTATTTAAAGAAACGCATACTCTTTGTTCGGATTTTACTTTTTTTCAACCAATTTGCGTGACTTTTTTCTCTGTGCAGGGATGCCCTGGATGGATTCGGCATTACGGAATGCGGTTCCCTGGCTTGTCTGTCGAGTCCTTGCCGCAACGGAGCCGCCTGCATTAAAATCGAAACCAACGATCTGGACGAGAACGGCGAGAAGGCGGAGAAGTGGAAGTGCAAGTGCCCCACCGGCTACATGGGACCCACCTGCGAGATTTCCGTCTGCGAGGACAACCCGTGCCAGTACGGTGGAACCTGCGTACAGTTCCCGGGCAGCGGGTACCTCTGCCTTTGTCCGCTGGGCAAACACGGCCACTACTGCGAGCACAGTAAGTACTCATAATAAGAAATATTCATAAAACTATATTCTTAAGTAACCGTGGCTTAAAAAATATTAACACATTAAGAAAACTTACCAACTTTGAAGAATAAGTAGATGGCAAAATACTGTAAAAAAAGCAAATAAAATAAAGTATTCAGATTAATTTTTACAAGGATCATAAAATATTAGAGGAATATAACATTTAAATAGAAAACATTCATTCGTTATTATTGGTATTGAATTAACCCTTTTTCTAAATTTTAAAACAGATCTTGAGGTGGCCCTGCCTTCCTTCTCGGGCAGCGTGAATGGACTGTCCTCGTTCGTGGCCTACACAGTGCCGATTCCCCTGGAGTACTCCCTCGAGCTGAGCTTCAAGATCCTGCCGCAGACCATGTCGCAGATCTCCCTGCTGGCCTTCTTCGGCCAGTCGGGATACCACGACGAGAAGAGCGACCACCTGGCGGTGAGCTTCATCCAGGGCTACATAATGCTCACCTGGAATCTGGGCGCTGGACCGCGTCGCATTTTCACCCAGAAACCCATTGACTTCCGGCTGGACGCTCCGCGAGTTCCCTACGAAATCAAAGTCGGTCGCATTGGTCGACAGGCCTGGCTCTCGGTGGACGGGAAGTTCAATATCACGGGTCGTGCCCCCGGAAGTGGCAGCCGCATGGATGTGCTGCCTATTCTGTACCTCGGAGGCCATGAGATAGCCAACTTCAATACGCTGCCCCATGATTTGCCGCTGCACTCGGGCTTCCAGGGATGCATATACGACGTGCAGCTGAAGGCGGGACAGGTCACGGTGCCGCTGCAGGAGACCCGCGGGGTCAGAGGTCGCGGGGTGGGCCAGTGCGGCACCAGGGAGTGCCATCGACACGCCTGCCAGCACGATGGCGCCTGCCTACAGCATGGAGCAACCTTTACGTGAGCTTTACCCTGGCGATTCCCCATCCTAGTTACTAACTTATATTGAATTCTATTTCCAAATTAGTTGCATCTGCCAGGAGGGCTGGTACGGTCCGCTGTGCGCCCAGCCCACGAATCCCTGCGACTCCTTCAACAACAAGTGCTACGAGGACGCCACTTGTGTGCCACTGGTGAATGGCTACGAGTGCGATTGTCCTGTGGGACGCACGGGCAAAAACTGCGAGGAGGGTAGGTTGACAATTAAACCAGAAAACCATTGAAGTAACTTATAAACATTCAAAAGTTCCAAACACAAATGATAACACACCATCCTTTTAACTATTCGACTAGTTCATCTCTATAAATTTCTTTAATTTTCTATCCCTTAGAAATTCGATCTCTGAGCGACGTTTCCCTCACCGGAAGACGCTCGTATCTGGCGGTTCGCTGGCCATATCTGTACGACGGAGGCGACAAGCTGGGCGCCAAGCGCTCCCAAATGGTCAGCTACCGGAACTTCACCAAGAAGCTAATGCCCCCGAAGCCGATCACCACCCCGAGCACCCACTTTGTGATGAAGCTGCTCAACGAGGTGGAGAAGCAGCGCAGCTTCTCGCCGGTGCCGCTGATGGGATCGAAGACCTTCGAGGAGCACCACCGCGTGCAGTTCTTCTTCATAGAGTTCCAGCTGCGTCCGCTTTCGGAGAGGGGACTGCTCCTCTACTTCGGCACCCTGAACAACAACCAGGACAAGAAAATCGGCTTCGTCTCGCTCTCCCTGCAGGGCGGAGTGGTGGAGTTCCGGATCTCGGGACCCAGCACCCATGTGACGGTGGTGCGGAGTGTCCGGATGCTGGCCATCGGCGAGTGGCACAAGATCAAGATGGCGCAGCGGGGCAGGTGGCTCACCCTGTGGGTGGAGGGCAGCGCCTCCTCGGCACTCGCTCCCTCGGCCGAGGTCCTGGTCGAGCCGGACTCTCTCCTCTACATCGGCGGACTGAAGGATGTGTCCAAGCTGCCGCACAACGCCATCTCCGGATTCCCGATTCCCTTCAGGGGATGTGTGCGCGGTTTGGTGGTCAGCGGAACTCGCATTGTGCTCAACGAGACCAACATTGTGGGTAAGTAAAGATACTTTTTCAGTTCCTTTAAATTCTATCTATATATTCTATATTTTGTATAAATTATTTAACCAATACTGTTTTGTAACCATTACAAATCAGAATGATTTGAACTGCTGCTTACATTTGCATTTCACATTGCTTATCACCCAGAATCTCGCAACATTCGGGACTGTGATGGCACCGCTTGCGGCGGAGACTCCTGCGAGTCCGGAGGACACTGCTGGCTGGACGAGAAGCTGCAGCCGCACTGCATCTGCCCAGAGTACGCCAAAGGAGACCGATGCGAGTACTCGGAGACCTGCAAGCTCATCCCGTGCAAAAACAATGGCAGGTGCCTGAGGAGCGGACGCTGCTCGTGTCCAAATGGATGGGGAGGCTTCTACTGCGAAATTGGTGAGTGCTTAGTAACAATTACAAATTACGAAGCAGCCGAAAGGTCAATAACCATAAGCTTGTTGGGTGCAGCTTATGATTCAGTGGGTTTCCAGCAAAAAGTGCTTCAGTTACTATAGCAATAAATCATATTAAGGCGAGGAAAAACAAGTTTCATAAATCTTCCCGCCGCTCCAAGTTCAAATCACGAAAATGTGTCACGAGTAAAAGTTTGTTTTCGCAATTCCTACAGAAGCTGAAGTGATTTTATTATTTTTTCATGATCTCTCTGTGAGCTTTGTTCGGTGTGGAGTTGTGGGGCAAACGAGTTTCGAAGCCGCAGAGTAGAACAACATTATTATTATAATTAGAGATTGACGGCAACCGAAAAAAACCATTAACGGCGGCATTTGGATTCTGGATGGTTCAGTGCACAGCGGGGTCAGGAAGTCGGTTGGCCAGAAATATATAGCAGAAATTAGCGATCTCTGATTCATGGCAAAAACACTATAAATCCGAATGGCAATAGAGCTAGAGAATAATTAAAACTCGCCGTGACTCAAAGTTGAATGCTCTCATTTGTGTCCAAAAAGAACACATAGTTATTTCATTTAGGAATTTATATTAATTCCATATTTTGACATTTTCTATTTTAACTGCTTATATGGTTACTGCTTTATTTTCCTTTTAAGTATAGTAAGTCCATATGTAAGTTCTAGTAGCTCTTACAATCGTTTAACCCACCCATTTAGTAATTTCAATATTTTATTACCCCCTCATAAATGCAACATTATTCAACATGATAATAGCACTAACCAAAACATCAATCAAGCATCTGCAAAACAAGCTTTTTGATTATATGAAATCGGCAGATGCGTTTTTTTGTATTTCTTTATCCATCGAACGTTATTCGTGGAGATTCAGCTGTCTGCCTTTCACTTATTAGCAAATTGTATATTAACATGCCACAAAAGCGAGTTGAAATTGAAGAAATGCAAGCCGGTAAAGGGAAAACGAAGCGATAAGAAATATGGGAAAACTTAGATGATAGATCAACAACGATTAGAAGCTGGGGAAAGCGAAGAACAAACAGATGATAGACAAAATTACAGGTACAAAGGTGGTGAAGAAAAAAATTGTAGAAAAAGTGAGAGGAGTGTGAAGAAAAATTAATAACTGCATGATAATAAAAATTAATCACGGCTTCAAGTTCAGGTTCTGAAGATGATTCATAACGAGAAAAAATCTGGAAAGTTTTTTTAGTTGATAGAGAAACTAGAAGTGAACAGCGTGTGCACAATAAGAAATGTTGGATTTAAAATTATTTTAAAGCTACTACTTTTTAAGGTTACTATCTCCCCTATATTTGGGATGGGGTTAGTTCATTTTTTTGCCATTTTGTAGCAACAAGAAATCTTCTTACTAGTCTAGAAAAAGGTTGAGCAAGTGGCACCTGATGGTGGGCCTATAAACGAGATCAGGGCCTTAAGATGAAGATGAAGATCCATAAAGCGAAACAAAAGACGAAGACGAACAATGCAGCTGGAGCGGCAAGCTGATGCTGTAATTTAATTAGGTACCGCATGCAATATGTTTAATGCAACGCGAGTGTCTGCTTCCCCCTTTTATTCCCCGCCGCCATATAATATTTGTATTTATTATTTTTTCTGATTTTCTAGCCATGAGCAAGCCGACGACGCCGAGCTTCCGCGGCAACAGTTACCTGATCTTGCCGCCGCCGCGGATTCCGATGAAAGACAAGCGGCGGGGACCCTCCCTGTACGTCCGCCCCCGCGAAGCCATCCAAGTTTCGCTGAACTTCTCCACGATCGAGCCGGACGGGCTGCTCCTGTGGAGCGAGCACGAGAGGAGCAAGTTCCTGGGCCTGGGACTGGAGGCGGGTCACCTCAAGCTGGCCAGCAACCTGCTGGGCAGCACCAACGACACTGTGAGGGCTCCGGCCAGTGGGTTCATCGCCGACGGGGCCTGGCACTACACGAGCGTCCTGCTGGACCGCTCCAGGCTGGAGCTCCAGCTGGACGGCGAGGTGATATTCACGGAGCGGCTGCCCGAGAACGGAAGGTCCTTGGCCTCGACCACCCCGAGGACAGCTCTGGCGGGCAGGCGCAAGAACTCCAGCAAGGAGCCGACAATTAGCTACGAGGATGTCTTCTACTTAGGTGAGTTCATGAAGTCTAAATTGCATTTAGCATTTGATAGTGGTTAATTACCTTGACTTCCAAAGGAAATCCCAACCTAAATTTAACATTGATTAATTTTTCTTATGCCCGTTTTATTCAATGTCGGTTTATTAATTGTCTTACCGGTTATATTACTAAATGCTTTGTAAAAAAAAACTACATATCTCTTTTATCTTTTACTTTGGTAAAGCATACAAACAAAATTTTAATTAGCCCGCTTTCGGTTGCAAAAAAAAAAACTAGTCGTTTTTTAGAACTTTTAAAACACACAAACATAAACAACTACAAAGTGCAATAAAAGAAAGAATATGTATAAAAGTACTCACCGTTAAACAAATCACTTATCACTTATCCACTTTAACGTACATTATAAACAACACTTGTCCACCACTTGTTTAAACTTAAAAACATAAACAAACCACTACATTTTAAATGAAACCTGCAACAAATCTTGTTAACTTGTTGAACAGTCGCGATCCGAATCAGTGTTACCAGAAGGTGAAAAGGTTTTCCGTCCAAACTGATCTCGACCGTTTAAGCCTTAAATACTAGAATCCGGTTTTCCCAATGCTTGCGGTAAAACAGTTAAAATAAAACTTTATGTTAACGGTTATGTTAACATGCCTGGGAACTGTTAACCACAACACATTCGCCTTACCCAACACTGCCGCCAATTTAAACTCAAATTCAAACTGATAAGAGCATATTATACTTTTTTATTTAAAACAGGTGGCTTCCCCAACTCGGACTCGGTGAGCAGGCGCACAAAAGGCCGGTTCTTCGATCCCTTCAAGGGCTGCCTGCAGGACATCCAGTTCGGAGCCGAGCCCACAGCGATTATTAGCGATTTCTCGACGTATCAGGGCGAGAACATCGGATCCTGTGATCTGCACGGCGATGAGCCACTTATTGTATAGGAAACGAAATCAAAAGCGAGGCAAAATCGGATAACGAATCTGTAGAACATTTCGATTATTTTGGACTTTCAAGATTTGCAATCTTCTTGAGAAGCTAAATAACGACGCGATATATAGAGAGTACTACTTGTAAGCTAAGTGATAAGCGAGTTTATATAGGAAATGGGGGAATCCCCTCCTGGAATCAATATATACACACAGTTTTGGGCAAAGCTATCGATAAAAGACAGACGAAAAAAGACAAGAAAAGGAACGTAATTTTGTAAATTTTATAGAAATAAATGAAAAACAAAAAAAAGACAATGTTTAGACTTAAACCATGGAAACAAACAACAAATTAACTGGTTTATCAAAACAATACCAAAAGCAAAACTAAGAAAGACAAAATTGTAGACTAGGATCTAAATCTAGAAAATACCGATACCAGATACAGATATATACTTCTCTTACGTAAGTGATATTTCAATTGGAAAAAAGAAACTGGATAACGATCCAAAATGCAATTTAACTTATCTGTATATTGTTTTGGTTGAGCCAACTTTTTGTTATGCAATCGTTAGCACTTGTGTTATGAAAAACTAATTAATTATTCCCTTTAATCGAATCTCACCCTGTTTCCCAAAATTTAAATTCTCTTCTATCTACGAAAACTGCCCCTAACAAGTTTCTGCCATTTTAGTTTTTGCAACTTTTACATTTAGTTAGTAAGGTAGATATGGTCCCCCTGTTATCGTTATAAAGCATAAAAATCTCCTGATTGAAGCCATTTAGTTGCCTTGTAGTAAGTTAGCGTATACTCTCTTTGATTTACCTTAAACTAACTTTAAATCGAAATCGACTATTCTAACAAAACAAATCAAGACGCATACCGAAAATCTATGCTAGTCATACAATATAATTATTCTTATAAATGGAAAACCAAGTAGCGAGAAAGATACAAACAAACAAATATATACACTACTTATACAATACGAAACCAAATGAAAATTGTAACCAAAACTGTACGTTAAGTATGTATTTATTTCGAGAGAAATCTTAATCAGTTATAATTTTAAATAAAAAAACAAAAGGGAATTAGAAAAGGTTAATAAACTTAACAGTCAGCTCTTGTTTTATTTGGGGTATTGGAATCATCCTGCTACAAGTACCAAGAAGATTGTTTTTGCTTTATAAATATGTTCGCATCTTTTATAGCTATCGCTGAAATAACGGTATGCAAAAATTAAAAAGGTAATAAAAACAATCACTAATCAACTAACCTACTTCTAGAAAACACCTGTTGATATTCAAGTTTGTGGCTGCGGATGTTTCCCAAAAGATTAATCCATTCCGCTCAGCATATTTTTCTGCCTCCTTGGTGGTTACAACTCGATTATGGGATATATCTGCCTTGTTGCCCACTAGGGCTAAAACCTTCCGTGGTTGTTTTGTCTGGAAGTAATATAAATTTATAATTCTATGAAGCATAAAGCAAGTTCCATTTTAAACCCAATCATTGAGTTCCTCGGCCCATTTTATGGCATCATTGTAGCTATCCCGATCGTGAATATCGTAATCCAACAGGGCACCCTCGGAGTTTGTATAATGTGTTCGTATTATATTCCTAAATCTGGTCAGAGTAAAATGTAATACATATTTTTTTACTGAATCAAATATTTGTTCTCATCTTTGACTCATTTTCCTTATACTCACCGCTCTTGACCCGCAGTATCCCAGATCTTCAGTCTGGCAACTATTTGAGGTTCAAAAATAGTTTTTTTCAGAAATTCCACTCCCGATGTGTTTTGAATTTGTTCAGGAAGATTGTTATATACGTAGCGCGAGAGCAAGGACGACTTTCCCACGTTGGAGTTACCCAGAATGACCAAATCAAAACAGAATATTGACTCCATCGCTGACCGAACCGCATTTAAAGGGTTACAACTCAAAACTAATTAAATCGACCCTTGAGTACATACATATTTATAATTTCCCTCTCAGGCTCAATGAATACTAGTCATCCACCGATTTTTATTCACTGGATGACTATACATGGATACTAGCTTAGCTCCAATGACATAATTTTAATATCAACTTCCGAGAGTTTTCAGGAACCCCAATAACACCAATTAAATCTGTTTGTTTTCTCGATTCAAATCGAATGACATTATATATATACGGATTCATATACATATAAGTATATACGATGTTTTCATTTATTATAATTTATAAATGTTAAATTTAAATACATACAGACAACATAAAAATTATAAATTGGAAAGAAATAAGCATCCGATTCGATTTCAATATCAAATCATAGATGTTTTTGGAACGATTTAAACAAATAGTTGTTGTATTGTGTTGTTCGTTTCGTTTTATTTACGTTTGTTTTCTCTTTGCATTATGGTAAAGTATTTCAAGGTTTATGTTTAAGATTTCACTTTACTTCCTCCGCTTAATTGCATACTAGATGTAAGTTTAATTTTTAATGGTTTACGATAGTTTCTCCTTTCTCGTTTATGTTTAAAGATAGTAGCATTAAATCTTCGATTGTTGCTAGAATGTGGAAAATAGTTCAACGCAAGACGAATTAAAAAAAGGTAAAATTATGCATAATTGTTTTTTTGTGGTTTTTGTTTTGTTTCATTTTCATATGTGTATATATAATTTATATAAATTGCAACTATCACACGTGTCCGCCGCGACCCGGAGTCGAATCCGCACTCGCATCCGTATTAGAACGCAATCCGCATCCGGAATCCGAGCTTCGGAGCCGGAGAGACACACACATTGCCACAGACCGAGGCGAGCGAAGATCTTTAGCCGCTGGCCTGAATTTTTGCTCCTTGTGGTGTTTGTTTCTTTATTTGGAACGCTGCTGAGAACAACTGCAACTGGAATCCTCCCTTTCCGGTTTCTCTTTTTTATACAATACAATTTCAAACATTCTACGACACGATGAACTCTGCAAAAACCTTCTGCGCTTTCTCTTCAATTTTTATTATTTTGCGTTGTTATTTGAAATGGTTTATGTTCATATTATACTGATAGTTTAGCTCAATTGTGGGGGCGTGTCAGTTTGGTTTTCTTTTTGGACAGATATCAAGTCTAATTGGGTAAATCGAGGTGTGGGAACTTGTAACTAACTTTGTTTTAGGTTGGGGATTTATAATTCTTATTAGGCGGTCTTTATCATTATTGTTTTGTGGCTCTAAAATGAAATTACTTTCCCCTGGGAAAGCCGGCTTTAGGTATCTCTTTCCGATTCTGTTAAATTTTTAAATAATTTTTTTATTTATAATTATCAGCATAAACTTTTCAAATCTCTCGTTGGAAATTTCATTTTCTAGAAAACCAAAGGCGCATGTTAGTAATGAGAACAATCTTTTGGGAAGTGGGCTGGACTAACCTACAAAGGGACATCACTTGCAGCAGTTGTTCGTCGGTCGATTTGTTTCGTTCCCATTCGGCCTTATGCTGGTTCCCTGATTGTTGGCGCCATCGTTCTTAGGTAGTTTCTTGGCTGTAATTAGGAAAGTGATTAGCAAAGTTTCCTGTCTGTTTCGCTTGGGTCATTAATAGCCTACCAATGGCCAAGAAAATGTCGTTGACATTCATGCCCGTCTTGGCGGATGTTTCCATGAACAGCAGCCCGTTCTCCTCGGCATATTGCTTCGCTTCATCGAACTCCACGACGCGAATGCTTGACAGATCTGCCTTGTTGCCGGCCAGCGCAATGACAATGTTTGGTGAGGCCTAAAGAGAAAAGGATTATCAGAAGCATTCTTAACTAGTCAACGTTGCTTAAGGCGTTTTCAAAGTCTGTTTGGAGCATGCCATAGGTTATAAGGCCTGAATTCTACTCAAACATGGCCAAGGAAAACAAATAAAAGCAATGGGGCGTGAACGAATGCCGAGTTTCTGAAATCAAGTTCAGTGCACCCACTGGGGGGCACTTGAAAAGCAGCAACAAAGCGAATTTACATTCATTCAATGATGAAGCGCTCTGCGCAAGATAGCATTGACCTTGATGGTGGAAGCGGAATTAAGAGTAAACGCGATGATGACACTCACTTGTTTATGCAGTTCCTTGACCCAAGTCTTTGCACGCTGAAAACTGTCCTGATTCTGTATATCATAGACGACGATAGCGGCCTGCGCTCCCCGATAATACATGGGGGCTAAGCTGTGGTACCTGTAGAGTTAGATAAAGTCAGGATTCAGTAAGGAACTATTATGATAAAGGGATAAAGTGTCGACAATTACCGCTCTTGGCCAGCCGTGTCCCAGATCTCGAACTTGACGACGGTGTCCTCTATGCAAATGGTCTGTGTGAGAAAGGCCGCGCCTATCGTGCTCTCCTGGTACTCGTGGAACTGTCCCTTGACGAAGCGCAGCACCAGGGAGGACTTGCCCACGGCGGACTCGCCGAGGAGCACCAGCTTGAATTGGCAACTTTTGTTCTGCGAGGTGCCGTTTGGTCGCTGCGCCGTTCCAGTGCCGCTGGCACCGCCGCTGCGTGGTGTGGTTGCCATGATGGGTTTGGTTTGGATTGAATCGGACCCGGTCTTCCTCCTCTGAGATGGCAACTGGTGATTGGTTCTACGGACGGTTACTGCAACTCACTCCCTCTGCTGAGTAAGCTTATCGGAAAGATTGCTGGCGAATGTGGATTTGGAATCTGGAAAAAATGACAGGGAGTTAGTATCTACAATAAAATTGTAAGTCATATTATCTACGCTGTTTGTTATCCTTTTTTAAGACTGTTTTTTAATAGGTGTATTAAACATATTGAACTCCCTAATGTGATCTCAACTAAAATGGGTATTTTGTTTCCACGTACGACAAGCCCAACGCAAAACATCAAGGGACAGAGTGGCGCCTTCGTTTGTTTAATGACGTCGCCGACAAGCCCAATAAATTTAATTCAATATGTCCGACAATATGCATAATAGGCCGCCACGCTTTTTCCGAACGGGAAGAAACCAAAAATAAACTGAATGACTGATAATGGTAATCGATAAATCGAGAGCAATACGCCCCATAAAATCTCGTAGTATAAAAATGCGTCTATGCATAAATCAAAATTTTTAAAAATTCTGAAACATGGCAAAATATTTATACTGATAACAATACTAAATCACATGCCACTTCCGGCAGAGTAAAAATTGAGTTATTCAATTTCAAGAACTGTGCTTAGATTTTTGCTTGCGTGTCGGCCTCAAACACTCACAAACATAGTTAATTGCATGTGCCAAAAGCAACACAGCAAGAACTAAAAATACTTAGGCAAACACAATCGGGAAACCCTAAAAATGTTGTTTAGGCGCAATTATTGTTTTTCCTTTCTCCGCCAATTTCCAGGCGATAGATGAGGGGTTTACAATGAAACAAAACTAAAAAGTTCTTATCGGTGAAGGTATGGGAAATCGAAGTTATCTTCATACCCCAATACTTTTATTGCAGCTCCTTTGAGCTACTAGAAAATGATAATGTACACATTTTCTGATAAAAATATTTCGAGGGCGGGTGCTATACATATGTGTTTTATATAGTATAGGTTAGGGGACGCCTCAAATTATGCGTGCGGCTTTCACAATCTATTTGTTATCAGTTAAACTCCAATGAATCATACGCCACATTGGCCCCTTGTTTTTTTTCTAAAGTGCTGATCAATCTCTATCCCACCGCTTCGATTGAAAAATAGGTGATTTTTTAAAGTTTTTATATAACTGAAATATGTTAGTGTTGTCTTTAAAAGCTTCGCACGCTTCATAATTTGAATTTTTAACAACAGACGTTGGGAACCTCGGATTCCCGGCTAAAAATTAATTAACACATTGAAGCCAGACTGAGCAGTGGAGATAAATCTACAAAGATCGGGGGATGGAATTCTACACGTATCTTGTTTATTTTATGGAGAGAAACAAACTTAAAGCGAAAGAGATTGAGAGGCAAGTGAGGGCGGAAGCTGTGATAAAAATCAATGCAAAATAAACTAAAGGAGACACGGAGAAAGTCAAAGCGTTACAAACATGTTGTTGTTGCTGTGTGGCGTTATTAAATTAACGTAGCGAGAGCAAAATATGCAGGTCCTCTCTTTGACATTAAAAATGCAGTCAGTCAACAATTGTTTGTCACTCCCTCTCCCTTTCGCCTCTTCTATTGTTTTTGTTCAGAGACTTTGGAGCAAAGTGCACAGTCCCACACACATGTATTCAAGCGGCAAATTTGCTCTCTTTTCCAAATTTTCTCTCACTTTCGATAAAGACATTTTACCTACAATTACTTTTGTTGTCCACCAAATGACGTATGTATTTTGCATTTTATTATATCTACACAAAAAACCTTAAATTAAATTAAAACAAGCCGCGTTTCGATGCACTAGTGCAAAATTTTCCATGTTTAGCAGACAGCTGGCAGAGTACAACTCACCGGAAAATATATTAATTTATTTATATCCAATTTCCATGTCATACCAAAGCTTTAAGACACTTTAACAAAAGACCTGGCCTTCGCGCTCGTCTGCGGAAAATTCAATAAAATATAAAACAACGTTCAACGGTGGGCTCCGGAGGAAATGACGGTTCTTTTAGAACAGCTGACGATGCGTCATTCACACGTACCAGTACAAGCGAATTAAAAGAGAGCATGAGAGCCACAGGAACTACACCATGCAGCCACAACAAAGGTCACTCTAGTATGGCTTAAATTCTATAACACATTAAACAATTAAAAAAATAAAACTATAATCGAGGCTTCAATAATAATAACAAAAACTATTTGAAAAAATGGAGCGCTTCAATATATGCAAGGATACATTAAAGTATACTTTACTTTTTAATGTACAAACATTTGCCTGTTTGACCTATCAAGGTGCTCGTGATTGTACCGCCTCACTCGAAAAGTCAACAAGTGCAATTTTCTCAGCATTTTCTCAGCACGAATATTCCAAGCACGACTAAAAAATGGAGAATACATTTAGCTTAAACTTACAATCACACATACTACTCGTTGAATATGTCTTCTATTGACAATAATGGTCCTCTCTTTTTGCAAAGTGAGCGAAAAAGACTAAATAAACAATTGTTAAATGCGAACAAATGACGATGAAATTTTGTTTACATTTTGGCTTAAAGAAACACACTCGTTTAGAGGAAAGGCGGGGGGAGTTTTCTGCAGGAGACTGGCACGATAAGAAACGGATTGCAGATAAATACAAACACATACACAAGCACTCTCTTAATTTTTAAGACGCAAAACAAGCGGAACAAAGAAGAATGATTTTCGTCTTAGTTATGCGGTTAAAGCCCTGATAAATCAACTGATAATGGGGACCGATCCGACTGATCAGCTTTATGTGAAGCCCAGTGCACCTGCAATTTCTTTATCTTTTAACAAGACAATCGAGCACTATTTTAGTTGTTATGCCCACTGTCGTCAAGCTGGTCATATGCCCATCTCATTCTGGCGCCCGCTCCGTTGGGCAACGCACCCAAAAATTCAGGGCCATCTATCGCGCTCACTCTTACACTGGCACTATGGCGGATGGGGCGAAAAAATTTTTACACAACTTTCTTAATTAATTACGGGAAGAGCGAAAACAACAACGCAAAACCACTTCACTTTTGCTGATTTACGCACTTTTAACGCGCACTGCAATGCAATTAAATACTTGAATTTACGTTTTTCTCCGATTAATTCTGTGTCCCAAGGCAGCCCCAAGAAACGAAACAAAACGAGCGAAGAGGGAGATAGACAGCGACTGACGACTCGCCTCTCGGAAGTTCGTCGCAAGTCTTGTTTTTGTCGATTTCCAGGGCGACGTCACCGCTGTGGGGCGTTGCTGGCTATTTTCCACATGTACCCTCGGTCACTATCGTGTTTTTCTCGCTTTCGTCACTAGGCTGGTCGATTTTATTTGCGTAGGATTTTGGTAAACTTAACTTACAACTTTCTTGCAATTTTTATCAGTGTGCCCGACTCTGGAAATACCTAAGCTGCAAAAACATCGTTCTCAAGTCGATGGTATCGATGTTTCAAAATCGACTCTTTGCTGATTTGATGAAACTAATCGATGTTTCGGGTTTTTCCATTTAGCCGTCACACCCTCCTAACCCAACGACTACACCTTATAAGCTAGCCAGGGCACCGTCCAAAGATATCATATTCACTCGGCTACATCCACAGTTAGCTGTGACTAAGTCTGTGAACGATCTAATTTACGCGGGATTTTTAAGTTTGGGAAATTTTCATTTTGACAAGAATCCTCATGAACATCTAATTAATTTCGAAAATTATAATATCCCTTATTCTATATATATTCTGCCCTGAGTAACGAATTTGGTTGGAGAATGATAAAAAAATTCAAAAATAATATTTTATATATTTTGTTGGTTCTCAGCACTGATTTGCTTAACTTTTAATAGTTTTTTCGCTGAGATTTGAATTTCTCATCGTATTTTTGATTCTGACGTCACTAAAGGTTGTATGATTTTTACGTGACTTCAAATTGTAAGCAGTAACTTATGAATTTTAACCTAGCCCTTGACTTAATCATTTTAACAAGACAAAAACTTGTTGGATTTTACTGTAACTTCTTATTTTGCGAATAAAAGCTACAAAATTTTCCACTAATTACGTATTCATATGATTAGTATATTTCCCATGCCGAGCGCCCATGGTCACACTTTTACAATAGCATTGGACTTGAGTCTCGGCTAATTTGCCATTATGTACACCACACCCCTTGTACTAAGCGCTTATTTTTACTCTGTATATTTATGGTATTTTAATGGTATATTCGAGTGTACTTTCGAGAGTCCTTTGGAATGTTTCAGTAGCCCCGCTGCGGTCACACTGGAATGGAAGTAATAACATTGCGAGAGAAAAAAGTGAGAAAAAGTGTGAAAAAGTGCAAAACTATCGGATTTAATTTAATATACCCGTTGAAGGAGTAGGCACACGGGACCAGGGACTTATCGCGTGTGACAGGAATAAGTTATTCGAAAAGAGCTTAAAATCGCGTCCTGCGCCTCCTGCACGCACACAGTTGCAAAGCACCGCACACGCACGCACACAGTTGCGCCTTTCGTCATCTCTCTCGCTCTTAGTTCGTTTTTTTTATCGCAGCTGCAACGCAAATTCCAAAAAGGATAATCCTCACCGATCTTGCGAGTCCTTTCGTTGGTCCAAAAGCGGACACAAAGCCGCAAAGGTGGGCTCTTAAAAATCAGCTAATCAATATTGATTTTAATTAGAAGTATGTCCACTTTTCGGTTGGGGTTTTAATTGTGAGCAACATTCTCGTGGATCCAGGATTTCAAAGGATTCTGCACACCCACACACACCCAGCCAAATACAGTGCTCACTCGAAGAAGTTAACTTTAATGAAAAACAAAGCTAATAAAGCTGAAGATATTTTTAAACTATTACACGTACACAGAAAAAATGTTTTAACAGGATGATGATCAATTTAATATATAATTTGAGGAATTTTTACTGTAGTTTTAATTACACTGAGGTTTAAAAGAACCTCCCTTTTACCCTTGAGAGTGCTGTATATACACACCTGATCCGAAACTTGTGGCTTTTTGCATGGAAATTTCCCTTTGACACATTTTAAACTCGATATTCAAATTACTTGCAGATGACCGAAGGAACCTGTGAGATCTAGAAAGCACAAGTGGTTTTTGGGCCCAGTTTCGGTGACCTCGACACGTAGAGCATGTTCAGTCCTATCAAAAAGATATTCACGTACATACAAAAAAATGCTAGCGGCTCCAATATGTTCAGCCCATCTGGAAATACGACAGCCGGCCAAAGGGAGGCACCTCCCAGTTTGAGCGCCCACGACGAAGGCGACAGAAGGGATCAGGGGGATGGGCAGCAGAGCCAGGATCGAGGGGATGAGCAGCGGCCGCAGCAGCTTCGTATCCTACCCCAACTCGACGACGACGAAGACGACATCGAGAGGCAGATCAAGACCTCCATAATCGATGCCACGAAGGTGCATGCAGCCAAGGCAAAGGCCCTGGCCTCCTTGCCTTTGCCCCTGGAGCAGCTGGACGACGAACTGGCGGACTTTGCCCACGGTCCTGCGGACACCGAACTAGAGGAGCAGTTTCTGGAGCTGGAGAACTATCCGAACAACGAGATAATCGTGCTCAGCGATGCCGATCTCAACTCTTCGATAGCCTCTGACGCCGTTTCCGAGGACCCACTGGCTATAGACAACATCCTGGACTCCTCGTCGGTCACCACGAACGAGGAGGTGGACACCAGTGGCGAGTTGCTCTGGCTGAAGTTGAACAGCGAAACGGAAGTGGCCACCAGTTCAGCGCAAGTGGCATCTGCTAAGCAGGCATCCTTGCAGCCCGCAAAGCCTGCAAAATCGAAGGAAGACGAGCTGAGAGATGGAGGATCAGATTCTGGACTGGGCAGCGAGACCTCCGCTTTGCTCAAGGATCAGGCGGAGAAGGAGCCCGAGCAGGAAGTCCAGGAGAAGCAGGAAACCAAACCCATTAGATCTAATCTCAAGCGAAGATTGGAGGACTCGGAGAGCGACGCTATAGACCTGGTGCCCGACATGTCTGCTCCTCCCCTGACTGCCCAAAAAGCGGACCAAGCGATCCATCAACTTCGACGAGGTGAAGGTGTACTATTTCCCACGACAACAGGGCTTCAGCTGCGTGCCCACTGCTGGCGGATGCACCCTGGGCATGGGTGCCCGGCATATAGCCTTCAAGACGATGTCACTGGCCGAGCACGCGGCGGAATTGAGGCGAGCACATCGCAACCAGAACCAGGAACTCCAGCCCCGCGGTTCCAGCAGCGACGACAGCGAGGAGTCCGAGGAGGACTACCTAAGCGAGGGCAGTGGCTCGGATGCGGAGGACGGTTCCAACGGCTTCCTGCAGCCCGTGACGCCCAAGCAGAGGAGAGCCCTGCTGAAGGCAGCTGGCGTGCGGAAGATCGATGCCAGCGAGAAGAGCGAGTGCCGGGACATCCGAAACTCGAGGGAAGTCTGCGGCTGCTCCTGCAGGGAGTTCTGCGATCCGGAGACCTGCGCCTGCAGCCAGGCGGGCATCAAGTGCCAGGTAGACCGGGCAATGTTCCCCTGCGGCTGCACTCGCGAAGCCTGCGGCAACACAGTCGGCCGGGTGGAGTTCAATCCGACAAGGGTGCGCACCCACTACATCCACACGGTGATGCGACTGGACCTGGAGCAGAGACAGGGATCGGTGCAGGGCGTTCAGGGGGGCCATCTCCAGCAGCAGCAGACGCAGCAGCAGTCGCAGCAGAGCCTCAGCTACTCCCCGGTGGGAACGTCCGCCACGGCATCCGCGTACTTCCTGCAAACGCAATCCAACTACAGTTCCGGCTACGCTTCGCCGGCCTACACGCCCGAGAGCAGTGTGAGCTACTACCAGCAGCAGGGCGTTCCAACTGCGGGACAGGGGAATCCCCAACAGCAGCAGGCGCAGAGCCAGAGCTACGCGACCTACGCCCAGCTGGACAGCCTGGACTCGGGCCTCTTTGCCAGTGGCAGCAATGCCACGCCCTCGTACGGAGAGCTATATCAGTCGCTTAGCTACGGCAGCACACAGGTAGGAGAAGATGAACCTTGACTCCTCTCCAAAGCCCACTTAACTTGTTTGTATCACAGATCACTTCCTATCAAACCGCCTACCAGCAGCACTCGACGTCGCCCGCCGCCGCTGTCGCCTCCGGAGCAACCAGCTCCTGCGCCTACAGTTCCTGTGCGGTGCCCTCGGTGCCGCCGTACGGAAATGCCACCACAACCGCCTCCAGCAATGCTCTTTACCAGACCACCGCTGTCTCCATGACGGCCGCCTCGTCCACCTCCGTCTCGTCGACGCGGCTCGTGGGTAATCCAGGTGGAGCGGCAGCGACCTCTTCGGCCGCAGGCTCCACCACCGCTTCCCCAGCCAACGGCAATGAATTTATCAGCCTGAGCACACCGATCGCCAGTTCCTCGCGCCTCTCCCAGATCAACGATCTGCTGCAGCACAACCGCAACACCACCGCCGCGTTGGTGGCCGTTTCGGAGGGATTTAGCGGTGGGAGAAACACGTCCAGCACGTCGACCATTGACTCCATCGACACACCGCCCATTGTGGAGGATGGCCAGCAGCGTGGATGCATGAGTTTCGAGGCGTTGCCCCCGCCGCTCGTGAATCCCGCGCCCATCGTCGCCGTGGTGGAGAGCAAGCTGCCGCCGATGACCACGTTGGCCCTGCCGGTTGCACCTGCTCCTCCAACAGCCCCTCAGCCACGCCAGCCGCTAGAACAGCATCATCAGGCCTTGAGCGAGTCCACCTAAAGCAGGGAACGCACCAGCAAATCGGATTGGGGCTGGGTCGATTTGTAGGGATGATTCCTTAGATAAGGTGCAGTTTACTTCTTTGGACAATTCTCAGTAACTTTTAATTGGATGCTTTAGTTCTACGTTCGCCCTCAAGATAGTTTTATTTTACTTTAAAAGTATGCCAAAAGTTGTTAGATTAAAAATGAAAAAGATTTTAGTATCAAGAATTTTGCAAAACAGAAGAAAATTCCTTTTATACTTGTTGAAAATTAACCCTTTGCATTATGTTTCCCTAGTTTCAGTAAGAAGAATATTTATGAAAGTATTTAAGTAAAAATGTGAAGAAAATAGTTTGTAAATACCCCTTTTTATCCAATCCAATTGAAATTGTATCTATGTTTTCCGAAAAACTTCCTGAGAATTTTACAAAGCGCATAAAAGACCCACCCGTAAATCGAAATAGGAGGCGCACCGAGAGAGCTGGGAATAGTTTTTATAGCAATTTTACACAGCAAAAGACTTCATTACGTTTAAGGCGGCGGCAGGTGTGGCTGGCAAAGGTTGGCAAAGGTTGGGAGCAGGACGAAGGACGAACAGGGGCAGGAATCAAAATGAACAGCTTTGGCGTCACTCCTCGATTTCAGGAGACCTCTTAAGTAGCGGCGAGGGCCACCGCAATGGGGCCCAGACCGCCTTGTATAAATCATTTTATTGTTAAATTCTAATTAGCCTCTAAGTACATAATGTAATTTAGTTACTTTGTTGCTTAAGTTATGTTTCATTCGCAAAATCAAGTTCTCTTCTCCTAATTTTTTTTCTTTGTGTAATCTAAAACGAACAAACCACGGAAGGACACCTTTTAACCTCGTTTATAGCATAGCTCCAATGAATTTAATGAGCTGAGAGCCCCGAAACCTTCCCCAAAATTCTGTGTGTCAAATCTGATTTAACCCAGCTTAACTGAAATCGATCGAAAGCCGATTTTTGTTTTGTATTTGCATTTAGTTACCAAGCCAATTAATTTCCTAATGGATTGTACGAGCCTTTGTAGATTTATCCTCGATTTAGCTGCGTTTAAGTATTCTTTTAGCTCTTAAGTTCCTCATTTCTGACCTTTAGCGTATTAGCCTTAATGAACCAACAACGGAAAACGGCAGCAAAAGAAAAACAGACAACAGAAACCACAACATGCAGTACGATTTAGAAGTATGTATATGCAACTTGATAACGACAAAAGCAGAAAAAATGAAAACGATAAAGAAAATAATTGCAATTATTTAAATAAATATTGAATACAAAATAACAAGCCACTTGAATGAGGAAACCCTAATCCGATTCAGATATATATTTACAATTAGTTTCAGCAACTTTTCCTACGGCTCAAGCATCGTAGGTGACCCCAATCTGGCGTCGCATCTCGTCGGTGATGGCAATCAGTTCCAGACTCTCGGCATGCGTGAATTTCGGACTCTCCAGCAGCCGTTTCTCTATGCAGCGACGCACCTCCTCCGCCTCGTATCGCAGGCCACAGGTGTTCGTGTAGTGGAAGTCAAACTTGGCCCGCGGCAATGGCCAGGAATCCGGGGGACCATTGGATCGGCTCAGTTGGGTGCAGCACCAGTAGTTCGACAGCTGGAAGATTAACAAAGTGTGGATGCAACAGCTGCGCTGATAATCCCCTGGCCCGCGGGTCAGACCCGAAAAGCAGCGAGATAAGCTCACCTTAATCTCGCCTTTGGTGCCCGTGATGACGGCATCGTTCTCCAGGTTCTCCAGTCCCGTGACCAAAGCCAGCAGTCTCCGTCCGTCTCCGTAGTCCAGTATGAACTCACCCTGCACATCGACGCGGTCCTTGTTCAGCTGCGTGCCACTGGGCAGTATCTTCACGGGTGAGACTCCGAAGACAAACTGACCCAATTGCAGGGCGTAGATGCCGATGTCCATGAGGATGGAGCCGCCCAGCGAGCGGTTGCAGACCCGCTCCATGTGAGTGAGGCGGAAGCCGTGCTGGATCTTCACCTGGGTCACCTCCCCAATGACGTCGCTGTTCAGGAGTTCCCTCAGGCGAGCGTAGCTGGGAAAGAAACGTGACCACATACCTGAAAGTGAATCATAACCAGAATTAAATTCACTTTTAATTTCAGATGTGGTTAGTTTACCCTCCATGAGGAACACGCCCCGCTGCTCGGCCAAAGCATACAGCTCCTTGGCCTGCTCCAGGGCCAGGCACATTGGCGTCTCGCAGAGGACGTTCTTGCCCCGGGCGAGCATCAAGTGGACCACGGCATAGTGGAAGGGATTCAAGGTGCCCACATAGACCACGTCCACCTCCTTGTCCAGCGCCAAGGCATCGAACCCGTCGTAGTGCCTGGGGATCTGGTTCCTCTGGGCGAACTCCTGAGCCCGCTGGCCATCCACATCCGCCACGGCCACCACGACGTGGCGGGACTTCTCCACAGTTCCCAGGGCAGTGACGAAGTCCTGCGTTATCCTACCCGCCGCAGCGATGCCCCAGTTCAGATTCGCCTGGCTCTGCATTGTTTTTCCGAACCGTTGAACTGAATGCTTTACGGGTCTCCGTTCCGTTTTCGATTCAGGCAGCTACTAACGCCATGATAATAGCACGGAGTGCCCGTCCCGAGGGCTCCTATCAGTCCCTGGCATCTGCATTCATTGCACTTTTCGTATTCCATTGCATTCCGGTTGATAAGGAACCCAACAGATCTAAGCTGGCGCTCTATAAAATACGTTTTCAAGCGATGATGCTCGGTTTCCTATATACTTGGAAGGAGTACCTCATTTCTTGTCAGACAGATTTAATATTCATTATGCTCGCTAGTTGAGTTCGTTTTTGGAATCCTTAAATTATTTTTTAGTTTTTAGAGTATTAACGTCGACAAGCTCCCACTGTTCCTAAACTTATCACCAGGTTTTTCTCCCTACATATTTTTCAAATCTCAAGAGAGTCTCTGGCCATGAAGAGCTCTACGCAATTGAACAATATGGAGTGTCGTAATGGGGCCTTATCACAGCCAAGACGAGCCCCCTTTTTTGACTACTATCAGAAGATAACATTGATTCTAGAAGTCGATTTAAGTACAGTTTCGTAACTAGATCCAAAAGCTAAAAAGAAAAAAGGAAACTCAAAATCTATATCAAGAAAAAGTATATTTTACGGGAAAAAAAACATTAGAAATATCCATCAAAAATTTCCATGACGTGTGACTTGGTGTAAGCTATAAGTTCTGAAATTGTAAACTGGGTGGTTATCTTTATTTGAGATACGCGACCAAAAAACCCCACAAGACCCTGAGATAAGAGACCCCTGCGCTCTCTTAACCAGCCCCTAAATTAAAAGACGCCCATCATGCGGTGGAAACGTGATCAACGCGAATATTGCTATATCATCTACTTTAGTTACACCCCAGGCAGAGTTCGACCTAGTGGGAATGCGAATGTCATTGCTGCCGTTCTACAATCAATATTCCGCCTTATCGCACTGTTTGCCAATCCTTGATTTAGAGTGGGGCAACAACAAAATTGGAATCGCTGGAGATTTCTTGTTTTGGGGACAATTATGGAATGAAAATGGATTTTAGATTTCAGGTATAATATTGTGGTATAAATATAAATATTTTTTTCAAATAAACTCAAGAAAATGTATCTATCGTTTTTTAAAAACCTTGTTTATTACTTTATGTTATGTTTAGCTATAAAATCTATTTTACTCCTCGTCGAACTTGTTGAGCACACCGATCTGCTTGCGGATGGTGTCCTCGATCTCGGCGAAGAGCAAACTGTCGGCGTAGGTGACGCCCTTGTTTTCAACTTCGCCAGCCAGGATGGACTGACGCACTGCCTCCGCCTCGTACCTCATGGCCTCGGAGTTTTGGTAGTTTGTCTGGTGCTTGCCCTTGGGCGGCACCCACTCCTTCACCTGACCATCGATGTCGATCAGCTTGTTGGGCGTCCAGAAGTCAATCAGCTGGAAGATAATATGTATTTTAGATTCTGTTAGATCGCGATTGATTAGATTACTTACGGTGACTTCTCCTTTGGTGCCCTTGATCACGGCGGTGTTGGACAGCTTCTCCTTGGCGGAGACGCGCATGCGGGCAGTGCGTCCGCCACTGTAGGTCAAAGTGGCGCTCACATCGTCGTCGACGCCCTCGGCATTCAAGGATCCCTTGGACTCGATCTTCTCGGGCTTCTCCTGGAAGGCCCACTGCGAAACCTGGATGGTGTAGATGCCCAGATCATAGACCACGCCACCGCCCAACTCGCGTTTCCTGATGAAAAAATAAAAATAATTAATAAGTATCATATCTAGTAACCCGTAATTAAAGATAAATTCTTGTACTCACTGCAGGCGATCCACATGCTCCAAGGGGAAGCCAAAGTTGACCTCAACATCCTTGACCTGTCCAAGCTGTCCGCTGGTGATGAGCTCCTTGACTCGCTGGTAGGAGGGGAAGAACCGGGACCACACGGCCTCCATGAAGAAGCGCTTGTTGGCCTTGGCAGCAGCCAGGATGCCCTCCACCTGCTTCTTGTTCATGGCCAGAGGCTTCTCGCAGAGCACATGCTTGCCATTGTTCAGCATCAGCACAGCCACCTCGTAGTGCTGAGGGTTCAATGTGCCAATGTAGACCACATCTGCGGATGTCCAATATTTTTTATCAATTTGTTTTTTAAGTGAATAGGGTCTACTCACCGACATCGGTGCTCTTGGCCAGTTCCTCGTAGCTTCCGAGGGCCTTGGGGACTCCGTGCTTGGTGGCGAACTCCTGGGCACGATCCAGAGATCGGGCAGCTACAGCCTGGACCTTGTGGTCGCTGGAGGGCAGGGTGCTCAGGGCGATGACAAAGTCCTCGCTGATCTTTCCGGCAGAAGCGATTCCCCAACGGATGAGTTTCGACATGTTGCTGGCTTGTGGGACGGGCTGTGAATGAGTGGAATGCCAAGAGGATTGTTAGTTAAATACGGCTGGAAGCCCGGAGAGCCTTTCTTATCAGAGGAGAGCAAGAGAGAATCCAAGCGTTATATTTCTCCACCGGGAGCTTATCTTCCCCCCAATTGTTTTAAAGCCGGTAGACCAAAAGTAATTGTTGTATTTCACAATGTTATTGAATTTGACCTTGTTTGAGCATTACTTGAATTATTCTGGATGCCACCTGTACGGCAATTCAAAGTTATCAGTTGATCGAACGAGCCCTCCTCTCTTTGGTAATCATTTCCCCAATAAATTATAAATACTTGTCACGTTCGCTACTCGGAGATAAAAGATAGTTACAGTGATAGAGAGAAAAATAGCGATTACGTTGCAATAGTTTTTTTATTTTGTGAACCCTTTTTTCAGCCTACATATTCTATGAAACTCTTTGTTTCTGTCTTATAAAACTAGTTTTGCATATAAAGTTTAAAAAGCATTAAACAATTAAGCCGACTACTTGTTATTTTTCGCTTATAACAACACTTGCAAAATGTTAATTATGAAAAGCTCGTATATTTTATTTATTTAATTTAAACTTACTTTGGGTTTCAGGCAGAACTAAACGATTGGATAAAACTTTCCACTGTGTTGTTTTTTATGCGCGACAGTTCTATTTATAACTTTTTTCTATTAACATTTTCCTGCACACCCTACATACAAAACAAATTCGATTTCCTTGCTTTACTTCACAACTGAGCTTTTGACGCAAGTGGGTGGTGCACCCTCTATGCCAGTGGTCGCGTTTCGTTGTTAAAGCTAGTTCGAAGAAGAAGAAAACAGCTGTTTATTGTTTTGGTCGCAGGTTTAGGAAAACATTTACGAACATGCTGCGAAAACTCTTATTTAACACTCAAGTTGTATTAAAACAACAACCAAATGTAAGTTTTATCTAATATTGTATTTAAAGCTTCGAGTTGCAGCTACAATTTTCTAGATACATCACATAAGACATCTGGCAAGTCAGAAGATTTTGGAACTCCAGCAAGTCCACATAGATGAGGCCATAAAGTTGGAGCCTACTTTGTCAATTTTCACACCTGAGATTTGGCAAAGAGCCCATGAAACATTTAAAAATCACGGCTTGGAAACAGTAAACTTCCTCAGAATTGTTACCGGAAATCCTTCAGTTCTAAAGCGAACGCCGGATAAAATCATCAACAGCCTGGAAATCTGGAGAGCCTGTCAGTTTGGCGAAAATCTGCTGCACCTGCTTCTTACAAAATATCCAGAATTATTGGATGTAAGTGACCCCCACCAGCTACTGTCTCACATAGGCTTTCTGAAAAGTCGCGTGTCCACCAGCAAAAATGTTTGGAAACTGCTGATGAACAGTCCGGACTTAATAGCACAACCGGAGGCATCCTTGGAGGAAAAAATAAACTTCATAAAAGATGTAATGCGCATTGAAGTGCCTGAGATAGTGAAATCATCAGCCCTAACTTTGCCTTTTGAGGAGCTGCGTTGTCGTCACGAGTTTTTGATTCGCTTGGGTTTGTTTAAGCCCAGACCTCTGAAAGCCGATCCCAATGATCCCACTACAAACCACAAGCTATATCAAATTACGGACACGTCGGAGAAAAGTTTTGCCACAAAGATTTGTCATGTCACCCTGCCGGAATACGAAGCCTTTAAGGAGCTCTTCGCCAAAGAACTGGAGAGAAAGTCCAGAAAAGCCAAGGAAGAAGAGGACTTCAGTGATGAAGATGACGTTTAGGATTAAAATAAAATAAATTGTATCAAGTTATTGAGGTATAAAAAAATGGATTTATATTCCAATGTTTGGAGTATACCAGTGTTTGGAGTACCACAACTCATTGTAAAAAAGGATTAAATTACTATTTAGTGAAGCGGTTTGCTTATCCGCTAAAACGCCATCGAAGGTTTCCACCTATTGTTCAACTTAGTTTTCAGTTACAAATTGCGTTTTTCTTTAGTAATGCAAGGGTATATTTTAGGGTATTCGATGGCGTATCGAGTCACGGTCACACTTCATGCATTTGGGAGAAAAGTAAAAAAATAAATTTAAAAAACAAAGCAACCGCCGCATTCAAAATGGAAGTGTGTTAACGACGACGTAAGTCATTACAAAAGTGTTGGGCGGCCTAGCAAAGTCGTTTTCGGGGATTTTGAGTCATTTTTATTTTGTGATTTTCAATCGTGTGCTTTGTTTGTGTTGCGTTGGTGTGGGTAAGTGTGTGGTGCGTCGGTGTGAGTGGCTGCGCATGTGTGCGGCAATGCGAGCGAGATGGCACCACTCGAATAGCGGTTGTCAAAAACAGCTGATTTGGCCCACGGGTGTGGGTGTCAGGGGGTGTATGCCAGTGGGAGAGATGGGGGCAGCACTCACCTGTAAGCTTTCGCTGAAAATTTACGGTATAAATAAAATTGTCAAGTTTGGAAATTCATTAAAAAAAAGATTGTTATCCGATGTTGTTAAAATTTCTGAGGGTACAGTTTTGACACCCTCAACAAAGGGGTTTGTATACTTTTTTCTACTCTTGAGGTAGCTAAAAATGTATCTAATTCAGGGTCAATTCAGGTATCTAATTCAGGGTCCTGCGCTTAGTGATTTGTGAGAAAAAAAATTACAGAAATGTAACCATTAACAATTTTGGATAACTGTCAAAAGTCCGTTGAAGTGCTTTTCATTGATACTACGATTTAATAGAGTTAAATCCAACATTAAGCAAAACTCACATTGCTCTAAGCTTTGTTTTATCGTTGATATCAGCGTTACATTGAGTAAATAAATAATTTGTATACAAATAGATAAGTGAGAATGATATAAAGTAAATACAAAAAGTGTTCTTTACTTGAAATTAAAGAGGTAGTCATTAAATGTTACACCGCGATCGCAGTCATATCAGAAATTCCGTAACTCAAATAAAATTATCTAGAATATCGGTCTGATGATTACGTACAAATTAAAAAAATGTCATAATAGAATTACTCACCGACGAAAGTCTTCCGATTCGGAGTTTCTCTAAAGACACAACTCTAATTTCAACTTGCAGGTGCTTTAAGGGGCAATTTTGCTCGTATCTACCGAACCCTTAGATCCTGCGACCTCAGTTTCTGCCCGGAATGCCCCTCAACGAGGTGGTAACCTCCGGTGCTGGAGTTTATCCTGAAAATGGCACCAAGCACAAGGCGCAAGGAATGTCGAAGCCGGACTCCTCAGCCGGTTCCAACTCTGGCTCGGGATCGGGACTCTCGCTGTTCTCCCTGCAAGGCCAGAAGTGGCAGCAGGTCTTCGACTTGGACAAGGTCATTAAGCAGCTGCGCACGGCCGAGAAGACCTATCTGCGCGGCGGGAAGAACTCCTCCGCCGGCGGAGATCAGCAGGCGAAGGTGCAGGTGCAGCGCCTCCAGTCGGTGGACATGGCCTACTACGACCTGGTGCCCAAGCTGGCCAGCCGCGACATAGTGCTCTGCAGTTCCTGCTCCGGCTGCTATACCAAGGCAGGGTTCCAGCACCACATTGCGTTGCAGCATCCGAGCGTTTGGGAGGCTACGTCCAGCAAGGTCAATCCGAATCCCAATGGAACGGCCGTTTCAAGCGACTCGCGTCTCACTGCCACGGAAAACAGCCAGGAGAGCGGTGCCATTGTGCCCAGTTCGCCCACGGACACGCTCTCGGCCTCGACGCTCTCCAGCTGCTCGAACGGCTCTAGTAGCTCCGCCTCGCTGCAGCATCCGGCGGGGGCGGGGTCCTCCTCCAACACCACCACCTCGTCCTCGTCGTCCTCACGTCACAAGAGCAGCAGCAGCAAAAGCAGCAGTTCCTCCTCTTCGAAAGGCAGCAGCAGCACTTCGGCCGGGAGTCGCTCGCGGTCCAAGTCGTCGAAGAACCGCCACCACTCCTCGCCAGCTCCGGCGCCGGCGTTAGAGTCCAATCACAAGGAATCCAAGGGTTCCAAGAAAAGTGCGGCCATAGCGGCTCCTCCGGTTGTTGTTCCCGTTGTCAAAGAGGAACCTTCGGCCACGGCAGCTGTGCAGGCCGCCATCAATGTGTTCTCCTCCTCCAGCAACTCATCCTGCAGTCTACCGCCCACGCCCACGCTGGGAACGGCCTCCAGCGATGTGGCCCTGGGCGTCAACTACTCACCTGCCCAGCTCCAGGCGGAGGCGGAAAAGCTGCCAGAGGTGCAGCCAAAGAAAAAGGTATTTTCTATCTTTATTCTTGCCAGGAAACCCCTTAAACCCTTTTGGTTTTTTAGCTGAAGGGCTCCAGCGACCATCGAACAAAAGCGGAAAAGGAGAAGAACAAAGAGAAGACACTGGTAAATCCCTACGAGCAGCAGCAAGTGCTCAGCGAGCTGGATCAGGCGGTGTCCTCCATAACGGGAGCGGTTTCCTGCGATCAGGTGGCGGCCGACGAGGAAGAACTGCCGCTGCCCAACACCTCCGATGAGAACTCCATTTCGCAGACGCTCGACGAAATGCTGGACAGCAAGCTGATCAACGAGATCCTCAACAACTTCGATGAGAGCGCCCTGGACACATCGCAGCAGCAGGTGCAGCAGCAATCGCAGAACGGATCGCTGCCGCATCCCACACAGGCCACCAAGAGACTGCGCTTCGAGGACGGAACCATTGGCGAGGACTATGCGGTGTACCAGCAACAGCCTGTGCAGCAGGTCTACGGGGAGGAGGAGCACCAGCAGGAACTGACCACCATCGATGCCATACAGCTGCAGCAGTTGATCTACCAGCAGCAGCAGATGCTCGAGCAGCAGCAACAGCAGGAGCAGCAGCAGCAACAGCAGGTGGAACAGAAGCTGCAGGACCACGAGCAGCAGCGCCAGTTCAGCGTGTACAACGTGCCATCCTTGACGGACGAGGCGATGGGCAATCCGCAACAGCAGCAGCAGCTGGAGGAGCACATGATCCTGCCGAGCATCATTTACGAGATCAACGAGTCGAATCCCGTGTCCATGCTTGAGCAGCAGAAGGTCCTGGCCGAGTTTCTAACGCAGGCGGGCTACGAAAACGTGGACGTGAATGTCCTGCAATCGTCGGGCCTCCAAACCGGCTTAAGTTCCGGGGTCGAGACCACCAACCACTTGGCCGACGAGCTGGGCGACTTCGAGTTCAGCAAACTGGAGACTGTTAGCGACACCGTAAAGACTGTTAAGCTGGAGGCCAAGGCCGCCAGCCAGCCACCCACAACAAATCCTCAAATCAACCATCATCCATCGCTGGCCAATGCCAAATACCACGAGGACAGCTACTTCAACGTGATGCTGTACTCCGGAGCGCCTCGTCCCCTGGCCATGAACACGTTTGGTATGGTCAAGTTGCCCCAGGGCTTGGGTGTGACCTTCCGCAAGAACCTGCTCACCACGCGAAAGGCCAACAACAGTTTGTTGTCCCTGACGGGTGGCAATCACCTGGGCGTCGTTGGCCAGCTGGCTCGTGCACCTCCGCCGCCCTCGCCGGCGTTGAGCAATGGTCTTCCGGGAAAAAGCGCTGCTTCCGCCAGAACCATCTACGCCCAGAGATCAAATGTCATTGCCCAGGATCGACTGAGGTGCAACAAGAGAGCGCTGATCAGTGGCAAAGTGGGAGGAGCGGCAGCAGGAGCAGGAGCACCGGGAGTCATGACGGCCAAGCGGTTAAACGAACTGCTGATGGGCAAAGTCAAGAAGGAGGAGAAGCCACCGCCGGAGGGCGGAGATGAAGGCGAGCAGCCGTCGCGGGACAAGGAGCGCGATAAGGAGGAGGACAACAAGCTGACCTTCAGCTTCTACGAGAAGCGACGCCGCCTGCTGGCCGGCAAGCAGGAGCAGCTGCAGTCCTTCGGCCGGCCCAGCTTCACCCTGCCGCTCCAGAGCAACCACAACGCCAGCCAAAGTCAAAGCCACTCGCCGCAGCAACTGCTCAAGAAGCAGCTGCTGCGCACCCTGTCCGACAGCAGCAGCAACATCAACATCAGCAACATGAACAACATCAGCAACTTGAACAGCAGCAACACTCCCAGCGCCAATAGCAATCCTCCCTGGAAGGGGAGCAGTTCCAATCCGGGAGGCAACTCCACTCCAACCAGCAGCGACTTGATGCGCGTCTTCGTCTGATGAGGTCTGATATTTGGACGAAGCGGACGCGCGTCCCTAGAATATATGTTTATACAATACGATCGATTATGTGCAGCCTCTTCTATAAATGCTAAATTAATTTTTTAATAATTTTTTTAAATCAATTCTTCATTTTTTAAAAGTGATAATTAGTTATCGATTAGTTGATTGTATGTAGTTCTCTGTTTAGTCTATGGCCTAAGTTAATTTTATAAATTTACAAATATATTTTTTTCGTGGCTAAGCATTACGCTAAGTACTCGTAAAGCATTATTTATAAACGCTGTAAACTTTTAAAAATACAAGAGCATGCCTAAGTTCAATTCTACCTCGCACCGAGCGTTACTGAATTTGGTTTGGTGAATTATTAGATTCGATTTCCCCCCAATACAAAGTTAAAGCTTATAAACCTTCTTGGACCCTCGGATATTGCCTAACACCTTTATCTGAACTTAAAGAGAGTAAAACACTGAGAAGAATGCGTATAATGTTCTGCATTCTAGATTCTAAAATATCTACATTAGGTTCATATCAAATCGAAGTAGAGTTAAACAAAACAGGTTCATAGCTAATTAATAGTGAATTCAATTTACTGAATCCTGCAGTTTAAAGTAAGTAATCTTAATTTGTATATTATTTCAATTCAGCTGAGTGTATTTATGAAGAGCAGTAACCGGCTGCAGAAGAAAACCAGCTTGCGGTTTTATCATCTTTCGCTCAGTTGTGAGGCGATAGCCGGTCAAGAATGTCGTCTCCTGGGCTTCAGTGGAGTTCGCTAGGCCTGCTGACTTTTTGTTTATTGCTATGTGTAGGCTCTCCAGAAAGCTGCGATGAGGGAGAGGAGTTCCAGTGCCAGGAAGATGGAAGTTGCATACCCTTCGAGAATTGGTGCAACACCAAGCCGGATTGCCCGCTGGCCAGCGATGAATCCTTTATCAGCTGCAAAACCCATCCCTCCGACATGATGGCCGATAAGTTTCAATGCGCAAATGGGGCTCCGATTCCGGAAAGATTGGTCTGCAACGACATAGTCGATTGTTCCGACGGATCCGATGAACTGCCTCAAGTTTGCAACGACAACCCAGACGAAATGAGACAACGATTTCGGGGGAACTGCACGGGGTAGGTTTCATCGTGGGATGGATTTGTATAGATCTCGTAAAAACGGCTTTATAAATATTTATCTATGATCCTTATTAACCTCATAACAGGGATTCAGATCTCGAGTGCCTTCCCGGGGAATGCGTGGCCGATTCGGCCAAGTGCAATGGCGTAATCGACTGCTCCAACGGTCGTGATGAATCTCTGGAGATCTGCATGCAATCCTGTGACAAAAACAAGTGCTTTCAGTGTTCCAACGGAGTTTTGGTCGACAGCAAGCACCTGTGCGACAACGAAATGCATTGTTTAGATGGATCCGATGAACTACTAACGGTTTGCGGAAATGCGAAAAACTGGACCGAGGTTCCGCCAGCAGAGTGCTATGAGACTTCGGAGCTCCTGTTCACCAACAGGACTGTTTTCCAGATGAAGGACTCACGACGCTTCGTTTATGCCAACCAACCGGCTGAAGTTCAGTGCTGGAACTCTGATCGGAGGTCCTGGAATGTGTGCATGAACAACGGGTCCTGGCACCACGAGTTTCCACCATGCCACGAAAAGCTGATCAACAGAAATCCCGACACGAATGGCACGAACGGTTGTCCTATAAATTGGTACAACAATGAGACGATGATTATTTGGGACGAAAATGATAACTCCGTTATGCCGCCTATTCAAGATTCAAGAGTGACGTTCAAATGCGAGGACGGTTTAACTTTTTTGCCATACGAGTTTAAGGACGATCCCATAACATGCCTACCTAACAATACGTGGATCGAAAAGGACTTCCATCCTCGCTGTACTAGTAAATATACATGTTAGAATATATATGTACTATATTTATTTCAAATCTTTCTTCAATTCTTCTAGAACTCTGCAGTCCCGATGCGATAACCGAGATGTATAGCCTGACACCAAGGTGCTACAATGGTGAGAATGGGACACCATTTAACTGCAAGGACAAATACTCCTTGATACCGGAAACGAGGGTTAAGTTCGAGTGTGCCAGTGGGTTCACGCATAGAACATCCGAACCGATGATGGTGAAGTGCACCGAGGAAGGGAGGTGGGAGGGTCTGAGGGACTTGTGCGAGAGGGAGGAGAAACTCTGCAACTACGAGTGTAACCACCGGCTAAACTACTCCGAGATCACATTTAGCAAAGGCGGGGATCCCACGGATTCCTTGAGAGCCTCTTGGCTGGTACCCATCTACAGGTGGAACTCAACGACAGCGAAACATGAATTTGCGTGTACCGGAAATCTGATCCGACTGGATATTGTACTAACTGCAGCCCACTGCATTAAGGCCAACGGATCTCAGAAGGAGGATTTTCTAGTTGGACCCACTGGCAACCGATCTGATTTAACCATTGACCGCGAGCACTTGCACAAGGTTCGACATCTAGATGTTTACGGGTAAAAAGGATAATCAATATTAATAGAGAACTCGAAACTAGTTTTGTTAATCCCCGCCTTACAGAGCCTACAGCGAGGTCACTCACACATATGATGTTGGGATTATTTTCCTGGAAAAGCGAATGGATTTCAGGCAGGATCAAAGGATCGTCTGCCTGCCCTATAGTGATGGTTCGCAGTTGAGCTCTAGCGGCGATGCCATGGTTACCTCCTGGAACTCCGACGGCTACCTGACGACTGTCTACGGACGATTAAGTGAGCTCAGGAATGGTGACCTCAACGTCGAGCTCAACGACGATTACAGGCTCTGCAAGGGAGACAGTGGCAGCGGAGTGATCACCACCTGCGGCTTGGACAATCACAAGTGCCTGGTGGCGGTGATCAGTCGAAATGTGGGCTCCGGCGACCACGGAACATTTTGCAGCAACAATGTAACTGCAGCTTCTCTTAAACCACTCCCACTACAGGATCATATTCAGCAAATTATCCGGAATAATGTAAACTGCCCCGAGGTGGAGTAAATCATTAGATATTAAAGTGAAAGTATTAGATACATCTCAGCATATTACCATAATGACTGTCAAGTTTTTTACTAAAAAGTTTAGTTAACTTAAATAAACCCAATTTAAAAGAACCGCCTATCGAAGATTCGAACCTTTAGACTTACACAATGCGGGGCACTTGAATTGGTTTCAAGAGTTCCATTGAACAATGTTAAAATTCTTAAAATCAAAATACTTCTCATGTTACAAACATAATTGGTTTAACAACTAATAAATATACAATCTTTTAAAGTTTTTAAGTCAAGTATAGTAAACCTGTTTGGGTGGCGCGGAGTGTAGGTTTGTTTTGATTTACTTTGTCGTACGGCCACACTGAAATAGACTGGTATTACCATGGACAATTAACTTCATCTTAGCCCGCTCATAATCATCTTTCAGCCGCTTAAGGCCAGGTGAGATCATCTTCGCTGGTCGAGAAATGCACCTGAAGATGCTGCTGTGGAAAGCGTGAGAAATCGCCGGGAAATCGCTGAGAAATCGCATGCAACGAAGTACTTAACTGAATCTAACTCAACTTAAGATGCCAATCCTGCTGATACTCACGGCGATACTGCACCTGACCTTGGGGCAGGACGCCAAGCACCTGGACGGATTCACCTTGCCCAGCCTTCCTGCTGATCACCTCATCCGGTACCTAAACACGTTTCCCACGCTGAAGCAACAGCTGCCCACGAATCTCACCGGTAAGGCAAACATTTCATCCGCCTGCTGGGGCCACGAACGAGACTGCACGCCGGACAGGCGTTTCCAGACGCCGCAGTGCCCCGGGGAGCACACAGGCTGGGCCAGAAGCAAAGAGGCCCAGGTTAGGACCTTCTACAACCAGGCCGACTTCGGGTACATCCAGGAGCAGCTCTCCCAACTGACTCCGCAGTGTGTGCCAACTTACCTCGGGGACTCTTCGCTGGAGTGCACCCACTACCTGCGCTTCTGCCGCGGAAGGAACCTCCTCTTCGATTTCCGGGGTCTCGAGCTGCGAGAGGAGCGCATTCGCTACCATATGGACGTACTGAGTCCGGGCCAACTTCTTGGTCACTGCGAACTGAATCGAACCAGATTATCTGGTGAAATGGAGCACATTGGATCGGCCCTGCAGTCCTGGGGTCCAGAGCTGCGCAACTTTGAGGTGTTACCTCATCCCGTTCTGGAGAGCGGTCTCTGCGATCTGGTAGTGAATACGCCCACTTTTATCATGAAAATCGATGCCACGTACAACATGTATCATCACTTCTGCGACTTTTTCAACCTGTACGCCTCGCTCTTCGTCAATCAGTCGCACCCGGCTGCATTCAACACGGATGTTCAGATCCTTATATGGGAGACATATCCTTACGATTCGCCCTTCAGGGACACCTTTAAAGCCTTCTCGCAGAGGCCGGTGTGGACGCTCAGCGATGTGGAGGGCAAGAGGGTGTGCTTTAAGAATGTTGTGCTCCCTCTGCTGCCCAGGATGATCTTTGGATTGTTCTATAATACACCAATAGTAAGTGAGGAAATAAATTGATGACCTAAAAGCTATAATTTGAATTTTTACAGATTCAGGGCTGTTCAAATAGCGGACTGTTTCGGGCCTTCTCCGAGTTCATCCTGCACCGCCTGCAAATCCCTTACAAACCTCCTCAGCGTAGAATTCGCATAACTTATCTCTCGCGCCGCACAAAGTACCGGAGAGTGCTCAACGAAGACGAGCTCCTGGGCCCACTGGAGTCCAACGAGAAGTACATCGTGCAGCGCGTTTCTTACGAGAGGTGAGAAAGTTATGAAATTCCTACCACAACAATATAAACGTGCTTTTCCGCAGGCTCTCCTTCACCGAACAGTTGGCTATTACCCGGAACACAGACATTCTCATCGGCATGCACGGCGCAGGATTGACGCATCTGCTATTCCTGCCAAACTGGGCATGCCTCTTCGAGTTGTACAACTGCGAAGATCCCAACTGCTACAAGGATTTAGCCCGATTGCGTGGAGTTCGCTATCGAACTTGGGAGCAGCGGGATTTGGTTTATCCGCAGGACGAGGGACACCATCCCGAGGGCGGGGCACACGCCAAGTTTACAAACTACAGTTTCGACGTGAAGGAGTTTGTACATATCGTTGACCAAGCAGCCAATGAAATACTCTCCCACAAGGAATACCTTCAGCAGAAACCAGATTATCCCTCCAAAACTCAGCACAACGAGCTGTAGATTGCCACTATTGTGATTAAAAGCATTTATTTTGCCTATTTGCCTAACCCAAAATAAATCGGTATTATTTAAAAGACTGTTTTTTGTTTAAATGGAATTTAAACATAGTCCCTGAAGTATATTGAATGTATTTTTCCAAAAGTAGTTTATTCAAATTTAAATTTCAAAAAGTGTGACCGAATCCTTCACTTTATTATCTGCTCACTTATAAGTGCTCACTGCTACGACATTGCTTATGCTATCAGTCAACTTCCATCACTATTGTTTCAGTTGATTACATTTTGTTTATACTTTTGAACAGTCCAGCCGGCAAATAAATGCTTAAGAAATATAGATTCGTTGTTTAAAAACGCTGTTCAAAATGGAGGCCGAGATGGGCAGCTTCGTGACTCATGACATAAAAGAGTTTGACCTGAAATCCGGGAGGTCCGTCAAGGAAAGTGTGGATAGCTTTTTGGTGACAATTCCCACGGTGTTGGGGTTCATCCTCTCTCTGCTTCTTTGTGGACACCTGCCTCTGCTATCCACGCACAGATTCCTTGTGGAGTTCCTTTTGATTGGATTACCCACCGTGATTTTGGTGACCGTGGGCAGTGCCTATAGTTATACGTATTCCCTGGTGGTTTCCGTAGCTATCCTGGGTTATCTTTACAGGAACAGTGCTCCTAAGCCTCCGAAACATAAGTATGAGGTTGGCAAACGACCAATTGTCTTCACCCTCTTGAGGGCCACCGCCTACAGCGGAACGTGTGCAGCCATCCTGGCCGTGGATTTCCCATCTTATCCGACTGACTATCGAAAGAGCCGGACTTATGGGGCGTCTACGATGGACATGGGCATCGGTCTGTTCGTGGTCACCATGGGATTGGTGTCGAAAAGAACAAGGAGTATCTCCGACCTCAAGAAACTCCCAAAATCCGTAGTTCCGTTGCTGTTCTTGGGCCTTGCTCGCACCATCGTCATCACGGCAATTGATTATCACCAGGACGAGTCTGAATATGGCAAGCATTTAAACGCCTTTTTTATCCTGGGCTTCACCAAAATGATGGGCAGCTTCTACAGTCTGTTCGTGAAGTCGGATGCACAGCTAGTGGGACTATCAATAGGTAAAGACCATAAAGAAATATAATGAATAAATATACAGGGTGCGCCATCTCGAGCTTCGGTATGAAAATATTAAATAACTTTGGAAAAAAAACAAAAATTCTTGGAAAATGTTTTACATTTATTTAGATTGATCCTTTACAATTCATTTGAGTTAGTTTTTGAACACAATATCGACTAAGTGACTTCCTTTGTTCTTGATGGCAAAAAGTGTCCTTTTTCGAGCATTTTCCATTACTTTCTTGAGCAATCGGCCAATATATTGGCCATTTCGGTGCGAATACTCTCCTTGAGCTCTGTGATGGTCTAGGGCTTGCTTATGTATACCCCACAAAAAGAAATCCGGCGGGGTCAAGTCCGGCCAGTCGATATCGCCTCTTTTTGACACAACGCATCCAGGAATTTTGCTGCAAAAACTGCATGGTTTCGTTTGCTGTGTGACATGGGGCCCCGTCCTGCTGTAACCAGAAATTTTCTAGACCCTTCAAAAACTAACTCAAATGAATTGTAAAGGATCAATCTAAATAAACATAAAACATTTTCCATGAATTTTTGTTTTTTTCCAAAGTTATTCAATATTTTCATACCGAAGCTCGAGATGGCGCACCCTGTACATTATTTGATTTGCCTTGCAGGTTTGCTTTTTCTTCACGAACTTATGCTCCAGTTGGGTGTTTCCCAGTTTGTGATGTCATCAGAGCCCCGCGACGAATTTCTCAGCGCCAATCGGGAAGGCTTTAGTTCCCTGCAAGGCTGCGTGGCTCTCTATCTGCTGAGCATTTGCCTCGCCAGGTGGTACACTTCCCAAGATCTCCTAAGTTACCAAGAGTTAACAAGGAAGTTGAAGAAAATGCTCCTGGTGGCCATCCTCAGCTGGGTCTTAGTTTTCGTTAGCGCCTTTTTAACAGGCATTGCTCGCGTAACCTTTAATTTTGGTTATGTGATATGGATTTTCGCCGTCTGTCTTAGCTTAATACTGATATATGCTTTCTTCTTTGAACTTAAACTGGTTAAAACAGATTTTAAGAGGAAGAAATCGGCTGGAGACACCGAGCTTTCCAGCCAATCCGTGCCCACGTTTGTGGAGAGCCTTAACAGGAATGGTTTAACCCATTTTATGCTCTCCAACTTCCTGACGGGATTTGTAAATATTTCTTTGGACCCGGGCCATCGAAATGATTTGGAGTCCGTTGTTATACTTTATGTTTATATGTTTGTTTGTGCTGCAGTTGTATTTTATATGCTTAAAAAGGGTATACGAATAGCTTAGATGATATTTCTTGACAACAGCCATGTAAAATAAACGTTACAAAAAATATTTCTAAAAAAATATGGGTGAGGCGTGTACTTTAAATTGTTCTCAAAATATAAAAAAAGTCACAAACCAACTCTTACGGGCTACAAATGGACTCGAAGGGCATGATGCAACCGTTGGGCATGACCAGAAACAGGATGATGGGTGATTCCGATCCGATCCTGGAGGGCGAGTTGTTCCCATCGGAGTCCTTGTACACCTCGTAAACCATGCAGCCATCCTTACCGTGAACCAGTCGAGTCCACAGCCACTTTTGATCCTTTTCGGCCGGAGATTCCTGGGTCTTGAGCTTCGTTTTCAGCTGCTCACAGGCCACTGAGCAAGTGGAAATGGATCGGTCGAAACGCTCCTTAACCGGACTCATTCCGGCCCTTTTTCGGATCGGGATGATCTCGGCAGGATGGTCGAAGTCCACCCTGGGAGTTCGCTGCCGAGGACAACAGGCTGCGGCGCCTAGACGACTCGAAAGCTTGAGGCAGCAGGATTTCTGATTGCAGGACTTCTGATTGCAGGGCACTAGAGGAACCTTGCGGCTGCAGGAACTGCTCGGCGGTTTGGTGCAACAGCTACTTGGTGTATGTGAGCAGCAAGTAGACCACGCCGACGACGAAGGACGAGCCGAGCTGCAGGCCGAGCTGCAAAGGCATGGTCCGCTGTTCGTTGGAGGTGGACCGCACTCGCTCTTGGGAGCTGATCCTTAAAGGTATATAATGCGTTACGAGGCATCTTACAAACCGGCATTCAAGGCCTTCAAAAACTAACCAAGTCCCGACAATCCCGACAGCTCCAGCATGGGAATTATCTTTGTGGCTCCCGAAAGGTAGAGGATGCGGTCCAGGATCGTCATGATCACCTCATCCGGATGCGGACCCAGCATATCGAAGAAAGGAGCCCGGCAATCCTTCTCCACAGTCAAACCTGGCGGACAATCGCAGGATCGCTGCTTCTGGGCTTCACAGCAAAAGCTCATGGCTCAACGTCTTCTAATGTTTGTATAGATAAACACCCAATTTTTCCATAAGATTTCAACCAAAATGCCGGACCGGAAGTGAGTGTTCGTTGAGTGTTCGGCTCGGAGTTGCTTTGTCGGGAGATGTCAAAGGTGCGATATCCGGCTTAGCCGCACGGCGAAGGCGTCACAAAAGATAAGATTTCTATTAAGGAAATGACTGGAATTGTCGGCATTGTCCTTGGGCAGCCGGGATGAGCTCGCCAGCAAGTCAAAGGTCTGGCGACTGGGCAAGGATATTTAATTTAACGGCGCCAACAAAGACCAAATCAAAGATGAGCCTGCGGGGAGGCTAAGCTCACAAATGGTCGGGGTTCAAGGAGCGCGCAAATGACCAGCAATGAGCTCTTTATTGGATGAGGAAAGTGTATTGAGGGGTGTTCCAGCACTTCTAAAATCACAGCACGTCTAAAAAAAGAAAATAAATAAAGAAAATTCAATAGCATGTTTATAAAATCCAAATTATAATGTTGGATATTTCACTGATATGTATTTGATATTAAAAAGATGATTTTAAAGTATTACAATTCGCCTTGACAGTGTGGATTTTTTCTGAATTTTTTCTATTCGCCTCGAATGTAATTACGGCAACAGTTTCCGCCGCTGATGCGTAGCCTCTGTTGGCCCTTCGACTTTGATGCGCTTTTAATGTCATATCCTGGCCAAGGACGAGGACGTCGTCGGAGAATCTTATCTGATTTGGGCCGTCACAAATGCAATTTCCGTCCGGCAACCTTTCAACCTTTCAACCCTTCACCCTCCACTCCGCAACTTATGCTGAGTTAATAGCTGGGAACCAAGTGTAATCATATAGTATATCAGTGGGCGTGGCCGGGAAAACAGCAACAGGATAAGGGAGTCGGTGGGGAAAAGGCGAGCACCTGTTCCCACAGGGGGTGGCTTTTTGGCTTTGATGACAGATTATTTTCATTAGCGAAGGCAACGAATTGTTGTCCATTTTGGGGAGAGGAAAATTATGAGCGTTAATTATTATTTCCATGTTTTCCGCTGCATGTAAAACACGACAGGAAGCAGTGCTCCCCTGATTGATGTGGCCAACAATCAGGACGAGAATTGGTTCTCCTGCTTTTCGCATTTTTTTGAGCTGCCAATTTGCTGACGAGTTCTTTTTCCGACTGCTCGTCAAATCGGATTCCATTCAAAGGGGCTTTCATAAAAAGAAATGAATAAAAACCCAAATATATCTGTGCATATGCATGAGTGTCTCGATGTGTGTCTGTGTGGAGGACTAAGCTTCTGGGCCCTGGGGAAATCGCTTAAGCCGTTCATAATGAATATCATGTGTATATGCTTATGTGTGTGTGGGAGTGTGGCGACTAAGCCGCAGGACATTCGGGGAAATGGCAGTGCGAATGTGCACTAGATAGTGTGTAGCACATTTCTAAGGGCACCTAAAACAGCTAGCCTCCTAGAACTTTTAGATATGGTATGATTGGGTGTTCCTACTAATAGTTTATCAATTTTTTTATTTCGATTAAAATCTAATAAATTGTATATGATTGACATACCCCTGTCGCGTATTCAGCATTTCCTTACAATTGCAAACATTTCCACAGAACTTTGCAAAGTAACCCATCAAAAAAAGATTCGTTATGGCTTCCCCAAGCGTTTCTGCTCCTTGAATCCTGAACCACTGCCCCCCCCCGAGTTACCACAGGAGTTCAGGACGGGGTCTGAGGCACAGACTCCATAACAACTCCCGACACAAGGCAAACAAAATGCTTATCGAACAACAGTTTTTATCGGAGCTTATGCGTCATGGCAGCGGCAAAGGAAGCCCCACTCCTCAGTACTTCTGAAATGCTTTTAGTGAGCGAAATTGCGCAATTGTGGAGCAATCAATGCGAAGCCAGAAAAAGTGTTGAACAAAACCAAACGGAATACAGGACACAGAACGAAAAGAGGATGTATAAAGCTCCGTGTGCTGAAAACTGTAAGATACATCTTATCTTGGTTTAGTTAGCCATGTCCTGCCAGGAACTGACTTAAGTTCTCACTATTAGCATTAAATAAAATTTAAATAAAAAACCCTCTTTTTAGTCATATTTTCCAGTGTGAAAATCAAGCGGTGGATGAACAGACAATCGGTTGCCATGCTGACTTTCCCAGTCTGGTCTGAGTCCCATCAAAATTGCGTTGCTGTTAAATCGTGTGGAAGCTGATATGATTATGGCCTTCCGAAGTGCACTGGGTCTCCAATGGATACACATTGCCTAGTTGCACTCTCGACGAGTGCAGCAATTAGCAAGTATTTTTGAAACCCGCCAAAACCCTCCAGAAAACACTCCTTTTGGGCCAATCGCATTAAGTGATTCGGGGGTCTAAGCTTTCTACTTAGTGCCCATGGTTATAAGACCCAGACATTAAGAAGATTAATTCGCAAAGTCGCTTGTTGTTATTTTTTTTCACTTGGCAAATCTCAGATAACGTTATGCATCATTGTGTCAAAGATTTGACAAATCTTCGGGAGGCCAACAAAAAAAAATAAGGAACTGGAACAATTTCGCATTTCTCAAGTTGAAATGCGAAACCGGCTTTCGGTTTCCCCCCATCGATTCGGCACTCTCTAAAAGCAATCATTAAATAAGAAAAGTTTGCTTGGGGAAGTTGCCCCCGTTTTACAGGAAAACAAATGTAAGGAGTTTGATAAACTCACACAAAGGCCGAAAACATTGCAAAAAATCGCAATAAAAAGCCGAGACAGGACATTGCCCCCCAGCTCGGTCCGCATTTAATAAAGCCTCCTCACAAATGGAATGACTTGCCTCAGTTCTCCCTTTTTGCCTCATTTTTCCTTGCCACACAGCAAAGTCAGCAGCGTAACCGCAACACGTTAACGGTTTCGGTTTCACTCTGTGATTTACAACAACAGGAATCGGGGGTTCTATATCCCAACCCCTCGTCAATGTCTGCCGTCCTGGCTTTTTTTTCGTCCTGAGCCCGGCGCGCTCATGTGTGAAAAGGTACTTTGGGAGTTCCCTCAGACGACAATTGTTTTCCCCAGGATCTCCTGCCTTTGGGTGTTGCTCTCGCCCAAGAAAAGATATCCTCGGCTTGGCAGACGGGAATACCCTTCCGTTTTTTACGGGGATGAGTTACCAGTATACAAATTACCCTCCCAAGGGAAACGATTGATTTTAGCCGATTATTTTGATATACTCCGGATCACATTTTGATTTGATTGCTAGCTTTGATTCGGAAAAGCAATATTTCGAACTCCATTAGGAAAGGCCACTAAAAATGGCTATAGGAATTATGATAGAAAACTGATAGTCACTGATCATTGCTGATTTGGTTATACAAGAAAAAGAAACTTTAACTTAAACTATAATACCTATAATTTTCAACCTTGTGAACGGGATTGAATATCCTGTGAAATTAAAATTCAAAATCGGTAGATAGCCATTTCCAAGTCATTAAATTCATTTAGGGCCGAGTGCCAAAGTTAAGCGGACGAAACTTTTCCACGTGCCGCGCATTGATAAAGATAGATAGCAACAGGGGCGATGGCGTTGTCCCAACAACCTGGAAGGACATCACCCACCCACATTGAACCCTCCACCACCCAGAACCCGTGGCATTCTTCGAGTGTTATCGGGCGGACAGCATCATGCATATATTAAGCGTAAATTGCCTCGGCATTCATTCCGGAGAGCTAATAGAAATGTCTGCTAGTTAATTTGGCGTCATGAAGTTGCCTGAAATTTTTCGGAAGCCGGTTGCTTGGGAGATGAACTTTGAAGTGGTCAGGGTAGAAAGGGGCTGAATGCTTCCAAAGTCTGCTATGTATATGTTCTGAATTATTGATGAGAAAAAAAAAACAGTTTATAAATTCTATATATCTTTATTTGTAGAAGAAGAAGGGCTTCCATTGATTTTATCTGTGTTTAGAACATCTTGACTTCCAGGTGGGCTTTTATGTTGCTTGGAACTGGGAAGTTTATCCATTTCTGTATTTTTAAGGTTATTTTCCACTTCTTCAATTAGAGGTGTTACTGGTTGAACGGACACAACTGTTTCGTTGGAAGATTGTATACTGATAATTTCTATATCACTAGTGGATGCACTTTTTACTGGTTTCGCATTTTTTGTGTTTTTTGTGTTTTTTGGGTCATCATCCAAAGAAATTTGTGATAACCTTGGTAAATCTTGAAAAGTTTTTAGAAAGTTCCTCCGAAACTTTTCCTCTGCATCTTCTTCTGCATCATCTTTAATATTCTCGGATTTTAATAAATCTTCTTTCTTCTTCTTCTTGTTTATGTTTTTGTCCTCATTATTTAAAAACTCTGAACTGGAATCAGAGCTAAGTTCCTCATCAATTGGATCTGAGCTCACTCGGGTCTTAAGACACAAACTTCCAGAAGCACTAGAGATGTTTACGTCTTGTTCAGTTAATTCTGAACTTTTGTTATTTGAAACCTTTTCGATATCAACTTGAGCTTCCTTATTTGAGAATCTTTTGGATAAACTGCCTTGATCATTAAGTAAAACTGATTCCTCATCAGTTTCAATAATGTTATCTATAGAGTTTTTCTTTTTGTTGGTCTTGGTTAAATCAGGTAAAGTATAAATTTCTTCTCTAACAACTTTTTCTTCAGATTTTGAATTTTGCAATAAAGAAGCATCGCTTTGACGGACTTCTTTTTCTTCGCTGGTGGGATTCAGTGTCGGCTTGTTTGTTTCCGAAACTTCAATACTACTGTTTGCCTTCCTCATTACAAATATTTTTTTATTCGCAACTCCATAGTTTGGTATGTTTTCATGTTCACATCTTCCTTGCATTTACTAAATTTCTAAATTTTGTTATTTACTTAATTTTCGTTTAATTTTGATTAATAGATCAAAGCACTTGCATTTTCCATTTATCTTCATTATACCCTTGTAGAGGGTATTATAATTTCAGTCAGAAGCTTGCAACGCAGTTAAGAAGCCAACTCAGACGCCATAAGGTATACTCTATATTCGTATATTCTTGAACAGCATCAGGATCTGAACCGATTTAAAAGTGGGATACCTCTAAATGTTTGTATTTCAATTCTCTAACGAACTTCATCATTGGTTATTTTTTTTATTTTTTTGACGATATTTTTTTCATTTTTAAAATACAACCCCTTTCCGAATTTCCGAAAAACGGTTTTGCTAAAAATTGACCAAAATGTAATACTTCTAAGTCAATAACATTTATAATTTCAATTCGATATTCAAGTGGAATACCTCTGAATGGTAGTATTTAAATTCTTTAACAACCTGCATAATTAGGTATTTTTTTTTTTGCCGAGTTTTATGATACAAATTTTTTTAAATTTCCGAAAAATGTCGCAATCCATTAACGTGGGAACCGGTATCGAAACGCAGTGTTCAAAAAAAGATAATGCCATTCCGCGAAGTAACAAATCTGAAAGCAACCCTTTCCCACTGCGACTGCCAACTTTTTAGCGGTGGTTGGGGAAGCAACCCTTTAGCAAGTGGGCGACGGCGACACTCCATTAATTGAAGCCCCTGGATTACGGGAAACGGCATTGTCTTCCAGCCGAGACGCCCAGGAACACCCGCTGCGAAGTCCCAAACAAATCTTTATAATCCCCGATAATTTCGTTAATGGCTTTAATCACTTACTCGCAGGAATGAAAGGATTAGGCCGAAGGAGCGGGCATAATTTAAATAACATTTAATTTCGTGCGAAGCTCGGCGAAATTTTCAAATGGCGGCCATTGCGATGTTACCAGGACCTGGCTCCTCCTTTCGCTCCGGTGTCCTTGTGTGCATAAGGTCATACACACACCCACACACACAGACACACATCCGAGAGGACTTTCTGCACAAGTATGGTTATTTACCTAAACGCCACAGAGGCATGTATCTATATACACCCAATTAGGCGGCAACAATTGTTGCCACTTGCGTGGGGGAAACTCAACACTCTGGGCGGCCGAAACTCAACACGAAAGTTTCCCATTTTCCGGGGGAAACGGAAAGCTTCGTCCTTGCGCCGGCAGCTATAAAAACCCCTGTCGAGTCACTGGCGCCACACACAAACCACAATCGACGCCAAGGAATCGGACGTGAGAAGGGAGCGAAGCCCGGAAGAGTAGGAAAACAGGAGGAAAATCAGGGGGATTCCCCATCATCCCAAAAGGACATGCCCTGGCAAGGACCTCGCTCGCTGTGGCTGCACTGCCGACGGAACTGGCGAAGATGTGGATATGGAAGTGGCAGCCCGAGAATCCAGTTCTCGGTTGCTTGGACTCGATATCAGCGGATTCTTTAAATCCGGATCTTGAAAGGCGACGGGCGTAGTTCTTATCGCTACGCCCTGCTATTATATCTCTAAATGAACCTAAAGAATATCATAGCAACATCATATCAATCCATATCGATTAGACCCTTTTAGACCCTATGATTAGGCAATTGTTTTAATTATGGTATTGTTTTGTATTTGAAAGGAAAATGAATGTGATTTTACGTAAATAAAAGAAATTACTTGTAATTTAATAAGCTCCTAAAACGTGTTTTTATTTAATAGATCAACAGTTAAATCAGTTAAACAGAATATATAGAATATTGATATATAATGTTTTTATTACGTTTTTTAATTTATTCAAACTCAAGAGCAATAAAACCAGCAAAGGCCAAACAATCGATGCGATTGAACTGCCTACAAAAGCTTCCACGAAGTCGGCAAATAACCAGGGCTATATAGTCCCCCTCCCAGGATGCTTAAAAGTAATCAGAAAACTTCTGTGAACTGTGGTGGGCGGTGCTAAAAATTTGCATATGTCAACACGAAAGAGCAGCAACAATTGCCCTGGAACACAATTTATTTACCGAAGGACGAAGGACGGAACGCATTGAAGCACAAGAGATACATTTGCCGATGAGCGGAATTGAAATGTTAATTACACGGGGTTGTTCCTCGACTCCGAACCGCTGGGCAAACAGTTTAAAAAACAGTCGAGAACGATGTTTAGACACTGGCTAAGCAAACAAGTCGGCTGGTTCGTGATTTGTTTGCTCAGCTCTTAATCACAGTGAGTTCTGGGCACTTTTCATCGCAAGCCGGCGGCAGTGAAAGTTTAATATGCCATCGATAACCCCGGGTAGCAATATCCTTCTGGACTGAAGCTAAACGCTGCCAAGCACTCGGGGGATGTTCCGGAGTATCCTTGCTGCCCCTCCCCCGAAAATATCCTTCTGTTGATGCTGATGAGGTGTGAATGCCACCGCAGATTCAGCCTTTGTTTTATGCCTTCATCACTGCGAATCCTGCTGCTGTGGCATCCACTTGAGGTTAATTGAATTTCATTGCGTCCTTGCCAAATGGAAAACGCTTTTTCCCATTTAAGCTGGTTAGTGGCAGTACCTGCAAAGCAGTTCTATTAATTGAATCCGATGGTAATTGAAAAGTTTTCAGGCTACCTAATTTGATTTCTGCAGCAGCCTCTAAATTAATGGTATACTAAATACTATATGTACGTTTTGGATTACGATACCTTTTTTTCTAGCTGAAACTTATTACCCATAGCTCACAATATAGCAAATTTTTAGTGCGAAAAATTCTACAAAAATCCAAGCTCAATAAAAGGGAATTTCTTTTATAGCTTGACAACTTCCTATATCGAGTTTCCCAACTTTGGCGACACATTAAAAGGATTTGGCTCGGCACGTGCCACTGCACACTTAAGACGGTTGTTGAGAAATAAAAAACGAAAGTGGAAACTTGAGGAAAAGCGCGAAATTAGCATACAATTTCAAAGAACGTGTTTATTTGGCTATTTATTCAATTTTAATTTCGCCCTTAGAACAATCAGTCGCGGGTGCAGAAGAAATAGATGCGATTACACTTAATTGAATTTTTTCCGCGCTCTGTTTGCGCAAGAAGGCCAAAAACAGAATTGAATGTATTATATTACCAATAAAGAGAAAAAAGGAAAAATAATAAAAATGCGCAGAGCGATTGGCAATACAAAGGGGAGAATAAAAGTCGGAAAACGTGATGCGGCCAAGTATTCAAATTTCGGTTTTTGTGGCACAAACTCGCGGGAAAATCGAGCTGAGCTTGTTAGGTTAAAGCTAGAGCTTTCTCATGAATTATTTATTGGAACTAACAAGCCAGAAGTAGTCATAAAAATCCCGGACAGAAATTACCTGTTGATGAGCCACTGCTCGCTAGTTTAACCCTCAATTACCAGGACCTCGGGGTGAAATTCAACCACATGAGGGGTGGGTGGTGTTATCCTCCCTGCTCCCTGGGGGGAACATTAAAATTTTATCAAGTTGGCGGCATTAAGGAACACTTGGCACGCTAAATCAATTTGCCGTTTTATAAATCTTCATTTCGCACCTGAGACGTGATCCTGGCGGGCAGCCACAGGTGGTCCTGCGAAAGGAAGGCAAGGAGCTTTTGGTAAAGCCCCCAGCTGAAACGTGACGTCACGACCGAGCCGAGGATTTGCACTTTTATTTCTATTTATTTTTGGCAAGCGTTTTATTTGCGCACTCATTTCAATTAGCTAAATGCCCTGTTTCGCACCATTTGGCTGATTGTTTCTCTTGACCAAATGTGCTGGCGGGTTCATTGCCCATTTGCGAGTACTTTTAATTTCTGTAATGCCTTTTGTGATCTCTGAATGGCCCGGAGTGCACTCGAGTTGCGTACTATTGTTACACTTATTGTCAACGACAGTGAGCTTTTAAGAAAATTATACAATTGCATTATGACGCCGTGCTGACCACTTCGAAGTCCCTTATTTCTGTCCCTGCCGATAGAGTTTAAAATTTCCAACGCACTGCAAAACCGGAGGGAGTCTACAACTCTCAAAAAAAAGAGCAATCGGGGGAAAAGGCAGTTGTGTATTACAAATCGCTCGACGGGCGGCAAACGCAGGACGACTGTCAATGCCTTCGCCCTTTTTCAGTCGGTGGGTGGCATAATTTATGGCCGCCCATCGCTTCCCGTCCTGCGATTCGAGCTCACCGCTCCTCCACTGCGGTTATTAAAATGCTCAATGCTCTTACCCACACCAGAACCAGGTCCGCACTCCGCTTCTCAGGACTCCAGCTTCCATTGTTGGTAGACAACTGCAAAAAAGTGTAGCACACTCGCCGGCGCCGACTAATGGCAGTTGAAGGACCAAGGACAGTGGAATAAACCATGTTTATTGAGTATAAAATATATACCTTTCAGTGTATAATATTATAACAGGCAACAAATCATTTCTTACATAGTTATAGTATCAATATTCTATCTGTTTAAATTGATTTGGTACAGATTAAGTTTATTATAGAGATGTTTAATATGATTAATGATTAAATATTTTCAATTTTTTATAAATTTTTATCAGAATAACATACTATCCTAACCCACTGTCTAAGCTTCCTTTTCGCATGATAATCAATAAAATGTTTTGGCATTTACTTTCATTGTTTGCTGCTGATGCTGCTGCCGCTGCAACGCCCCCAGTGCCACGCCCCCACCGCAAGGACTATATTTGCATATATTTCGAGTGGCAACTGGCAAGGCATATTGCCGGCTTTATATCCTGCCGTTTGCCGTGCTCAAGTCCTTTGCCACCGGGCGTGCCTCGAGAATTGTTTCACTGTCGTCGTTCATTTGGGTTGATGTCCCAAAGACTGAGGACACAACATGAAAGTCGCTTAATCTACTTAAATGTCTTTGAGTTTCAAATCTCCCCCGTTCGGCCGATACAGCATCTTACACAGAAAATACCAGTTAAACATAATATTACGAAAAAATGCAGATAGCATATCATATTTTCTAATATACAGCAACTTTTACTACATTTTTGAATTGATTCAAGTTTTATAAATAAAACTAGTATCTAGTTTAACTTAATTTATCTTCTTTTCTTATACTAGTATTTTTTTCTGTGCTCTTGTCTTTGCGAATTGAGACAACAACGCATCCCCTTTTACGACGGCGTTATTAACATGGATTTATGGCGTATCGTTCGAGGACTTAGGGCCGCTATTAGCGCACTAAGATGTAAACAAGCTGAGAGCGAAGGAAAGTTTCGAAGGAGCAGGACGACTCACATGTCAATCAAGCCCACTGACTGACTGCAAGGCAACAGGGCAGAAAAACGCAAATTTAAGATGAAAATTCGCGGGGCGAAGCTGAAAAGGTAGCATCGGATAATTTCAATTAAAAATGCCTTTGAAAAGGCATTCGGTGGCTGGCTGGGCAACCATGACAAAGCGTCCTGTTCCTCGTCCTCGTCCCCATTGATGTCCTTGTCGCCGTCGTCAACTGCCGTATCAGCAGTTTTAAATCAGGGGTGGTGATTTGGGGATGGAGAGATGTTTTATGGGGTGGCGACTGCAGCTTAATTGAGTTTCGCTTTGACGGCAACCGCATAAAAGGCAACAACTTCTAAGTATTCGCATTCACAGCAATTAAAGCCCTGCGCCAACCATGTCCTTTTGCCAGGATATCTGGACTTGGGCAGAGGAAATTTAATATTTTCTAATGAGCCAAAACACATTTTGCGGTTTCTTCACACAGATGACCAAACAGTACACGAAACTTGGGGAGAGGGGTGAATTTTAAGCCTTACTTTGAAGTAGTATTTTATTTTATAATTATGGTTTTTAAATTTTGTATTTCAACAAATCAAATGTGCGGCACTAAAGGTGGTAATATCGCTATAAAAAAATAAAGAACAAGTATTACAAGTATTTTATTAAATATTATTATATACCTTTAATATAAATGCCTTGCTTGCAAAACTTGTATAATATTTCCTCCCCGCAAAGCTCAGATTTCCCGACTTTCCATGGCCAGTTTTTGGGGTGTATGCCCACAGCATCATAAAGTTATCAAGTTGACGAGCTTGTTGTTGCGATGACGTTGCAAACAAATTTTCACATTTAACAATGGGCACGTCGTCGCTTCTGTTCTGTTCTGGTGAGTCCACGCCTGTCACTCCGTCCCGGAGTCATTTTGTCAGCCCGTCTGCCCCGTCCTCCCACTCGTCCTGCTGATCCTTGATGGCAGCATAATTGATGCACTCGAGCGTAAGTGATTAGATTCATTATGATGCCTGGCAGGCAATGGCAACTGCCTCTGTTTCGATGATGGAGACGAAAAAGTGGGTATCAGGTGTCCACCAGCGAATGGAGATGTTTTAAAATTTATAATATATTTATCATAACCGATTTAAAGCATTGAAAAATGTGGGAATCTAGATGGGACTGCCCGCTGCTGCTAAATGACGTGTGACAACATTTTTATTGCCCGTTCTTGGTCACCCTTAAGTCGCATTGGCAGGGGTAAAAGCCAACGTGCGCCAACATTAATCAAGGCATTCTAAAGATTCAGATATACATTTATGAGTAAACCCGTGCGTTTTTAGGGTAAAACACAAAAAACGAGAGCAACAACAAAGTGCGGCACACGCCGGGCGACAAAAGCATTTGCTTCCGGTATGCCGCCTGTCTCAGGGAGGTCTACACTCGAAAAAATATCTTTGTAAACAAAATGTCATGTAAACGTACCAATATCTTAGCTAATATAAGCAAACTTGTTCATTGTTATCTAGTTGTTGTTTTATTGAATAGTAAATACTTTTTTGTTTTACATTTGTAGTTTTTTTCTATAATATATCTTAATATATTTTTTTCTTCTAAGTGTACCTGGGTGCCTGTGCATTCTAGCTTGAAATAAAGTTGCACTGACTGACGCTTTTCGCCTTTTGTGTTTCGCTCTTATTGTTGTGCGGCAAGCGAAGAGAAAATGTATTTCGAATGAATAAATATTCCCTCTTCATGACCCTAATGGATTTCGTTGTTGTTGTGCGACTGACAAAGAGTTGAGTCCTAAATGGAGGCATATGCTAATTATGAAGGGAAGAGCCATCCAGAAATGTTGGTAATAAAGTGAAACTATAAATGCTAGAAAACATTTACGAAAAAAAGGAAAATACATAAACTGTTGAAAACTCCGGCTATTAAAGTAAAATCTCTCCTAAAGCGAATATCTCGTATTTCTCCAGCTCATCACCTTCCCCCTGAGTTCCCTACGTATCTCAGGCGCTTCCAGCTATTTGCACACAAACAAAAATAAATATTAAATCTCAGAAATCGTTTCTGGGCAGAGTGGCACACCCTTCTTAACCCCCGACCTGCAGCCTTCCCCCAATCCCGAATTCGGTTTATTACTCTTAGTGTGTGGCACGCTTATCGACGAGCGCAGCGTTTAGTTTTGTGATTGAGTGGGTGGACATGTGGATTGACAGCATGAGTCTGCTGGATCCACAGAAGCTCATCAATTTTCCGCCTCGATTTTCCACGAATCTGTGTGAAAACCACTGGCAGACTTTTGCGGATTCCCAGTTGAAACTCAACCGCTTTTAAAGTCGTCTCATTTTCGGCTGGTAATTAAAACCGCGTGAAACCCTTTACTGACGGTAATCCGCAGATACCCCTTCCCGCAATTCACTCATAAATCAGACAACGAAAAGCCATACATCATAGACGCCACAGGGAATCCCCCGAAAAAAGTAACTCAGAGATGACAAAGCTGCAAAAGTTATTTTGTAATTAGTGCACAAGGCAAGGACGACGGGAGACGGCTTGAAGGACACAACATGCCCAACAGGATAACGATGATTACGCTGGCGCAATGAAATTGAAGACGACTTTCTGCCGAAGCTGCACTAATTACCGCTGACGTGCGATGGGAACCGAAGCCAGGACAGCTTTTCCCGGATCACAGGACGAAACTCCGTTCCGGGGGACTGTCAACTCAAGTTTGACACTTTTTTGCCGACAATTTATGAGAGCGTTCTGAAGCAATGATTTTGGCACAGTGGTGACATCAGTGCAGTTTACTATATAAATAAAGATATATAAATAAATATAAATAAATAAATATTACATATACTTAAGAAATTAATAAGAAAAGATTCAAGAGAAATATTTACAGGAATGTTTTCTAGAACTACTTTTATAAAAAAATCCTGACAAATATAAAGTAAATACTTCAAGATTCAAAACCTCATTAAATAAAAATTAGTAGAGAAGCTATCAAGGTAACTTTTGTAATTCTTTTTTGTTAATACTTTAAATAATGATCTTTATTTATTTTTATCTTCAGCTTAAAAAGCAACTTGAAACCACTGTATATGATGGGTACGATGACACTCGAGCCGCCTGACAACGCCGCCACTTAGTTTAGAGTTTTATGGGCGCAATTCGATTATTCTTCATTTACGTCAATCAATATGGAGGCTGCTTTTAGCCGCTAGCCGCTATCCGCGCACCCTTAATCGCTCTGTTTAAATAGTAAAACGCGGTGCGGATAGGGATTTTTCCGAAATTTAATATCGCAGATGCGGCTGTTGTTGTGGCTGCTGTTATTGTGCCGCCGTCTTGTCTGCGAAATTGTCTGCCCCAGAGTCTGCTTTTCCGTGTATAGTATCCCTTTCGAATGCGAAAATCCCGCTGCCGTTCTGTTGACTTTCATTTCATTTCCCAGCTCGGCTGTTTTCCCGTCCGGCTTCTTGTTTACTTCGCTTTGCTGTTTACTTCCGCAACTTTATTATAGCTTTTGGCTGAGTTGCAACTGTTTGCTGTTTGCTTTATGCTTATGAGGGTTAGGCCAACGCGTCGTATTAGCAACGTGGCCAGGACATCCTGGCATGGCATCCCAAACGGAAGCAAGGATGTCTTTGAGGCATAGAATTTTTTGTGGATTATGAAGCGTTGAGTGTGGTGGGTGGGAATCGAGGCAAGTTGCTCACTCTATTGACCAAGATTATTGGCTACTTTAAGTGGCCATTGAGAAAGTGAAACTGGGAGTAAACTACACATAAACGTATAAGTACTCTGATTCATTATGTCCTTATAACTTAATGCTAGAGGGTAAACAAAGAACCTTTTAAAATTTTACTTACTGAACTTTTTCTAAAAAATACATATGTTATAAAAATATTTACAAATAAACTATTAAAAACCTTTTTAAAAAGCGAATGATTTATTGTTTTGCCACTTAAGTGCCTTATAATTAATGATACTCCATTAAATAGGAACCTAAACCAAAACTTGACCAATATAAAAAGCATCACGTACATCTCGAATCGATCAAATTACAAAGGGGAGCAACGAAACCTTATTCTGGCTGGTAAATCATCTATAGCCATTCCATAGATGTTTATCCATAAATCGCAGAATTTTTGAAAATTTTGTAGAGTTTGGGCCTGGGCAGAAGGGAAAAATATTCAAAATGGCTGACATTCTGAGAAGCGGAGGCGAGAGAAGCAGGACGCCCGTGTGCCAGGAGGAAAACAATGGAAAATGGCCTGGCAACATGTTAATAGCATTTCACGCACGGCTGAGATTCGCATGCCGACCCAAAGGAGGCGGCATTCCCATGTAGCAGCGCCTCTGATTGGTCCTTCGCAGCCAGGTGGCTGAGCGTTCCCCCACCGCGGCCCCAAGCCTCGACTGCTACTGTTGCCATCCACCGTCGACCAATGCCGAAGGACGAAGGACTCGTCCGGATTCTCGGGCCTGCGCAGCCCGCTTCTCCGTCGAGAGCTTTTCACCACAGCGGGTGCGAGCAGGACGGACGCGTTGATTATGCTGCGGAGGAGCATAATCCGCTGGCAGGACATCCATCTGGGCAGAAAAGAAAGGCGAATGCGGGCGCTTTTAGTTTCACTTCGTGCGTTGTCCTGCTGAGGCCAAAAAGCGAGCCTGGAGCCGCGGGTATATAGCTGGCCAAATCCATCTAAAATATATCTAAAAATCATCAATAAATAGGGATATATAGTTGAAAATAACTGAATAATCGTGTGCTTTTCGACAGTGTTTCGAGAAAGTGTTATTCTCTGGCTAAATCAAGAAAAAAACACGTTTCTGTGCCCACGCCTCGTAATACCCTTGAAAAGAAAAAACTCGCACATTCCAGTGGTTGAAAATTTCCAGTGTATATACTACGCTCCTCCCACCCCCTCCCCACTTTCCCGCTACTCATCCCCCCTGTCCAATGCATATATACATGTGATACATTCCAGACCGAGATGGCAGCTATGTATCCAAGTTCCGCCGCCACCTGTCCTCCGCCGATCCTCAAATGGAGGTCCGCATCGCGGCTGTTTCTGATTTGGATGTCACACAGTCTTCAGACAGAGTTCGATTCGGATCGCCGTCGTCCTCGTCCTCGTTGTCGTCGCCGTCGGTTCCCCAATATCCTGCCGCCGGTCTCGTGGTCAAACTCTGTCTGGATGTTGTCGTCCCACATTCTAAGTTATTAATTGGTTTATCCAAAGTTTTAAGTTCATTTTTCATTTCTTGTTCTTGTTTCTGCGGGGCGTGTGTTGCTCAGAAAATGTGAGGCTAACTAAAAATTAAAAAATAAAAAAGGAAATTATTTTTCAATAATTTGTTTACCTTTTTTACTTTTGCATAATACCTAATATCCTTTCCTTCTATCATCCACTTACAGCGTATCGCGTAGTGTATAATCAAGCTATATAATCTGTTATCTGTGTACCTTATTTGTGATATCCTAACCGACAACAACAAAATAGTTTGTAATACTTACAAATTTTGTTGAATAATACAACATAATTTAAACTAATTTATCTACCAAAATAACTGTGCTTAAAATACGAATAAAGGACGATTACATAATCGGGTACATCGGCGAAATGGATTACGTAACTCTCGTGTGCCATGTAAGTAGGCGTTGTGGCCAAAGGTCAAAAGTACATCGGATTTTGGGGGAAGCGATTTAAAAGGAATTTTCCAAGAACTTAATTAGAAATTCTCCAGAGTAGAAAATTTTGTTAAATTTTTTTTATTATATTTTTCCAGTTGAAAACTTGGACTCTTTTAATTTAAAAATAAAATTAATTGAATTTTTTACATTTTTTCCAAAAATGTTTTCAATACAATTTATTATTCTTTTATTTTATTATTTTTTTATAATCTCTAGGAATAAATAGCAAACTCTATTAAAAGAGATTACTCCTTCCATAGTGGGTATTGAATTTCATACACACAACAAATGAAGCATAAGAGGCAATCAAAATAGCCAACAAAGCCAGAAATATTTACAAAGTGATTTGCCGGCTCAGCATTTACCTCCCATCATTCGATATCCTTTATTTTCCCCCATCACTTCCCTTTGAGACCCAAGCAAATTTATGAACATAAGCCGATTACAAGAAATGTGCAAAATGATGAAATTGTACGAGACTTTTGCTTATCAGCAACGGAACACAAATTGTTGGTCCCATTATTAACCGGTACAAATCTCCTTTGCAGGCACTGTAAATGAAAATGCACCAACTCTCCGCAAGTCTAAATTATATGGCTACCAAGTGAAAATCCCCCGCTGAGAGAACGAGCCAACCCGAAAATAGAGTCATCAAATTTGTGCCGGCTTCACGGAAATTAACCGCCGCCGATTCGCCACGCTTATATACACGGCAATCCGCCGTGAAGTAGGCAACAAAATATATTTATGCGCCCAAGTGATAACGGCGGAAAAGCCAGCGAAGCACAACAGGCGCGGACTTAGGCGGCAGGACTCGGCGATCCGGAGACAGGGGCGGAGTCTGGAGTGAGAAGTGAGGATTCAGGAGTGAGGATTCAGGAGTGAGGAGTCAGGAGTCAGGAGGAAGAAAGGGGATTCGAGCACAGCATCAGCATGAAGGGTCTGACGGCGTTTAAGGAGAAGGCGACGGGCGTGTTCAGCGGGTGAGTTGAATATGAATAGATATACCCACAACACCAAGCAGCAGGGTTTTGGTTAAGGCAGCAACACTTAAAATTTTATATATGTTAAAAATTTAACTTGGGAAAAAATAAAATAATTATACTACCAAAAACTCTTTACTATATATTATGGTACTATAAAATATATACAAATAGATAGAATTCAAATTCTCGAAATCCTTTCTAGAAATAAGTAGTATTCTTGCTTGATTTGTTGACCAGTGTAAAGCAATGACGATGGGCAATATGCCTCGAATGAAATATGATTGCAATCAAATGGACTTTGAAAAGAACAAAAAAGAATAGAGAAGGAGAGTTTAATTTAACGCAAGGCTGGTCGGTGTTCGTGGTTGGCTGAACTTGACCATGCCAGGATAATGCAGTTAATGCCCACCGATATCGATACGCACTCCCGACTCGACTAGCCGGCGTCGCGAAACTTCGGCACGTGTCGCGCCCCGGAAAGTTGTAAAATTATTGGCATGCTTAACAAGTCATTAGAGAGGGGGGCCACGAATCTCGCAGGACTCTCAGGACTCTGGCAGGACTCTCCAGCGGTGACAACGAACGCGCTGGCATGCCGACGAGGCTCACCGGTGGCTCAGGAATTCCGGGCACGTTGCCAGCACGTGTCCCCGGAACTTACACTCCGGCAACTTCGCACCTTCGACTCGATTCCGGGAGAAAGACAATAAAGCCGCACTCCGGCATATTGGGCAAACACTCGACGAATGTGTGTGCTCCTGGTATGCAATTTGATGGCCACACCTCGCCTGATTTCTCGAGGACCTTGGGCTCAAATTAGGAATTGGAACAATAGGTGGCACATCGCTTTCATTAAGGAATGTGTTGCATACCGACGAAGGGCTGCTGCAGTGGCCCACGCAAATGAAATTGATTTTTACGACCCAGGACCTGCTGCTGAAGCCCTCGAGTGGCACTCGGCGCGAAGAAATTGAAATGCCTCATCGGGGGGAAGCGTTCAGTGCTCAGAACTCAAGGAGTTCCTTTATCCTCGCCAGTGAAAATGAAATTAGAATTGCCGCTGAAGACGCGTTCGTGTCGCTGACAAGCCACCGTTTTCCCCCCTCGGTTGTCAGGGCAAACAAACTAATACACAGCATACAATATATATTTCTTTATCTGTGAATGTGCCCCATTTACATCTCAATGGTCACGTTTTTGTGGCCGCCTTTAAGTCAAAGGCGAATGCCGCAAAGCCTCCAGTTCGTGGCGCCAGTTATCCTTAATCTATGCGGCGCCAAAGAGTCTGCAACATTTTTACTGACTATCAAAGCAGAACTTTAGCGCCAAAGATAGTTTGGCGAGACGTCAAAAAAACACAGCTCTACTTAAGGATGGGAAGTGATTTTAGAAAAAACAGTAGAAGATGAGATGTCCTGAAGTAAATTAAAAAAAAAACATGCAAAATAATCTAAGATATTTTTTATGAAATGTATTTTAATAATTGTGTAAGTGAAATACCCTTAAAAATTCCAGAAATATTTATTCTCACTTTCTTTATATTAATCCATGAATAACTTGAGGGGAATGGGCCTAAAATATCACATTGAAATGCTAATCGAAATATATTATTTCGTGATAAAACCAACCTAATGATGGTCATAACGCCACTCTGTTTTTTCTGAAGGGCAAACGACAATTGCCGCATAAAATTGGCGTCAGCCTTAAAGTCGGTCAAGGCGCAACTTGGTCGAAGGACGTCAGATGCTCCTTCTGCTCCCCGTTTTTGTCCTTTTTTCGAAGGGGATCCTGCGTGACCAGACGAGGGTAGCTTTGGCGGCAGACAGTTGAGTTATGTGACAGGCGGCGACTTCGACGACGACAAAGTTATATCCACTGTAGTGGCTTGTTTTCGGCTGGTGGCTGCTTATTAGTGGTATTGCACACTTACGAGGACTTTGTCTGGATATTTATGAAGAAAAATTCCAGGGTCACATCCCAGTTGATGTGTTACTTATCCCGGGTTAATGGCTTGCTGAGGAATGGCCGGTTAGGTCACCCCAGTTATCAGCTATCAGCTATCAGCTAACACACATCCATCCATCAATCAGTCGGTGACAAGTCTTTTAACTGTGTTTAAACTGGGAAATCAAATCTGGAAATGCGATTCGGATTCCGATTCCTACCTGCTCCAATCGACTTTAAATACCTGTAGCCTTGCTATCAGCACTTAATAAAATTGAATTTCACCCTCCCCTCGATTGCTACCCTCAGACGCCGCAATTCCTTTGGGACTCTTGGGAAAAACAACAACCACCTTTGAGGAAAAAAGTTGGAGGGGTGGCAGCTGTTGCTGCTAACAAGCCGAAAATATTTGTGTTTTCACGCCCTCTCGTTGACCTGTTGAATTCGGACTGCTATCCGCTCTAATTGGCATGAATTATGCCCCCAGAGAAAATATTTATGATACTTCTTATGGATTGATTTTGGGCTAATCATGAAGTAAATCTAAACTACTTTAGTTGGTACTGTATAAAAAGGATTTATTAACAATTTAAGAGTTCTATAAAATAAGTTATTCTCTACTTTAATCTTATATCTTACTTATCGTCCTATTTATTTCCTTTCTGCAGCCTGAAGCCGAACATGGAGAAGTTCGAGATATCCCAGAGCTACCACGGCGGTCACGGGGGCTACGAGGAGATGGAGGGGGCGAGCGGGAGGGCCGCGGACCTGGAGGCGGCCACGCCTACGACGACGACGACGACCGGCCCGACTCGCCCGCCTCCTTCGAGGAGATCGAGCGTCCGCCGCTGCGGAAGATCGACAAGTACTGCAAGGCGGAGTGTCCTTGCATGCCGGCCCGCTACACCATCGCCACCATGGCCTGCGTGGGATTCATGATCGCCTTCGGGATGCGCTGCAACATGTCCGCGGCCAAGCTCAAAGGAGAGCACAACGGGGTAACCACCTATTCTTTGTCCAAAACTAAAATTTTTCTCAATAGCCAAAAAATAATACATACTATATAACCGATAAAGGCATTGCATTGTTTTTATTTTGGAATCCAACGTAACTCATTCAAAAGAAATGTTATTTGAAATAGTTCAATAATGGATGATGGCTGGAAAAAGCATTTAAATTCGAGTACCAATAGATTCAATTATAATAAATTTAATTATTCTTTAAATGTCCTACTCTTAAACGAACTCTTCATTAAATTCTCCTCACATCTACAAATCACTCCACATTAAATTGACAAAATTGTCAGCATTAGAAGAGCAAAAATAAATACTAGAGAGTGGGAGCCATAAAATTCGCTTCGTTTGCTGAGAAGCTGTTGTCAATTAGGGAGTGTGTGGGTGTATGTAATGTGGGTGGATATCGCTCAAAAGTCATACACAAAAGACCACGCCCCCACGCAAACACATAGAAACCCATTTGAAACTGAACATCCGAGTTGACGCTCGTTAATAAATGCCTGCAGCGGTTTTTAATGATTGCCGAGCTCTGAATGATGATGATGACTAACCCCGCAAATGTGTTTCCGGATTTTCGCAGACTGTTTTCATGAACTGGACGGTCGCCGTGGAGAGCCATGTGGACTCGTCCTTCTTCTGGGGCTACTTGGTGACGCAGATTCCCGGCGGCTTCATCGCCTCCAAGTTCCCGGCCAACAAGATATTCGGCCTGTCCATCGTAAGCTCCGCCACGCTGCATCTCTTCGTGCCGTTCGCCATGACCCTGATGCACGGTCATGTGGTGATTTGTGTGCGCGTCCTGCAAGGACTCTTCGAGGTACGTAGCCCAACCATCCAACCAGCAAACCAACCAACCAACTGGAGAAGCAACCAACTTACCAAATTCGATTTTGCCACAGATCAAAGCCGGGGATTACGGCTGCGTGATGTTGCGAAAATGGGGAGGGTTAGATTTTGCTTTATGATAAGGCAAATATGTGAAATGGAAACATGCCCTAAGCCCTGCCAAAGGATGGGGATGCGAGTCCTGGCGGGGCAGAGAAAAAATAACAAAAGCATTTATTTTAATGCGATTTCTTTGTGCGAGGGACTGGGGAGTATGTCATTTTTCTTTGACTTGACGGGGCAAGAAAGATACTTCTCAAAAGGATGTTTACTTTCTTGGTTTTGTCGGTAGCTGAGAATGTTATCTTATATTTAATAGTATTTTTATTTATATTTATTTGAATTTTCTGGTTGAAATAAGTTAAGCAAAACTTAACTATTTAGCTCTTAAAATTTTTAAAACTAAGGTTACAAGATTCTTTTATTTATTTTACCATTCTCGAGTAACCAATATTTTCCCCTAGGGCGTTACGTATCCGGCTTGCCATGGCATCTGGCGCTTCTGGGCGCCTCCCATGGAGCGTTCCCGTTTGGCCACGCTGGCCTTCTCCGGTTCCTACGCCGGCGTGGTGGTGGGACTTCCGCTCTCGGGACTCCTTGCGGATGCCGTGGGCTACCAGGCGCCCTTCTACGCGTACGGGGTGTTCGGGATCATCTGGTACATGTTCTGGATCTGGCTGTGCTTCGAGAACCCGCGGAAGCACCCGGCCATCAGCATACCCGAGCTGAAGTACATCGAGAAGTCGCTGGGCGAGTCCGCACATCCCTCGATGCCCTCGCTAAAGACGACTCCTTGGCGCGAGATGATGCGCTCCATGCCGGTGTACGCCATCATCGTGGCGAACTTCTGCCGCTCCTGGAACTTCTACCTGCTGGTGCTGTTCCAGTCCTCGTTCCTCAAGCACAAGTTCGGTTTCAAGGTGGAGGAGGCGGGCTTCGTGGGCTCCCTGCCCCACTTGATCATGACCACGATAGTGCCCTTCGGAGGCATGTTGGCGGATCACCTGCGCAAGAACGGCATCCTGTCCACCACGAACGTGAGAAAGCTCTTCAACTGCGGCGGCTTCGGAATGGAGGGATTGTTCTTCCTGTTCGTGGCGCACTCCTCAACTGCGGTGGGTTATTGAGTTACCTAAGATTTTCCTTCTGGTTCTATTGAGACTTATTTTACCAGACTGGCGCCATGTTTGCCTTGACCTGCGGCGTGGCCTTCAGTGGCTTTGCCATTTCCGGCTATAATGTCAACCATCTGGACATAGCTCCTCGGTATGCCAGTATCCTAATGGGTCTCTCGAACGGAATAGGCACTCTGGCTGGCATCATTGTGCCCTATGCTTTGGATGGTCTTATCCAAGCTAATGTGAGTTAATCTTAAAACCACCAGAAATATATTTTAACAATATATTTTTAATATATTACTTATTTGTACAATTTAGCCTACTGGTTGTTGGACCACTGTGTTCACCTTGGCCGCCTGTGTTCACTTGGTTGGCTGCACTTTCTACGGAATTTTCGCCTCCGGAGAACTGCAACCTTGGGCGGAACCCCCACCCGAGGAGCAGAAGGTTTGGGCACCACCAGCAGGTGCCATTACCAACATGGATCCTAGCCAGGCGGGAATGATGGGAGACTACATGAAGGAGACCTCATTTGTAAGTGAAAATCTGTCTGCTAATATACTATTATTATTTATTGCATTCAAATTAGATTTCATAAGAACTTATTTCGTTTTGTAGATACTAAATTTTTATTTTTTGTGTAACCTTCACAATTTTATTAACTCATTAATGAACTCTATCATTTTGTTACCCATTCCAATAATAGGGCGCACCGGAGTACACCGAGCAGAGCCAAATGCAGCAGTCGAATGCCATTAGCTACGGCGCCACAGGGCACGTGGCCAACAATCCGTTCGCCATGGCCAGCGGTGCACCACCCATCGCCGAGGAGGATGCCCCACCGACCTACGGGGACGTGTCGAATACAGGACAATACGGATACAACACGCAAGGACAGGTGCCGTCCTACGATCCGCAGGGATACCAGCAGCAGTAAAGGGTCGCTTAGACATACGAGTATATCATAGCCTTTAGTTTTAGTCGGAAATCGTTTGACGTTATTGTTTGTTCTTGGTGTGCCGTTAAAGTTTTCCCCACACACTCTCTCTCTGTTTGTTGAGTTCCAGCCACGGAGGATCCTAAGTCCTTCGGACACAATACGAGTATATTTAACTAAGGAGTAACGAATTTGTCAGCGAATAAGGGGATTCCACATGCCACACTAACACAATGAAACTATGTACCTAACAGAGAAACTACATATGCAAACACAGCAATACCGATAGCCATTACCATTACCGTTAGCCCAGATATAGTAGGAACACACACTGGCCCAGTCGATCTATATAGCAATATGGTATGAAATAAGGGCCTCGCTTGCGCGAACTTCTATTTACAAGCTCCAAAAACCGAAACTGCAACACAAGATAGGGAAAGCACTGGAAATAAATAGTCAACTCTTGTGTATATCATAAACCACATAATCCGCACAAAGCATATAATAACTACCATATATTGAGTCGGTATAATCGTATATATATAGCCAAAGATTGTTGTTGAACTGCAAACTGCAAGTTTTATTACCGTTGATGATATTACCTTCTGTGTAAAGAGAACATTTTAATCAAACCCAAGCAATTGTTGATGTTCGGCACGAATAATAACCATAAAAGTACTAGCTAATCGAAGAAACATAATAATACTCTGTTAACTAATTCTTATTTGCTTTTGGTTGGTTCAGACGAACTTCTTGATGCACCTTTCGCTTTTGTGTTGAAGGAACATGAGCAAGGCATGATGTAGGTACTAAATTATAGAACTCAAGTAGATAGCAGTAGGCGCATATAACCTCAGACTTGGTCTTCATATGCTCACTATATTATAGTTAAAATAAGCAGAAGGAACACTTGGAGCACAATTATAAGAGTTTTTAGTTATTAGCACAATATAATTTAACTTCAAAGATGTTTTGTTTAAATCTATACACTCTAAAAAACTTGAAACTCTTTATTTATATTCCATCTTACTTTTTCAAATATAAAAAACTAAAAAATAATATTTTCAGTACATTTTTTTCTTTCCCAATGTGTGTTCCTTTTGTGAAAATTAAATAAAAAGTATTAACTATCAATTAAACTATATTTAACCTATTAAATCTCTCTAAACAAATAAATTTATACGATTTCGATAAACTTAGTAGATTGTAAATAAATTCTGAGTTGTGTAATTTTAAATCTTTAGTTCATTTTTGCACCAAATTTGATTTAAGAGCACAGTTTCACTTAATAAATGCACTGTTTCTTTTAGTTCTTTAAGTTCAATGCACCATTGTAAATGTTTTTTAGTTAATAAGTTTTATTACTGCCACGAAAAACATATTAAGACGCACTTACTTTCGCACTGTTCAATTGAAAATACAAATTTACAAGCAAATTATTTCTAATCGTCTGTATATTATCCAAACGTATTTAACTAACCATTAATATTATAGCTAACTATATAAAGGTAATTTAAAGTATTCACATTTAAATCACTATGTATTAAAAACGTGAAAATTTTCTAACTAAAAGAGTCAATTCTAATACCGTAATTTGTACAGCGCAGCGATTAAATACTCACGCAAATACTCGTATAGCAACTTTAAAATAGCTAATATATATTACAATTTTAATGGATTTGGATACAGGTTCCAACTGAAGAACAAAATACTGCTTGTGTGAGCGACAATACTTAGTGAAATAAGCTTAGTTATAGTTTAAATACTAAATTCAACTTTTATTTGTGTTGATTTGCCTTCATGATTTGATTCTAGGTACAAATTTTTAACTTATGCTCTGCGCATACAATTAAAAATGTTGGCCACTGGGGCGTATGTGTAATATTAGAATAGCTAAAATCCATTCTGTACATAAATCCATTTTTACTGTTAATCCATTCGTTCAAATGAGTATTTTAAGAGATCGATTCTCAGATTATCGACTTAATTTATTCTGTTTTTGGGAGATACTCAAGCTCTCTGGGCTGTGTGGACAATAATGACATAAATATGTTAGCCAGAAAGCCACGTTTGAACTTTTGCTAGCTAAGGTATGAAAATAATGAAAATCACTTGACATAACGGTTTGTAAATACAGTATATCTCGTAGTAAATGCCATCATTAAATGCTTTTGTGAGTAATTTAAGTGTACATAAAGCCGACTAAACCGAAGCGTAACTAAAAACTCGACGAGCGCAACTATAATAGTGTTAAACCATCAGTTTTGCTATAACCAGTCATAGATGAACAGGTTACATCTAGGGTATTTTAACTGCTAGCCAGACATTAACGTTGTGCTTGGAAATAAACCCAGAGTCTCTAAAATGCATACACTTTCATACAGAAATATAGGCGCACAAATACGAAACAAATATACGCTAACTATATAAATCGTATATATATTCAATTCATTAAATAAATGACAATTGGGCCAAGGCACTCATCGGATTATGCACCCGAGATTCCTTGAAATATTATTAAAGACGTAGCAAAGATATTAACACTATACTTAAACCGTGTATATAATTAGAAACAAATATTCTTTGTGTTTTCTGAGAGTTCTGTATGCAAGATATAAAATATTAAATCAAAATTAAGCATAATAAACTCATTCAGAGATCCCTTTTCTGGCAACACCCGCCCACGTTGTATAATTTGTATGTTAGCTAAACCAAATTAAGGTAAAAACTTATATATTTCAATGTATGTTAATTAACAAAGAAACAGATAAATATTCCCGGCAGCCACAAATGAATATTAACAGACAGTATTTATTTAAAACGTATCCTGATTCTATCAATGTTACTTATGTTTGGTTGAAAGAATTAAGTCCGACAATGCGAATTACCATATTTGAAGATCATGAAAAACAGAACAAAATTATACCTAATAAAATGTATTTGGAATTCAATAAAACGAACATGTTAAAAATTATGCCAAACACATTGAGTTTTTATTCCATCCAACTTTCAGCATACAACTTAACGATTAGAACTACTCATTTGTACAAGTCCCAATTAAAAATGGCTGCATTTAGAACTAATAACAAAAATACGAAATAAATAGGTATCAAATAGGAAACAAGCTAAAATCACATGTGTGCTACGGTGTAAAAGATGCATAAATCCAGGCGGTAAGTACTATATGTATTTCGTATTCTGACTACGCCGAGTTGAAAAGCATTATCTCCGTACTCCCTGGTACTCTCCATTCGAACGTCCTTTGCCGGGAAATCCTCGGGCAAAGGGCGCCTTCGCATTGGTGGTCACATAGTAATTCCCTCGAGCTCTGCAGGTAGAATATCGCTATAATTTAGTTTAGAATATCAGCATTTACTACTCACTTGTGGGAACAGTGTTCTCCCATGAGCACGTACTCCGAATCCTTGGGCTCACACCAGCCTATCAGATAGGAGAACAAATTGGGACAAGGACCTGCATAGAATCCTCTGGTCGTGGTTATAGATTCAATAAAGTAGGGAGTGACTTTTGTGTGATCGCAGGCCAAGGTTTCTGGGGATTGAAATATTGGTAATAAATTAAAGCTTTCAGGGAAATAAAATATAATGTAAAGTTTGCTTAATAAATCTATAAAAACCTTTTTCACACAATATAATTCGAATGTACTAAGCTTCATTAAAAGAAATAATAAATTAAATATATATCTAAATACAAATTAATTTGTAATAAATATTATTTATTTAAATTCTACATTACTCACGAAACAACGTGGCTGATCCGACGCAGGCTGGCTGCCTGGTGCCTCCATTGACATAGAAGTCCGCGTGGCCACTGGAGTGCCACTGCCCGAGGATTCCGGCTCCGGTGTGCAGGACATCCACGAAGTGGGCGTCGGTGGTGTCCAGATCCCTGGAGTTGTTCGCGCCCGCGTAGAAGAATATCGTTGGATCCAGGGCGGTGATCCTGCCGAGCTTCCCCTCCTCGGGCTTCAGGTAGTTGGCCACCAGACCGGCGATGTGGGCACCCACGCTGTAGCCGATGAAGTGCAGGTCGTCCGGCTGAACGCCCCGCGGATGGCGGGCGAGGTACTTGACCAGCTGGGAGATGCAGAGGCTGCCGAAGCGGGGAGCCCAGTCCATCTGGCTCAGGCAGGGCTCCTTCACCGCATCGGCGTAGTCCACGATGATGATGTTGTACTCGCCCACGCTGAAGTACGCCTCCCGGAGATCCGGACTGGGACTCAGGGTCCTTCCGCCCCCGAAGCCGTGGATGATGATCTTGGTGGGATGCCGCGGATTGAAGTGCGTGTAGTAGAGGGCATTCGCGTCCAGGACATCTATGAACTCCGGCAGCTCCTGAGTGCGACGGGTGTACAGGTAGAACTGGATCTTCGGATGGGGACAGCGGTACGGCTTCTGCAGGCAGGAATCCGTCACGTAGACCTGCGTTTGGTTTTGGCCCGCTGCCACTGCCGCGGCCACCACTCCTACATTTTGGCCAACTGTGAAGGATACAAGATTCGAGATTCCAGATTCAAGATTCAAGATTCGAGATTCAAGATTCGAGATTCAAGACTCAAGTTGACAAACAAGTTTCGCTCAACGATATTACATTTAATTACATAACCCGCTGGCTGCGACATTGAATGCTTGCAATTTGGCACGCTGCAAATGTCATGCGATTGCTGTTGCTGTTGCAGTTGCAGCAGCAACATTGGGTTGCAGCCACATTGCGTTGCAGAAAGTAAAAGTCACCCCGAAACGGAAGTGGCGCTGTTTGTGGCTCAGTGCTCTTTGTTTACCATTTGCACCGCATCGCGTTTATTTTTGACAAAACGTGCTGCTCATGATATAACTGGAGCTGGCAACTGGATGCGGAATGAATACGCGTAATTTATTCATCTGATTCATAGGGTGGTGGAGGGAGGTTGGGTGCCCCGGGAAAACCCAGTTGAGATCGGCTTATCCGACACTTGGCTGCCAGCAGACATGCGCCATGTGGTTCGCGATGGCGAGGAGGGAATTTCACATTCCTGGTTATGCCACTTGGGCAATGCATTAGTGCATATTACCTTACTAATAATTTGGATATTTTTACTACCTCTCTATTTAGTTAAGACGATCGTAACAGTTTCCTATATACTTTCTGTATATTTGTTTGATAATTTTGTTTGAATTTTATATATTTCTATTAGCTCAACTGCTGAACTAGTTCCCTCTTACTTTTTCAGCCAGCAACGTTGAGCTCACCACATGCGTAAGAAGCCAGCGCAGTGCGCTTTGAATCTAAATGGCCAAATTAAACATCTAACCCAAACATATGAGAATCGGCCTTCGGTTGACTCAGTTGGTGGCGCTTAACTGCCTACCAACAATTGGCCCACTTGCGGTTGGAGTGCTGGTAGTTGGTGGTTGGTAGTTGGTCGATAACCAAGAGCCATGCAACCGGTCTGGGAAGGCATTGCAGATGCAGACTCTTGACGGTTGGGTGGCCACTGGAAATACCCGATGATATTGGCTGCCTTATAGGGCTGAAATACCCCAGCGACACAGTGAACAGTGAACACGGCTTGTTTCGCTCGCGTTTCGATGACAGGTGCTCGCAAGACCAGCAGCTGGTTAAATTAATCATGCAATAAGCGTACTTTTACATCAGAGACCGCAGCATAATGCTCCTCTTTGTGTAATGCCAAAAAAAGAAGTGAACATAACAAAAATAAAGGTTGTTATTTGTATATTGCATGCACTCAATCAAACAATCAAAAGGTAAAGTGGTGAAAAGGTATTGCCCAAACTAACTAGTTGAAATTACAGGGAATAGTATTGTTTAGTTTTAAGACTTTTCTTTCTCTGTAAGCATGAAAATCCCCACCCGCACTCTTCTTTCTTCAATTAGCAGTGGGCTGTGGCCGCGGTCATGCCTCAATTGTCTTCGGCTTTTCTGTTTTCATTTGTTTTTCACAACCGTTTATCTCTGACTTCGTGAGCTGCTTTTCCCATCTTATGTAAGCCCACCCCCACACCCGCCCCCTTTTCATTTTCCTTTCCATTCGGCCATTACGCATGCCAATTAAATGACTTTGTTTTCGGTTTGTTTATACCTTTTTGGCGGGAAAATTTCATGGGGGAATTTTGGGGCCTCGGGTTGGCCGGAAAACTCTGTCCAACTAACACAAATCAAGCCCGAAACGGAAGCGGTCGAATGCGGAAGGAGAGACCCCAAGTTGGACGCGAGACACGAAATCTTCATCGCCTGCTAAGTGAAAGATGGTGTTGGGTTGGCTCGCTTTTGGCTCCACATATTTTTTGTTTGTTTATGGGTCTTTGTGTTTTCGATTTTGTCATGAGTCATGGACATTGTTTGGCTGGCGTTAGCGCTTTCGGATTATTGGCCAATTGACTCCGAATCGATATCGAGATTTGTGTGTCATAACCTTAAGGCTTTCGAGTGGCGGCTTGAGTGGAGCAACCACCATTGCCTGTCTTTTAGTTAGAGTGTCATGTTAACAAAATTCTCCAAAAATTGCCTAATTTCTGGTTATTACGCTTCGGTAATAAATGTCTTAATAGGAGGTTTAAAGTGTAATTTCAGATCTTAACACTGGCGGCCTACTTCTACTCCATAATTGCTACGATTTCCTTGGGTTCATTAACCCACAGTCTGGCCTAATGACACAGTACCTGCCATTCTATATCAACCGACGACCGTGGCCCTCCGAATGCCGAATCCGTCGGAATTAAAAACTTGACACTGACACGCACCTCGGCATCGCGCATACGCCCCATATAACACCTTCATCGGCAACAATAAAACAATGCCAGGCGGTAAATACGTTGCGAAAGCTGCGAAGAGTGTCAAGGTGCAGGGGCAAGTAAATATGAATTCGTAATTAAGCACCTTAAAATCAGAGATTCCAGAGCGCGCTTAAACGGCGGTCGCCGGGTCAATTAATTTATTAACTTGGCTTCGCGAGATTTCAAAAGTCTCGCCATGACAAGGCGGTATTTTTGTATTTTTGAGTGGGATGAGCCCCTAAAAATACGAGGTACTTGCGGAGAGACTGTTCAAGATATTTATACCGCTGTTGGCCAAGATATGAGGCAAGGTCGCAGTGGGGAAAAGAAAATGCTGGTAAACATTGTGCAACTAGTTAAAACCGAAATTCGAGGCGACGCCAATTCGAAGTGTCAACAAAAACAGCGGCCACAGTGACAGGGCCAAATGAAAGAAAGGTACCGAAAAAAAGGTGCCAACCGGGGCGAAAGTAAAAGTTAAACTTTAATTTGAATCTTTGGGTTTCTTTTAGCACACCGCATACGAACCGGCGAATTCCAGACGGGAGAGCGTGAAGCTCACGCAGAGCAGCTGCAGCCAAAAGTCTGCACTTTTCGGTTTCCTCACACACTTTTTCCACATATCTCTCCCCATTTCTTGGTTTCTGCAAATTCACGTTACTTTCGGTTCACTTGCAATTGCAACTGCGGTTATATAACTGGGCTATAAGAGCGCACTGTTTGAACTGCGGAAGGCTTTGGGTCAAGGCCTGCTCGTTGACCGGCGACGGCTGTCTCAAAGTGCGAAACTATTTCTTGGGCACCAGCTCGAGAGCTGGTCATTGGACCCGATTTCGATATCAGTGCACAGCGAGGCGACGGCGGCGGAGCTGGCGAGGCATAATTCCGGCTGCCTCCGCACAGAAATTGATTCACTTTTGTGTTTTTCCACACTTCTTTTATTTTTTGCGGGCACGCGCGGTCTCCCGAGGAGATTGGTTTTTGAATCTGGGCTTTCTCCGCCTCGAACTTCGCTTGCACGTGCGATTTGATTGCGCTCCAGCGAGCCACTGACTGTCAAGTTCGTGTCTGAAGTCTTTCGTTTTCGTTTTCGATTTCGGTGGCTGCTCGAAAAGCTTTCTGCTGACAAACGAGAGAGCCACCCGAATGTTAACGGACGGAAGCTGAACCTAAACGATTTGACAGTCTCTTCTGTCCGCTAGTGGCGCTTTAAAATGGTTACACCAAAAATCCGAGAGAGTCACTCATAAAACTATTGATAAATGATGTAACTTCCCTTAAAGTTAAATAATCTCGACTAGAGACTTTCCATAGAATAGTAAAAAATCAAATTAGGAACTGGCCGTATATTTAGCGATACACGTTCATCAGCTTCCTTGGTACACAGATGACTACACGATTTTAGGACTGACAGTTTGACAATTGGTAACGTTGAATTTGGGAACACTACTCTATGGGTGGTTACTCTAGATTTTGGAACATGCCGAGGAGTGGCAGAAGTCCACGGGCAGGTGCCACATCATGTAGCGGATCTTATGGCAGTGCTTGTCGATGTACTCCTGGCTCTCCTTGTCGATGTAGGCCACGATCTCGTAGTTGATGGCGTCGTCGTAGATCACCTTGGAGGGATACTCGGCGGAGCAGGGGTCCAGGGCCGTCTTGCTCATCACGCACCACTTGCTGGTGTCCAGGCCGCAGTTCTGCTTCTCGATCACGTTGAAGATGCGGCAGAGGGCCCGGTTGATCACCATCGGGATCACGAAGGTGCAGCGCACCATGTCGAAGTGCTTGATCAGGCTGGTGCACTTGAAGGGCGGGCACATGGGCCGCGTGGCGTTCAGGACCCAGTCGCTGGTGCCGCTGTCCTCGCAGACGATCAGCAGGGCGCAGTCGAAGGCGACGGCCGAGGTGCACTGGCTGAACTTCAGGCTGGCGGCGTCCTCGGCCAGGTGGAACTGCTCCACGAGGAACACCAGGATGCAGTTGAAGTCGCAGTCGCAGGGGTCCTCGTCGTTGGTGATCACCAGCCCGAAGCGCCGGTCCTCGGGCATCACGCTGGCGTACGGAGGTCGATCCCCCTGCTCTGCGACGCAGCACAGGACGTCGCACTTGCTGTGACAGCTGTCGTTCTCGTCCAACACCTGTCCCGGAGGACAGCACTTGCGGCTGGCCGCCTGCGTGCATCCGCCGGAGGCCGAGCCGGAGCTGCCCGAGGTGCCGGAGCCGCCACTTGCACTGTCCGAAGGACACTCGTCGCCACTGCCCGAGCCGGAGCGCACGCAACTGGAGCTGGACTGCTGCACGGAGGAAGACATCATGGAGGAGCAGCTGCCCACCAGCTGGCAGATGCGCGACCTCACCTCCAGCGGCCACTCCAGCTCCCGCTCGTCGAACCGGGGCGAGCGCGACGATCCGCACTCCGCGTCCGACAGGAACCGCATGCGGAACATGGGAATGTCCCTGTAGAAGGCCCGCAGGTCCCCCATGTGCTCCTCCACTCCAAAAGGCTGGCCGAAGCTCAGGCACCTGCTGGCCAGGAGCGACAGGGGCACTTCGTCGTAGCACACCGCGTCCACGAACTGTATGTTCTGACCGTCAGCGGGAATTTGGGTACGTTTCTCCAACTCGCGTTTCAGGTCGCGTATCACACCGTTCGGCTTAACTCTTATCAAAGGATCGCGCCGAGACCTCTCGGAACCGTGCAAAAATACTCGTAAATACATGTTGGTGAAAAAAGCGAAAACTACTTCCAAAATTATAAAAGTAAAAATAGGTATTGTCGGGTTGAACTCGGGGTTTGAACTGAGAATTGGTCGAACGGACCTACACTAGCTTGACAATTTATCAAAAAAGATTTGAATTCCGCTTGCTGAGTAAAAAAGATTAGTATAAAATGTAATTATAAAAGACATCTTTGGTAACAAGAACAATAAGCTTAAAGTTAACAAGAGCTCTAAAAACTAGCGATGTTCTGAGATCTCGAACTCGACTTCTACAAGAGGTCCTTTGGCGAAGGGCGAAACCTCGTGGGTGGTAAGAAAGTACGAGCCAGAGGCACTGAAAGGAAAGAGGGAGATCTTAGATTTGATAAAAAGAAAACCCAATTCAAAACTTACTCCTCCGAAACAAAGTAACCCATTTGGGAGTTGGGCATGTTGGAGTAGAAGCTGCAGCGCTGCGAGAAGAAGTCGAACCAACCGCCGCACTGCTGAGCCCAAAAGCCCCTGCTCGAAGTTATGGACTCTCCGTAGTAGACGGCAGCCCTGTAGTGATTGCAGTTGTAGAACCTCCAGTTGCTGATGTAGCTGCAGCCCCGCTGGTTCAGCTGGTCGAGGTTGGGATAGAAGTCCGCGTGACCCATCGGCGGCAGCATGGAGAAGAAGAACGGATCGGTGTGGATGATGTCCACGAAGTCCGCGTCGCTGGCATCCAGTTTCTGCTGCAGCGAACTCTGCATCATGAAGCCAGGACCCGCGGGATCCAGACCGGTGATCCTGGCCAGGGGCTGGCTCACATAGTTGGCCACCATCCCGGCCACCTGGGCGCCCAAGCTGAAGCCGATCAGGTGGATGTCCTCCCGCCTGCTGATGCCAGAGGACACCAAGTTGTTTATCATCTGGCCGAGGCACTCGGAGACGATCGGGGCATTGGTCACCGCCCAAGGGAAGTAGCACGGCCAGCGGACCAACGTCTCGTAGTCCACGGATATCACGTTCACAGGCTGGTGCTGGAGCAGCACATCCCTCACCTCCAGATTGGGCGTCAGGTTCCTGTTTCCTATGAACCCATGGATGAGTATTTTCAGTGGCAGGGCGGGTTGGAATGCATTCTTGCTGAGGTTGAGGGGGTCCAACTGAACGGGATTATCGCGGGTTTGGCTGTGTAAAAAGTTAGAACACAGTTCACTTTGAATCCAATCCTTGATTCCACTCACTTGGTGTAGAGCCAAAAGGAAATCCGCGAATTGGGACACGTTTGCTCCCCGAAAACACAGAACTCGGGCAGCCAGCCTCGCAGCTGCTGTTCCCCTCTGCAGAAACCGGAGATTGTTAGGAGGAGGATCCCCGCGATATACTTGCTCATGTCTGAGGTCTAAACTAATCTAAGCGCGCGTTCTAGCGACAATTCTATTAAATTTGCACGACCTGACATTGAAATTGGCTTGGAACATGGGGGCGCATATAAAATATTTGCCGACAGGTGATAAAGAGTCAAGGCTTCTCAAGGTGGTGGCGGGTGGGTGGAGCCAGTGGGTCAAGGTTGCTGCGGGTGGGGTTGGGCATTAGAAACTGGTAATGAAAATTTTAAATGCGAGTAGAGAGCTATGATTGGTAAGGGAACTCTGCCAGGTATGATAATTAGATGAATTATAAATGTAAATTAATAAATTGTACAAAGTGAATTGTTTAAGGAATACATTTTCTATAGGCTTTCATATTTTTCGAAAAGCTTTACCAATAAATTCCCTCGTAAACATTTCCATGACCATTTTGAATTATTCAAAATACCTTCAAATACCTTATCTTATCAATGATTTATTTATTATTTTCTATAATTTAATTTAACTAAATAAGCTTTCTTCTTAAACTCTTTTCTATTTCAATCCAGTTCAGATTTGAACCCAAATCTTCCTTGTCTATTTTCCCAATCACGTTCACCTTCTTCATGTCGAGGAAACCCTCCAACAGCTGCGGTTCAAGGTCAGACCCGATTTCATTTTCGTCCAGATTCAGATGGAACTTCGCCAGCAGTTTCGTATTATCCACATCCTCCAGTTTGCCCAGGGCGAAGTATTCTTTGCTAGCAGTGTTGAGGAAGTACGAACCCCTGAGTTTTTCCGAGACGTGGTATCCCATCGTTGCTTGATCTCCCGACGTGGGACACAGTCCAAGGAGATGGACCAACCAATCGGAGCAGCGACGTCCCCAGAAACCCACCGTGGTGTTTATGGACTCGGCGTAGTAGCGAGGCGCTCTCTCGTGATTGCAGCTGCCAGGATCCTGAGGATTTTCCTCCGAGCAGCCGGGCTGCTGGGGCCCGAAGTTGGGATAGAAGTCCACGTGACCCGCGGCACGCAGAACCCCCGACCGAAAACATCCGTGTGGATGACGTCCACGAATTCGGCGTCTCCTGCATCCAATCTCCTCGAATTCGGACCGAGGATAAATAGAGGTTTGGCAGGATCCAGTCCCGTGATCCTCTTCAGCTTCCTACTCACATAGTTGGCCGTCTGACCCGCCACTTGGGCACCCAAACTAAAACCGATCAGGTGGATCTGGTCGTTTGGCACTATTGCTCGGCCCACCAGGTTGTAGATCAACTGCGCCAAGCACCGACTGACCAGCGGGAGATTCTGGACCGCCTGGATGTAGCAGGGATACCGCACCAATGGTCCGTAATCGATGGAGATCACGTACACGTCCTCGTGGTCCAGGAGTACGGGGCGGATGTAGGAGTTGGGCGCAAAATCGCGGTATCCTGTGTAGCCATGGATGAGGATCTTGAGGGGACGCGGCGGCTGGAAGTCCCACGGATTGAGATCGAGGGGATCCAGCAGGATGGGCTTATTCCGGGTGGAACTGCAAGGTGTTTTAGAACATATTTATACACAAATTTAAATGAGATTATATGGAATATACTTTGAGTACAGCCAGAAGGAGATGTTTTTGTGGGGACATTCCCCCCGAACCACTTGGCAGGCGGGATCCACAAGACCCAGAAGAGGATTGGCAGACGCACTCCCCAGAAAAGCTGCTCAAGGGGATGCAAAATATAGTTATCTTTAACTTTTTAGGAACTCTAAGATCCACTCACCCAACAAAAAGAGCAACGCCGTCGACTTCATATCCCAAATACTCGCTCTTCTAAGCTCGGTGGTAAACTGGGTTCCGGCCTCCGAAAGTGGTTGCTATTTAAGTGGAGCGGATATCGCTGGCCACGATCTTCTATTGGCAACGGATTGAGACGTTGGCATACATAAGCACCCACACTGGGGCAAGTGGTGGTGTCAAACGGTGGTGCGATTGGTGTCAACCGAGAACGAAAGTGGTTGTAGTTAGGTTCGCGTGGTTGGCGGGTCTAATGAGTTGGGAAAAGCACTGCAAACAACTGACTTCACGGGCCCATTTTTTTCGCTTTTCTAATCGCTTTTGTATATTAAAATGTGGCATGAAATCGAAAGTTTCACAAGTAAGTTAATCCTATCCATTAAATAAAAAAGAATGAATTTAATTTGGGTGAATTTAAATAAAATTTAACCACAAAAACAAGAGAAAACAAACATTATTAAAATAACAAGCAAAAAGTCGAATATTTGTATTGACACATTCACGGTTGAAATATTTTCTGCATTAGTGAAAGTCAAGTGTTGCACACCATAAATAATCAATGAAAAAGTTTATTAGCTAATAAGTTAGGCTAATTAATTGTTTTGCCAACACCTTAAGTAACCAAATTAATTCCAAGCTGCACTCACGCCCGTTTGAATATAACTGTGACTGCACAATGCGGCAAACACTGACTTAGGCTTTCGTTATCTAATTAAATCAATGCCGCTGATTTTGTATATTGTAATTATCAGTTACATTTATTTCGAGCTACATTTAAATTAACAGTCCCTGTTAACTTAACATTACAGACACCGCATGTCGTAGCAGCCAGCTTGGGACATATAGCGCTTACAGAGGAGGGGTATTCCTTCAACTGTTGGAAATATTTGTATTGACTATTTAAACCTGACGTGTCTTACATTCATGGTCGTGCTATGTTTTACACAATTATAAAATTAAACATTATTCCGAATGGATATTGAACGCACTATTTGATTTTAATGTTATCGCTAATGATTAAAGCAGTCAACAGTCAGCTGATTGAACTGCTTGACGAACCAACCACTTGTTGCAGTCCAGGGTTGTCAGCTGTTTTGATAAGTAAAAATGATAAGTAAATCCGGATTTTTTAGCACCGCTCATCTGATTAAGATCGCCCGTGTCAGCAGCCCCGAACACCTTACATAATGGCCAAGCGACAGACTTGGGAGCAAATGCGGCAGATCTTCGCCCAGGCGGTGAATGCAGTGCATCCGGAGAAGATATTCGCCGACTTCCAGAGGTTCGATTTGCGGCCCCAAGTCGGGGAAACCCCCGCGGAGACCTTCATAAAACTGGATGGCGAACGGCAGGTGATAAGCGGGAAGACCTGCCACATCGTGGGCTTTGGAAAGGCCGTCCTGGGAATGGCCAACAAAGTGCACCAGGATCTGGGAAGCTGCTCAGCCGGTGGAGTCCTCAGTGTCCCCGTGAACACCCTCAAACAATGCCAACAATCCATTGCTCCTGGTTTGAGTGTCCTCGAAGGGGCGCCCAATAATCTGCCAGATGAGCAGGCTCTAAAAGCAGCCCGGGAAATCAAGCAGCTGGCCGAGAAGATGACGCCGCAGGACATACTCTTTGTCTTCATATCAGGCGGTGGATCTGCCCTGTTGCCCTTGCCCCGTTCTCCGTTGACCTTGGAAGACAAACGTTCCATTGCGGACAAGCTGATGAAACGCGGTGCCAGCATCCAGGAACTGAATGCCGTGAGGATTGCCTGTTCAGACATCAAGGGTGGTCGCTTGGCCAGGTTCGCCGCCAATGCAGGACTCCTGGTGACCTTCGTACTCAGCGATATCATAGGAGATCCCCTAGAGCTGATTGCCTGTGGTCCCACCATTCAACCCGTGGCTGGAGCATCCCCTTCCGACATCCTTAAGAAGCATCAGGTGTGGGAAGAACTCTCCCCGGAGATTCAAAAGGTTTTTGAGGCGACAAACGAGCAGGAAAATCCTCTGCTGCCGGAACACAAAGTCTTCATTGTGGGCAGCAATGTGATAGCTACATCCACAGCCGCCCAGGAAGCTGAGAAGCTGGGCTACATTCCCTGCGTGCTCAGTTGTGCGGTTCAAGGAGACGTTTCCCAAGTTGCTGGCGACTACCAGAGATTGCTGCAGGGCATCCAGGAGGCCAAGCATCAGGGCATTCGGGATCCGCAGCTGAGGGAGAAGTACGCCTTCGGAGAGAAGAGTTTCCCAGGATTCAGGAGGGCCCTAGAAGAGCATTTAAGCAGCAAGAAGCCATTGTTCTTGATTTGTGGAGGAGAGCCAGTCATAAAAGTTTGTAGAACATATTTCAATAATACCCCTAAGTATTTAATCAATCAATTTTACAGGTCACAGGTCAAGGATTGGGCGGCAGGAGTCAGCACTTGGCCCTGCTGATGTCGCAGGCTCTCCACCGCGACGAGACCTTGAGGGACTGCACCTTCCTGAGCGCCGGAACCGATGGCATCGACGGACCCACCGATGCAGCCGGTGCCATCGGCGACAGCAGCGTAGTGGAATCGTATTTGGGCGATCACACGCTCGATGAACTGGCTGAAACGCTGAGGAACTGCGACAGCTACAGCTTCTACAAGAATCTCGGGCAGGGCGAGCACCACGTGCTCACCGGCCACACGGGAACCAACGTGATGGATCTGCATTTCCTGGTCGTGCCTTAGTGTGCCTAGTGTGCCTAGTGTGCCGCCCCCAAAAAGACATAAATATGTATATGTGGGGCAGTTCGTTAATGGAGCTGCTCTTGAACCGCAGACGGGCAATAGTCGTTTAAATTTGTTTTTACGATTTTCCTCTTTAATTTCGCTCTATGAAATTTTTACGACTTTTTCATTAACATTTTTAATATCCATTCAAATTCAAATAATTTTGTGATCTTTATGCTCTGAGACGGTCTTCAGTGACAGCATAAAATGGCAATTAGCTTTCGTCTCCGGTTATGAAATCAGCCTGGAATTGTCTTGATTGTAATTATGTGCCAGGCAAAAAGTAATAGGCAATCGGCAATAGGCAATAGGCAGCAGGCGACAGATGTGATAAATCAATTTGTATATGCGATCACCGCGGAGCATAAATATATCTGAGTAATTTCCATTTAATTTCCATTTCTTTTGTACTGCGTCTCATAAAAACGCGCTTCTAATAAATCATCTTAATTGTTCGAAACGAAACGCCAAAGGCAAACAGTAGCTAGCGAGCAACTACAACAATAGCCAGCGATAATTGCAATTAAAAATGTAAATTTATTTGCTTCGCTTTATTTTTAGAAACTGAAAAACTAAAACGCGACGCGCGCCCAGTTGCAATTTAGCAATTTTACTAGCTAACACTTCGACTGCATATTTTTCTAATTGTGATTGTTTTGCCCGCTTCTATCAACGCTTTTATTGTTTACTTCGGTGTGAAACACCAGTGTAGTGTAATTATTTTGCCGCGCATTTGCCACAATTATTAAATAATCGCATTCGCCAGTCACTCTCTTGTGCTATTTTAGCTCGATTAGGTTTGTTATTAACTACATTCTGCAGTGCATGCCAGCGCCGATGACTAAGTTCTGATTCCTTCGAAACTATACTAGGAAAAGTCGGAGATATCTAGCTGCGGCGCACAAAAGTCATTTGTCTCTATGATGAATTGTCCCAAGATATGCATTTTACGTGCTGGCGAGTGAGTGATTGAGTCAAGCGTCCATTAAGTGGAGAAATTTATAGATGTTTTTATTAGGTACTTTTATTTAAATCAAATACTGTTTATCTTTTATACATTTTGTAATGAAAATATAAATATATTTCCACAAGATCACATTAAGATCGCTTTTTAATATCGTTCTTTTAATTGAATATACTAAAGTTCAGCACTCTACATGAGTGACAATAAGAAGTAAGCTGATATCTTCAGAGATTACCAGGAAATGCCTGATCTTGAGTCAATGGACTTCAATTGAGAGATGGAGGAGATGTAGGGCCCACTCTGAGATCCGTGGCAGGCGATTAGAAACGCTTCCGTTTCCGCTTTGATGGCACAGATGTCATCATCGGCGGCGGCTATATTTAACATTTTTATTAGCCACCGGACAAGCGGACCACCGGCAACTCCCCGCCCACAGACATGGAATGTCGCGTCAATTTGTCTGGCCGGCAACATGGCAACAATCTCGAATCTCGGCGAGCATCTCATCCTCCCCAACGCCTCGTCTCATCTCATCGCATCGCATCTCATCTCATCATCGGGGCAACAGATACGGCCATCGGCCATGGAGTGCAAGTGTCGCGTTGATTTATTAATTAAGCATTGGAGCGCGGCAGCTGAGCAACGCGTGGCAGCTGACGACGATGCTAATGAAGTACTCGCTGGAAATTTTAATTAACGATCCCCGATCCGATCGCCATATAGCATAGATTCCTCTTGTGTTGACTTATGACATCACACACCCAGAAGATCAGGGCATCGGAACACCAGAATACCAGAACACCAGAACACCAGAATACCAGAACACCAGAGTAGCAGAACACCAGCTGCTAGCTGACAGCGATCTCATTGCCAGACAAACTGACGGCGCTTATCACGAATGGACGAAAAAACGCCGAAGAGCCAACCACGAACGTTGCGCATACGCCGCGTGGCCCCAAAGCAAACAATTAAACACTATTCACCGCACTGCCTCCGGGCGACATACATAAATTTCAGTCGCTCGTCTGTTCTTAATTTGTCTAGACAATGGCAAAGTTCACTCCGAACAAATATAATATAGGCAAAGTTCAATTAACGCTCTTGTCACATGCCTTAGTTGGGGGCAAATGGATTCAAATTCAAATTCGAGCGAAGGAGCGGAAAGCAATTTGCATTCTGCTGGGAAATCGACTCGACTAACCTCCATGTGAGTCATGTTCGAAGACCTCGGTTGGAATCTCTTAATTTGAAGCAGATGTCTGGGGGAGATTTTGGGCAGATTTCAGGGGGCACAAGTACCGTGAACTCTTGTGGCAATGAACTTGACAAAGCGCTGGTAATTGGGAAAGAATGTTTGGGGAAAAAAAAATCTTAGCTCACGAGTTAAGTTTGTAAACTATAATATGATTTATTTATTAGGTAAAAATACAAGTTGAAAATGAGAGTAAGAACGTGGAAAGTTTTAAGTTCAGAGTTTTTGAAACTGAAATTTTACACGCTTTATAGCCACAAAAATTAGTTTAAAATATTAGATACGCTTTTAGTTCAAATAAAGTTGAAACCTTTCAAGTTTAGTTAGGTCTCGGTCGGTCTGATATGGATATCCTCAAGATGAACTGGCTGGCGATCGGTTTTCTGTTTTTAGGTGTTTTTCTCACCGTGGCAAGGCCTCAAAACACTCCCTATATCTGCGATGGAAAGGACGACAGGGTTTGTGACCAGTATCGCTGCATTTGCCGGAGAAAGCCTTCAACAGTAGCTTATTATACTCCGGACCCCCAGTATGAATTTTGAGCTTGGAATAAACTATGAATGTGTAAACAAGAAACTTTAAAAGTCTCTGAAAATGCATCTAACAAAGCAATCGAGTCTAAAAGGTTTTCAACGAAGCTTTTAGCTGCCCATAAACCTTTTCCCATCTTGCAACATCCCAGTACGATGTTCACCGAAACAATTATGCCTAACCGATGTTGGCATTAATAATTTCGGCCTGCTACTTGCCATTTATCAGAGGTATTGATCTCTCCATATGCCGAATGGGCAGCTTAATGTCAATCGGCTCTTTTCCAAGCTCTTGGCTCTTTTTTCTGTGGCCTCTGGGCCATTAATGCATTACAAATAGGTGCGGCAGACCGCAACAGCAACTGCAAAAGCAACAGCAACAGCAACAGCAGCATCGCATCGGCAAAGGGACTTGGCCACAGACGCTTCGGTGCCGTTGACCAACGTGACTGAGATTGAGATTGAGGCCTGCATCTCGCTCTGGCTACCTGCAAAAAAACGAAGAAAAAGCATATCCAGGCAGCAGACGACCTCAAGTGTAAGGCAGCGCAATCGAGTTGCTGGTGCAGCAGCAACAACAACGGCGGCAGCAACATGCAACATCCACAGTCCAGAAGCAGTTCAAGTTTGCGCCGAGGAATTCCTTGCCGCTGAAATAATTAAGCATTGCAACATTGTTTATTGTTGATGTTGTTGCTGCTGCTGCTGCTGCTGCTGCTGCTGGGGTGTTGCAGGCTCGTTTAACAAGGCAGCCAAGTTCTCAACAAGTGCCTCCTCCTGTTCTACAAGTTTTTTCCCCTCCACTCTTCATTTTTTTTTTGCGGCTGCCGTTGGTGCCACTCTAAGGAATTTCCATTTTATTTACATTTAGAATGTGCCGAACGGACTCGTCGCTTGTAAAGCGGGCCAAATCGAAAGCTATTAGACCTATTAGCATATCGGCTGGAACATGACAAATTTAGTGGCAACATTGTTGCCGTCGCGCGATAAACGCACAAAAATCAAGCGTCCTCGTTTATTACCGCATCGAAATGCCGCAATGCCATTGTGCAAAGAGAATAGGAAGCCATCGCCTCGAATAGAAAATATAGAAAAATACGAGTAAATGTAAAAAATGCCAATCGATTGGCGTTCAATTTACAGCGTTTACCTGATTGTTGTGGCCGGCCCACAGTTAACTTAATTGCCACTTCCCAAGCGCTTTATTTACGGAAATGCTGGCCGACAAGCAACAATTGGTACACAAGAAAAAAAAAGTTATGATAATAATTAGGAAAAATGAATTTTAAATGTATTATAATTCAGTAAGCCTTCATTAAGCTCTCTGTGCTGTTATTACATTCGTTTTTAAAATTAGCTATACAAATAAAATGCAATATTTTTGTTTAGATTTTTAACTTGCTGGTTAGTGAATTATCTTGAAGATCTTAATTTCTCTTGGTGCATCCACTGTGTGAAAGTGTTGTCAATGTTGCCGGTTGGCCATAGCCTACAATCGCGATCTGGTGATCGAGTTGGAAAGGAAAATAGCGAGAAATAATAACAACAACTAAAATTTTCCATAACCTTAAAAAAAAAAAAAACAAAAACAAAACAAAACAAAAAATGCTGCGGCTATTTATAAAATGCGCAATCTGCGAGATGCGTGCGGCTATCTGTCCGTCGGTCCGTCGATGCCGCCAGCTGTGTGCCAAGACAACGCTGGTCCCCTCGAGCCCCCTTTTTAGAGCCCCCTCTGGATCCCCTCTGGAACCCCTTTGGACCCGCACCCCACCCCCTGGCACTGTGTTGTCTGCGTTTATTGATTTATTAGAAAATTCCAATGAACAAGTTTTAATACACGACACACGGCGAACGATGAAGTCGATGTTGTCAGCATGCTTGTTGTGCTTTTTCTACTCCTCGGCTCAGCTCGTTGTTTTGTGGCACTTGTGTTCCTGTGCCACAGACAATATGAAAGGAAAGGCTGTGCGAAAGAGACGCCGCGACTCGGGCAGCAGCTGGAAAAAGTAACAAGTGCAATATTTTAATTACGCTGCAGCAGCAGCAACAACAACAGCAACAACAGCAGCAGCAGCAGCGACAGGGCCACAAGATCAGCGGCATCAATTAAGTTTGCAGCATGGATTTGGGCAGAGCGCGTTGCCAGATGGTTGGGCACACGAGGCGTATGATTGATATTCTTAGAAAATAATGCTTTTAAGGGATTTAAATTTATGAAACCTTGTCTTTTGTTCCTGTGATATTTAGACTTATGCTTATTCTTATTTATATTATAACTCATTTCTAGTAATATCAGATTTGTATCATTATAAATAGATTAATTATTTTATTAAATGGAAAAGTCGCATTAGAAAATATCTACATATCCGATTAACGAGGCTTGTGTTCTTTTTATCAGATATTGCTCAGCGGGTCTTGCTCCACAAAACTCTCACTTTGGCATATCTGACCCGATCTAACTCCTATAACTTTAACTAGTCAAACAATCCGGCAACGCCGATCGACTCGAAAGATTGTCTGCTCCGACTCTAAGCATTTTGCAATCAATTTAGATTTGCATTAGCAGCGCTGCAGTCTCGAGAAGCCGGAGCCCGAGATTTAGAGCCAAAAATAAACCGAACCAGTTGCCGCAGCGCCGAAAAGTCAAATGTGTAACAGCTTTGGCTTGAAGAGAGGCCCAAAGAAAGTCGAGATCGCAGCTGAGACAGAAGACTGTGGACTGGGCACTGTGTAGACTGTAGACTGGAGACTGTAGACCGAAGACTGCGACTGCGACTGCGACTGAGAGAGTTGAAATATTGTAATTGTGACTGTGGCTTGTTTGTTATTGTTGCCTTAGCGGTTGCTTGTTGTTTTTTCGGCTTGATTAATAATTAATCGCACTCGCACACACAGGCACACTCGCTCGTTTTAATTACTCAACTTAAATGGCGCTTTGAGCGACTTAAGCAACTTGCCTTTGTGTTCGAGTGTGTGTGTGTGTTGGTGTGTGTGTGTGTGCGATCGACTCTCACTACCACGAGCTCAAAACTAACTAACTAGCTGCTGGTTGTTTTTGTAGTTGCTGCTGGGCCGCCGATGTTGCTGCTGTTGCTGTGATGTTGCTGCTGTTGTTGCTGCTGTTGTTGCTGCTGCTGCTGCTGCTGCTGCCGCTGTTGTTGCTGCTGTTGCTGCTCGGCTCTGCTCCGTCTCCGGATCGCTTTTGCCTGCCTGTTTGCCTTGCCTCGGCCGCTTTGGACGCTCATTCAGTTTTTTGCGCTCAACGCTCGTTGTACGGAACCGAAAAAGCGTTCGTCCAGAGTGTCGCCAAATCGAAAATCGCTTATTACAACCGCCGCCCGCCCGCCCGACACGACACGAATCCGAATATCAATACGAATATATAGCCCTCTAATCACTTTTTTTCTGCTCTGTAATCGTTCGCGGTTTTTGCGGCCATAAAACAAAGTAAAATAAGAGTTAAACGCTGATAGTCGCGCCTCAAGAACAGAAAAACACATCTCTCGAAGTTCTCTCGTTTCCGCGATCGCTTGTCGTCAGCCAAACAACCAAACAACCAAACAGCTTAAAAGCCAGAAAGCCAGCCAGCCTCTCCGATTCTTTGTGATACCGATTCGGTATCAAATAAATATATTCGTATCCATCGCCATTCTTGCGGGCGAGTGTGTGAGTGATGTGTGTGTGAGTGTGTGCGTGTTGAAGCCGAAAGCCGAAGCCGAAGCCAAGTCAAAAATAGCCAAAATCGAAGCTTTACCACCGCATATCTGAGCAACCATGTGAAGTGCCAGTGATTTCCATAAGCCAAAATCGAAATCGCCATAGAGAGATAGGTCGAAACGTCGAGTATCTTGTGGATATCCGAGTCGAACCTGTGTAGAATGTATGCGACGTTCGCGAACTGCCAGAATTGGTTGTTGTTGCAGTTGCAGCCAAAGGATTTGTGGATTTTGGAGCGTAACTGAGCGGCGTGCAGCAGGTGCACCAGGTAAGCCAAACAGTCAAACAGCCAAACAGAGTTCGCTGTAGCGAATATCGCGCATACGCCATGGTGGCCGCGTGTCAAATTCGAGATCAATCGCCAATTAAGCTGCTGCAAAACAGCTGACTGGGAAAACTGGAACTGGGTGCACTATATGAATCATGTAGATATGTATATGCACCCAGTCGAGCTGATAAATTGTGCGTGAGTGTGAGAAATTATTGCATACAGCGGAGAACTGAGTAGATAATATGTGAAACCTACGTGGTAACCCTTTGATTCAAGTGGGAAACTATTGAAAGCTATACTTGAATTTTGGTTTGGGTACCATGATTTTAAGCTTTAAAGAACAGCTTCAGATTTTTGTAGTAGAAAATAAATGTAGCATTTAAATTCTATAAACAACCTTGTGAGATTTCTCCCAGTCTCTGGGCAAAAAGTGAAATTCTATCTTCCACCCCGGACATTATCTCCGGCGACATGTGGATATCGACTGTCACTTGCATATTCATAGGGGCCAAGTGATGAACTAAATCAACGGCATTCCACACCAGTCACAATTAGCGGCTGACACTGACATTGGCCATGGTAAAACCCTTTGACCATACGCCATATAGTCGCTAATTTATGACGCCATTTGGTTAATTGAATAATTATATGTGACTGGCTGGGCGTGGCTGGGGTTGGGGTTGGGTTAGATTGGGTTTGGTTTGGTTGGGTTTGCTTCGGTTTGGCTTGACATCGATCACGATTGCATAAGCCATCCCACACTCACACAATCAAACACACGATCGAATCAGAATCGAAATCTGAATCTGAGTCGGAATCGGAATCGGAATCTGAATCCGTATCGCTTTATCCGATTTACCTTGCTAATTCGATTGGGGGCACTAAATCAGTGTTAAAGTTCACCCCACTAGGCTCAATTAGTTTATTAATTGCGATTTGCATTTGCATCTGCGAAGCGCAAAAACCCGTTGGCTGCTAGGTGTGAAATTGATAGCTTCGAAATGTGCAAAAGCACAAAAATAAAACCCGATAACAAAACTAAGCAACCGCATTGC